AATCGTGATCCAGCGATGTTTGTGGATTGGCATTAATCGTGATCCAGCGATATGTAGACTTGGGAAGGAAAGAAAATGCTCTGCTGGTCGAGGGTTGCGAAGGTGATGGGTAGTGTGTTGGCCGTGGATGACCCTCCTCCTCCGCGCGTCTCGGATAACCCTGCAGTACATATACTAAAAAGAAAAAGCCAGTAGAAGAGAAAGAAAGAAAACGGGAAAAGGGGAAAAGGGGTATAGAACGCCGAGCGAATCCGCCATATCAACCATCCTCCTATGTATTTACCATCCACACCCGCCTTGGTCTCCAGTGCTCTCCCAACCATTATCGGTGTGTTCCGCATCTGTCCAACCATTACCCATATCTCCGGTATCAGTCCAACTATCGCCTTCATCGGCCCGCTGTACTTCCTCCTGTACTTCCTGCTGCTCAGGCTCTCCTGCAGTATTGCTGCCCACGTCCGTGTCCTCCACGTCTTTAACCGTGATCTCGAATTCGGGCACTGAGTCTTCTTCGTCGATGCCTACGTCCATGTTTGCTTGGGCAATGTCAGAGTACCAACCCTCTCTCCAATCGCCGAGTGCAGTCACGTCAGTGATGAAATTGGGCAACGTAGTGAATCCGTCGGAGTGCTCTGGGTGCAGCAGGGTGGCTGGCTGAGCCTTGTCAAGCCACGAGAGGTGATGGGTGCTTCCATCCTGCCATTCGTAAGCTAGCAGATAGCAAACTGAGCCGTCCCTGCGATTGCCTTGTACAATGAATTTGGACCCGGCTCTTAAAATATGCAATGGAGGCATACTGCGGAAGGGGCTATAGGTTGGTAGGGTATACCAGATATCGATCTTCGTATCGTCGGTCGCGTTCTGAAGAAGTTCCTGGTGCCACGATGCTGCTAATGCACACATCCACTTGATATATACCGGATTAGGTGATGTAGCGTCCTGAGGCTTGCCGTACTCATTGATAATACGTCGGGCATCCTCCACCGTGAAGCTGGATCCATGCAGTGAATCGAGACCGTCTGTAGTCGTAAACGAATGCTGCTGTCTCGATTGTTTGGAAAGCTCGATCGCGGCAAATACTTGGATACGTTCTTGCTCATCGTCAATGGCAGCCTCCTGCAGGAAAGTGCTGCTCGATGTGATAGTATTTGCTGCTTGAAGTGTGAGAGGGTCCGGCTTGAGTATACGAGAATCCGAAAATCGGCGTTTATGGTTGGCGGTGATCTTGGACTCGGCGATTGCATATGCGAGCTGGATTCGCTCTTGCTCGTCGGAGGTGGCCGCACCATGTTGCAGGCTGTTGGGGCTGATGAAAGTGATCGATAGATGCATGGTAGCCTGCAAGTCACGTTGGAACTGTGGGTTTTCATCATTCCAAGTCGTGTTGTTGTGCTGGATGACTTTGTATGCAGCTCGGCGTGAGCGGGTTAAGGTTTCCGTACATGCCTTGCGTTGATGACCGGCAGTGCCACATCGCGAACATATGTTAATCTTAGGACAACCGATAGTCCAATGACTACTCGTCTGGCATGTCTTGCAGAACTTTTGTGGGCAGTCGGCATAGGCGTGCTCAGCTGTCTTACAGACTTTACATCCTGGACAATCGGGCTTCATGTGTCCCATTTGGCTGCAGTTGTGACAGATAATTGAGGCTAGACGAGTTGGATCCATCTTGGGCGGATCTCGCAGCTTCTCATCTGGGCAGTCCCGATAACCATGGCCCAACTCGAGACAGTTGTAACATTTGGCATTCGTAGAACAGTCGGCGCGTTGATGACCTATGGCACCACATTTGTTGCATTTCGAGATATCAGGAACGTCGGTGTAGAACACGTTGCCTAGGTCTAAGCCTACTCCATAGAGTGCGTAAATATTGTTGACTCTAGGGTTCCGGTACATTCTGTCGGCTGTCATGCTGTAAGTAGACGGATCGATGGCGGATTCTGTGACAATGACGATAACCCCGGCAGAGTGTCGGGTCATCGCGACGAGGAATGCCTTGTATTCGTTAACAAAGGCCGAGAGCCGTTCATTCGGGATCTCGAAAATCACGAGTCCTGCAGTAATTCCTTGTGCCCCAACCACAGTGAGTGATCTAAAGCGACTATCATGGAGGAATCTAATAGCTTCTTCGACCAGCGTTTGTTGTTTCTTGTATGGAGTCAGATGAACAACTGAGAAGTCGCTTCTGTTGAAGCTGGTGTCTGCATCGTCGATGTAGCTCTTGAAGTCCCGCATGATCTGTACTACTAGCGCGACATGGTGGAGATTTTGCAGTGATGTGCTGCCTTCCTCCTTGAACGACCTGCTGCCGTTCGTTTCAATCACAACGAAGTTTTCGCGCTTCTTGATTCCAAATCTAGTCACAAGGAAGTCATAGACAAATTGGACTTGTGCAATGGGTGCCCGGTCGCGGTTGCCGTCCCGCATCATGCCATGGTAGGCACGATGCGAGAGCCAGCTGGTCAAGTACGGCGTCCACATGCGATGCTGTTCGTAGAATGTAAGGATTGGGAGCCGGTGATCCCGGGCGCGCGCTAGGACCGATAGAGTGGCCGCACGGTAGAAAGGGTTGGGGAACTCCGGATTGTCTGCTGTGATAAAATAGGGTCCTAGCTGGCGGGAGTCGCCAATCAATGCGTAAAAGGTTTGTGGTCTGTACAGGCCAATGAGGCCGTACGTAGAGCTTGGCTTGGCCTTGCAGGCCTCATCTTGGAACAGTGCGGTAGGTCGGGCAATAGCGTCGGCGATGGCTGGACGCAAGGCAATCGATGTGGTGCAAAGCACTACATCGGCTGCCGCCAGAGTATCGCGGCGCAGGCTGGTTAGGAGGGCTGTAACCTCAGCGGGAGAGAATTGGACGTCATCGGGACTATCGGCCTGGGTATTGAGCGCAGCTAGCAATGAGAAGTAGTTTTTGTTGCAGTCCATATATTCGTGGAGTCGTTTCCACATTGCTTCGTGCAGCGTTAAATTTGCGCACTCCTCCTTAAAACGCTTATCTCCTTGCTGCCGGTCGTCGCTATAGGCCTGTCCGTAGTCATTGAGCAGACCGAGTGCCGCAAACTCGGCAAGGTCGACGTCGTTGGTATCGGAGCGGAAACGTTCCTTAAACTCGGTAGGATGAACCCGGCTGATAAAACGTTGAGTTTCTTCGGGCAAGGAACCAACACGAATGATAAGTTTCTTCCCAAGTCCATATCGGTTAAAGCGAGCTGCCAGTTGTAATGCCTGATGATCGACGCCCACATTTGTCTCCTGGACCATAAGGATTGGGGCTGAGTGTCGGCCACTAGCGACCAGGATTGTGGAAAGGATAGCAGCCAAGGTGGATTTTGACGAGCCGACGCAGCCCTCAATAAACAACATGCCGTGCTCGATACGTTGAAGGGCCTCGTCAAACACCTCCTTCTGGTAAGGTGAAAGATCATCGGTATATCTCGCCCAATTGTTACCAGCAATATCCGGGTGAAAGAAATCAAGTACCGGATACGCGAGATTCTTGTTGAAGGAGAGGAGGTAATGGGCCAAGTGGACATTGATTTGAGTTGAGTTGCTAGGACGGTCCATTAGCTTGAAGAAAATGCTGGTCGTCCGGATGATGTCCTTGAAAGTCTTGTCGCTAAACAAGGGAGCGATCTTCAGTTCATGTGGGTGTGTATCCAGTTGTTGTTGGATTTCGAGCCCCAGGCGCTCGGCGTTGCGAAACTTATGTGGCATAAAGGGGATGATGGTGGCTACACGAGGGGGGTCCTTCTTCCCCATCCATCTAACATCGGTAGGTCTCTCGCATATCAAGATGAGAACGCCGGCTGGGGTGTCAGGCATGACTTGAACCACGGTGCCGACCCAGGTGTGGAGCAGTCGGTCTTCGCGCAGCAGGTCGGCATCTTGGGCATGCAGGAGCTTGATGGCGGTGCCGGCTGCAGCGTCTGGTGCGATGATCTCCTCGCCGTCGCCCGCGGCGGTATCCATGTCTTCGGGGTCGAAATCCGCGTAGTCGTAGTCGTTGTCATCGATAGATCGGGATTTCTTACGGTCTGGGCCGTCGTATTCGGGACAATCGGGGATGGGGAACGGCATATAAACGCTGAAGCGATCGCCGGGCTGCGGTTTGGGGATGTCCTTGCCTAGCAGAGAGATGTAGGCGAGGATGAGCTTGGGGAGCGCGTTGTCATTGGCATTGGCTGCGAAAGCTGAGCCCGGGATAGGCGCGAACACCGTTGCAAAGAGGGCCTCGGTCCATTCCTCCCGAATGCCCATTTCATATTCGTGCTCGCCGACTTCACCGTACACGATTGGGACCTGCATGTCCAGTCTGTCGGCATATTGGGAACGGGGAGCCACGATGAAATTCTCCATAGAGAATGGTGGGCGGTCGTGGACTGGGTGAATATTGTTCAGCTCCAGTTGATGATGAGCGGGGGAGTTCTTTGACCAGGGGTAGAGCGGGTCCTCGTCGATGTCGGCGGCGATCTTGGTAGTCAGCGAGCTGATGAAACGGGAGCCGTACCGGTGTGGGCTGATGATACAGAAGAAGGCCAGGGGAGCCTTAGCTGTAATGGTGGAGTCGATCTCGGTGGCGATAGCCCGCATAGTCGAGGTCAAGGCGTCGGTATGAAGCTGGGGGACGGCCAGACCCTTTGTCAACGGCGCGTCGCTCTTGAAGGTGAGGAAAGCTTTTCCGACTGGGTCGAAGTCGGTACAGTTAAAAGCGGCTGGAAGACCTTCGACAGAGGCTTTGGTGATGGTAACGTCACGAATAGTTCGGCCATGGCAGTCGACGAAGATTGCATGGTGCGCGTGTCCGAGTGGATTGGTCTTGTCAGCCACGGCCGTGTCCGCGGAATCGTGATGACGGCTGGCTGTGAAGGAGATGCCAATGTTGGAACGGAGGCCGGGCTCGCTATACGAGGGGAGGAAGCGGACAGTAGGAAACTTGGACGCGTCATTGCCCTTCAGGCTGGTTTGGAATGGTTCGCCGAAGGCGATACCATTAACCAACACGCAGGCTGCAAGGGAAATGACGCGGTCATAGTTCAGCTTAGATCCGGCTGAGTCGGCCATCGTGAGAGATGGTTCGAGGCAAGGCAAGGGGAAGTGAGATCGGAAGTGAAGAAGGGGTGCGAAAGACGCGTGTATCGAGAAGAAGAGATAATGACTTGGGCAGGATGGTGCTTGAATGTGTTTGAGTGTGTTTAGAAAGTGCTTGAAGTGAAGTGGTGTTGCGTTGTAGAGTGTTGAGGTTTGTGTTGAAGGAGAGAGAAGGGAAGAGGAGTGGGACGCGAAAGCGAAGATATACACATCGGGCGCCGGTACGCGAATATGAGCAACATCGAAGCGAGGGTAAACAAAGGCTCTGACCGCCTTCGCTAGGAGCCTCGTAGTGAGCATGATAAAAGAGCAAACAAACAAACAGAGCAAACAAACAGAGTGACCCATTTGCGTCGATAGTGAATTGAGAACCGCGTAGCCGCGGCCCTACTCTAGCTTGTAGAAGAGACTTCTATTACTAGTTAATGTCAAGGTGGCACGCTCGTTGCAGAGCGATCCGATATGGTAGTTTAACGTCATTCCGGGCGATAGTATCTTGTCGTCGTTATAGCAATAGTTGAAATAGTTTGTTTCGTGTTGAATTAAGAACCCGTAGCCGCGGCCCTACTCTAGCTTGTAGAAGAGACTTCTATTACTAGTTAATGTCAAGGTGGCACGCTCGTTGCGGAGCGATCCGATAGTTTAACGTCATTCCAAGCGATAGTATCTTGCCGTCGTTGTAGGAATAATTAGAATGGTTTGTTTCTTGTTGAATTAAGAACCCGTAGCCGCGGCCCTACTCTAGCTTGTAGAAGATAATTCTATTACTAGTTAATGTCAGGGTGGCACGCTCGTTGCAGAGTGATCGACATGGTAGTTTAACGTCATTCCGGACGATGGTATCTTGTCGTGATTGTAGCAATAGCTGGACTGATCGTTGTCTATCAAATGTGCAAGTGAGTTGAGGAACGCATCGGCGAAGTTCGGATGCGGGTTCCCACGTCAGGTCCTTCGTATCCCAACCACTTGACCTGGTAAAATGGTTCACGTCGTCTCCCTGGAAGCTTCCGAGTCTCTTTGTCTAGTATCTGGTCAATGATATATCGCTCCTCGCCGTCTAGTCTACTGCGATCGGCCCTGGATCGGGGACGGACCGATTGTATGGTCAGGGGTGGCTGGCTCGAGATGTTCGACCGAGATCATCGGGTGTATGTGATAACGGGAGGGCGTCGATGAAGTTGAGGTATATAACAGACAGAGGCCGCTCCGGGTGCGTAATAGGGTGGAGGTCGGCCCAGGGGAGCTTGCGACTCGGTTTCGCTTGCCGACGTGTCGGGCAGTGGGCAACGTATTCAATGGTCTGGATTCGAAGCTTGGGAATAAAGATATGTTGGTGGGGGAATTGGTATGTGCGGTCAATCCTGACATGTGTTCGACTGTCGTAGGCTATCTTAAAAACCGTGCGGTGGCACTTTATAAGAACACAGAGCCGCTCGCGATTGTCGATATCGCCGAAAAGCGGTAGTTTAGTTAGGCAGTCGCGGCGGAAACTCTCAAAAGTGGTTACTGGCCCAGTGGGGGATTCCGCGTGGTATTGTATAAGGTGACGAATTTGGCATACAGCTTGCCGAAAGATTTATCTCTCGGAAATGCTTTGCGATCTCCTTAATCAGTCCCAGGTGAATATATAAGGTGGAAATCGGTGTGGCAGGTGTGGACTATTCTAGTTCTTGGGAGCCTCCTAGCTCGCTCGAGAGTGCGCTTGGTGATACGAGTACCTGAGTACTACGACGTTGATTTTAAGTTCGCTTAAGGTTGTCATGGCGGTCGGGGCGATATTGGAGGTTGCTGGGCCAACGCCCGTGCCCCAGTCTGGATCGGGACGGTTTCGACATATTGGATCTGGATATTATCGTCTTTGATGGCCGGGGGAATAATGCGCGTATAGTCGACAGCGGAGGCGCGCTGTAACCGGAACAAGGCATCTGCGCTGGTATGGACCTTACTAGGGCGGCGCTTGATTTTTCATATCAACGAGACTTTGAGGGCACAAAACCCGATCCTTGAAAATATCTTTAGCCCAATAGCGAAGTCTTTGTGGCATATATACCACAGGTACACTATAGTAGATAATAAAATATAGTCTTTTTTGGTTGTCCGGTAGATCGATACTCAATCTTTGCCTCAAAAGAATAATCGAAGTGGTGCCCTGGATCCGTCAGAGCACGCTTCACTGCATCGTCGACCTTCGATATTTGCCTGCAATTTTCGAGTCTGATTTAGCAGCAGAATGTCATATCGGGGCGTGGGGAAACGGGGTGTATAGTCTGCTCGGGACTCGTAGCGTCCCTCTGGGCCAGGAGCGAATCGACGGGTTTCTTTTCGGGGTGCGTTCTGCAGCTAATTAAAAAGCCTCTTGTGTCTGCTTCCTATTATGAGACGTTTTGCCCGAGAGGGATCCTCGGTCGCATGTACCGCGTCAAGTAAATCGTCGAGTCTATTACTGGTACCGGTGACTGGCACGATAACTACGAGGGTTGGGTCGACGCCTTTATGTAGGCGTGGGACGACAAGATTTTCCTCAAGTTGACCGGATTCGACGTAGAGCCCTTGCTCTCTTGTAAGGTATTGTCGGAGGGATAGCTTGCCCTCTGTAGCGAAAAAGTGAGCCTGCTCGGCGAATCGTGGCGATAGCGCTTGTTTGGAACTGCTTGCCAAGGGGAGGTCCATTCCTGGAGCAGAGTGGCCTCGTACCAATTTTGTGCGTCTCCCTAAAGGGCTGTCAGGAGTTCGGCTGGTATTTCGCCTTCGCCGTACTCATTCGCCAGCTACTTAGAGTCGGTCGGTGTATGTAGTGACTGATGTCTTGCCATCACATTCTAGCACGGATGCTCGGAGCTTGCGTGTCGTGACCGCCGGGCCGGGAACGGAACGTACTTGGTTTGGTTTCTGTTCCACGAATAGCATGGGCTGACGTTGAGCTGGGGCTGGCGTTGACTGGCGATGATATTGATTCTCGTCTTAGGGCTATAGTAGGCCGAATTTCTGAAGACGTGCTAAGCTTATAGGAATTATACTACAAAGTCTCCCTTGTAGTAACCTTAGTAGAAAGCATTTTATGCGTCAGCTGGTGGAACATATCGCCACCCGTCCTATTGAGTTTGTAACGGTTAGTTGTATTGTTCTCAACCCCGGTACTAGATCTACTAACCAAGTAATAGCCTCTTTCCCAAGATCCTAAATCGACCGAGAACCGCCTAATAGCCGAGAGACTATCCTTAGGTTATGCCTACAAAGGATCCTCCACGCCGTTGATTGTCCTAGGAGTTATAGAGAGCTAGTTCTAACAGCCACGTCCCCTCATAATTCTGTCTTCTCGTATCGCCCTTATCAACTTCGCTCTATATCGCTCGTAGGATTGTCGGTCGTCGAAAGAGGGGTTCTTGCTCGAAAAGTATTCGTCGTTAGCTCATAAAGCCTGAGTCGCGTACAAAGGAATGTATCATAGTATCTGTTTTGTACCGTAGCTATACTTGTAGGAGTTGAGATGCGGCCTTTATCCAGCTGTAATAGCAGGCAATACTTATAACTAGCTACCTCAGTGACTGCGTTCTCTGTTCAGTTTAGACAAAGACTTGCTGGACGTATAGCTAGTTCGTAGCCAGCGCCCCGTACAGGCACAGAGATCCGTCTTCGCTGGCCGCGTCGAGCGGCGACCATCCCTATACTCACAATTATAGTAGCGACACCCGCTGCCCATTTGTCGATTGCATATTGCTCGGCCATACTGGCAGCGTCCGATAGGCGAAGTGAGTCAAGGGACTGCTGGAGGGTGGGTACCGAAGAGTGATGAGAGCTGGAGTATGCTTGTTCGCGAAGGTTCCAGTTCGGATTGGTCAAGTCAACTCTGTACTGCTTACGAGATGGTACAGGTGCTGAGAGTAAGGTGAAATTGTTAGGCGATGCTTGACGATAAGGCGAAAGTGATTGTAGAGAGGATCTTGTTCGGATGCGGGGTTTGCAGTGCCTTTTGGTTCTGGCGTTTCTTGTCGTGCGGGTAGATAGTCTTTCCGATCTAAACTCGTTAGCTAGTTTGTACTGAGGAACGAGAGGTAGAATTGGGCGAACGTCGTCGTAGAACTGGTGACGGTGTGCTCGAGGACCGGATGGCGGAGATAGAGGATATGATGGAGCTCGATGTAGTACCGAGTCTAGTAATTCTGAGCTTTGGTGAGGCGATTGCTGGAAGTGGCCTGGAACGATGTTCTCTGCCCGTTGAGGTGCTTCCGGATCGGAGCAACGCTGGTAGGAATCATGCTTTTGCGTCGCGTTGTCGGGGATTGTTTCGACGGTCTCCTCAACCCGACTTCATCTAGGCCGCATAAGAGGAGGCGTTGGCGTGGCCATATCCGCACCTCGCCGGGGTACTGTTCCCTACCTAGGTAGATGAATCTGATTGAAAAGCTTCGAAACCTGAACGGGAGAGTGTCGAGTTCGCGGTAATGTAGAAGCAAGCAGCTCGAGATCGATTCGAATTGATTACTAGATTTATGAATCGAAAGACATTGCTACTATATCACAGCTCGAAGAGTGCATGGCTTGTCGGCTTAGGGTGCTCTATTTGATGGATATTAAAGGGTGGAATACGTCTGAATAAGGAAGCTATAGCTACCCAAGGTACCTAGGTACGATACAAAAGTTAGCGGGGTACAGGGTGCGTGCGCTATTGCAGGTCAGGTGACTGTAACATTGCCACTACCTACCTACCTTAGGTAGTGATGCCCAGGAAGCTGTATCCTGCGTTTCGAGGTTTATAGATGTTATAGCTAAGAAGATAGCTTGAAGTTAAAAGTCTAATTTTAACCAGCCCATCTTCAAAATCTCCAAACTTCAACAAACTTCAACAAACTTCAACAAACTTCAACAAACTTCATTGCAACCAGTCAATATATATTGTAATTGATCAGGTTATAGCATTCCTTGGACGCAGTGCGAAGATGGTCAAACGAGCGAGCATGAGCCTGTCCATATCATCATGGAGCGTGCGACCAGCAAGACATTGGACTGCTATGTTGAGTTCATCAATTTCAACGAGGCAGACGGTGCTGTAAACCGATTTGAAATCGACAGAAGTGGCCGTCGATGTAGTCGGCTGGGACAACGTCATGTCGAGGTGACCTGCACTGGCCTCTCATACCTCACAAATTCTCACTCCCTCTCTCACCATCCCCTACCCCCTATACACTGCTATTATAATACCTCTATTACCCTGTAAGCTGATTTATACTCTATCCACAAAGCTATTCTAACATATGTAGCTCTAGAAACGGCCCCTCCTGTAGCTCAGCATCGCCTCACCTGTACTAGCCAACCCCCTCCCTCTTCCCCTTCCCCAAATACTACTGCCACCAGTAAGCTGAATAGCCACAACCCTCACAGACCATATACTGACTGTAACAGATCTACCTGCTACTACTACAGCTACTGAGTTCGTTGTTGTGCTCCCTGCTACCTCCCCTGGCTGCTGTTACTACCCTAGGTAAGCTGAACAGCTGCAACTCTTACGGATCATTACTGACCCTAACAGACCCGCTGCCCGCCTGCCTGCCATGTCAATTCTTGCGGCTCAGCCCCCAATCCGTAATACTATACTACGCCTAGGCTGCACTTTCCGCTCCGCTGCCCGGCCCGATAATATATAAGCTGCTCTAGCCGATTCTATTGCTTCCCTTGCTGCGGTCCCGTGCTCGTACTATAGCAGAGCTGCCAGTCTACAGGTTGGTTACGTGGTTGTGGTAGATTTGCTGTCCGGCAGTTGCACTAACTACTATTACGGCAGCGAGAGATCGCGCTACTCCCTACGTAAGTATCAGACTGTCAGACGTGTTACAGACCGCAACTAACTAGTATAGGCCCTCTCCCCACCCCCCAATAGCTCGCGGGTATCATTGCTACTACTACGACAGCCAACAAAATCGATCTAGGCCCTCCTGCTCTTGGTGGTTCCGCGTCTCCTGCCCTGGCTGTTGGGTCTCCTGGCTTTGGTGCTGCTGCCTCCCCCACCACACCTAACCCCGCCGCCCCCCAGGACCTGCAGTTTACCCCCATCTACTGTAAGTATAAATACAGACTATTTACGGACCGTACTAATCTCTACAGGCCACAATCCGTCCGCTTCTGTTGCTGATGAAGGACATGTTCCCGAAGGCGAAGAATGTCAGATGGGTAGGGGGTAAACCTGAAATCATTCCGAGAGACCCCAACAATATATACAACTCAGGCTTCCAAGGCTTTGTTAGCAAGGAGGGGTTAGTTATGTTGGTCAAGTATGTCGGATAGGCGGCAACCAAATCATGCAATCAGGTGCCCGTTGGCGAGCCACTACACCCTTCTACAACAGCCACGTCCCTGGGTTGGTGTTTTTAATTCTCCCTCACCGTCGCCTCCACCTTCAACTTCAAATCCAGATCCCATGTTGGAGGAATTTGAACGTGGCTCCAACCAACAGTTATTTTCATCCTCATACTGAAAGTTTAGCTTTGTACTTCAACAAATATCAACTTGGAGACAGGTACAAGATTTGCGAGATCGAAATGGCGCTTCAGCCTACCGCTCAGAACGCCCAAGGCCAGCGCCTGACAACGGCCCTCAAAAACATATGTCAGGACTATCCGGCTAGTGGATTTGACAGAGGCACAAGATATTCGAGGTCGAAATGGTGCTTCAGCCTATCGCTCAGAATGCCCAAGTCCAGCGCCTGACAACGGCCCTGAAGAATATATGTCGGGACTATCCGGCCAGTGGCACCGTCCTTCATGAGCTGTTGCAGAATGCCGATGATGCTGGTGGCACCGTCCTTCGTGAGCTGTTGCAGAATGCCGATGATGCTGGTGGCACCGTCCTTCATGAGCTGTTGCAGAATGCCGATGATGCTGGTGCTACGGACATGATATGTAACACAGCTTGGGAGCGCCTCAAATTACCCAGTTGGTTAAGTTCGGAAAGCCTGTACATTGTCAAGAGTATATACCTCTGTCAATTGTATAGATACCTGTCAATCGAATATACACTGTCAATGCATATACCCCTGTCAATGGCAACTTATAGAGTAGGAGTTGTAACATTATATTATATGTTATGTTACAAGGGGGAGCCTTTCTTGTAGCACCAACGGCAGGTTGGAAGTTTTTAAGAGCTGGGGCCTTTTTCTTTTTGGTGGGCTTGGGATTGAAAACGTTCCCAAGAGGGTCACAAAGGCGCGAACTGCTCAGGTACCTACCTAATGTAAGTTCCTATCTTAAATAAAGTATGTAGCTGGCTTCGCTGCTATCGATATCGCTATCTCATGAGCCGACAATGTCGAAATGTATTGAATTTCGGCGACGCCGAAATCAGGAGTTTCAGGTATACGCCACATGTAGCAAAAATGGGCCACTTTTACCTATATATAACAAGGACTTCTCCTCTACCTCCATTACCAGAATTAATCAACTCTTACTATCTATTTTCAGTGCCTCCAAAACACTAACGAAATGCGTGTACTAATATTTACGATCAGTACGGTTGACAAGGTACAGAATGAACAGTTGTTCCATGTCGATTGTTCGGTATTGAAGAGGCAAGTGATTGGGTGTAAGATTAGTTGATTAAACGAGGATGCATTTCCTAAAAGTCCGCGAGGTTGCCAGAGGCGGATGATTAGGTCAACATCCGGCCCGAGGTCAGCTCTCTCCCAAATATTTGATCCAGTCTGGGCACGTGCCCGATCTCGCTTAACTTTACCTAGCGTCCCGCACCTTCCTCATTATTTGCGATTCTATCTTCCTTCAACCTCCTCCATCCAACTCCATCCTCAACTCCATCACAACATCACCACATCCCAACAACTTCAAGATGGTTAAGAAGCGCGCCAGTAACGGTCGAAATAAGAAGGGCCGCGGCCACGTTAATCCAATTAGATGCTCCAACTGCAGCAGATGCACTCCAAAAGATAAAGCAATTAAGAGATTCACCATAAGGAACATGGTAGAGTCGGCGGCTATTCGTGAGTATAGAAGATGCTGGCGCTTTTCTTGGGGAGCGGCGGATATGCTGGTGATGCGGATAACGAGTGTTGAGCAATTTGGCTAACTTCTTTTGTTACAGGCGATATCTCGGACGCATCAGTGTTCCCTGAATACACAGTTCCCAAGATGTACCTCAAGCTGCAGTACTGTGTCTCTTGCGCTATCCATGGCAAGATTGTTCGGTACGTCACGCACTTGAGATGAACCTTGGTCGAACATCCGTATACAATAGAACACAAGGGCTAACAATTCTCTTACAGTGTCCGCTCCCGCGAGGGCCGCCGCAACAGAGCACCACCTCCCCGCGTCCGGTACAACAAGGATGGAAAGAAGGTCAACCCCAACCAGGCTGCTGCTAAGACCACCCAAGCATAAGGGATTGTCTAGGGTTTATGGGCGTTGTTGGTTGCATGGAAACTGGAATGGACTTTCTTGAGCTAGATTCGAATAAAAGAACTCGCTTTGCAACCTGGAACGAAGCCCAAAGAAACATGACCTCCCTGCCAGGTTTTACATGATCTAGCCCAAAATATCTCGACAAAACCCGCCCAGAAAGGTTGAAAATCTCGTTTATGATATTGAATGTCGTGTTCAGTGATGCGTTCGTTTACCGATTCGAGTCGGGGCCCATGTAATTTGCTTGAGACGGGCCTTTCAAAGAATATGTGGGTGATATAGTATCTCTCTGCATTCGGCCTGCCCCAATCCAGGTAGGTACCTAATCGTACTGAGCAAGAAAACCCCTTCCACTATTTCGAGTTACCCGCTTTTGGTTTGGAACCGTAGAAGTTTTGTCTAACAGTACCAAGATAGTACTTTGGCTTACTTGTTTCAAGTCGTTGAAAACTCGAAGGCACAAGAACCAATCTACCTAATGAATCGACTTTGGTCAAATCTCAACTTGAACAGACAAGCGGCGCATGACGAGGAGTGACGTTCAGCATTCTCAAGCTCCCGGGTCCTGCCTATGTAGTATATATCTTGTGGCCATTCTACTCTCTCTCTACCCATGAATCAAATGCCGAGTAATGGACCAAGATGCTGAGGATATATTAAAGGGTGGTGAATGGATACCATATGCCCTGGGACTTATATATATGTTAGGCTCCCTAAAATAGGTCGTTGGGTTCCTTTCAACGTCCGTATGGAAATTACTTCTGGCTTTATAAAGCATATACGCATAACACATTCGAGTTTGAATTCTAGATTACTCCTGCATGTAGCTATGGTGAGACCGCAATTTATGTCATCCGACTCTTGTCTCGAGTGGTCTGACCTAGACGGGCAAATTATATTCTCAGATGCAGGATAAGGCATCAGGGAGACGAAGTATATATATATATACATATTCAGAGTATTATTCTGATATTGCGGCCCTCAGGAACGGGGCCACTTGTTTTCGACTGTTCTCTACCCGCTCCTGCCACCAACACCTCCTCCAACCGTTCCCTCCCTTCAGGTCTAGTATTTCCTCATTCCAACATACCAAGCCCAGTTTCGCCTTGTTATCGTCCTCGAACTTTGCTGCAGCCTGCATTCCCTTTTCATCCAGACCCCAGACAAGCAACTCCCTCTTGAAGTCCTCCCCTTGATGTGAAGTCGTCATAACAGCCATAATAGATAGTCCTCTTTCTTGGGCAAATCTCTCCAGCTCAAGACAGAATTTCTTCTCCCCCCCAGCTTTGCTAATTAGGAATGAAATATCTTTCACGATAGAGCTGACCCCCATATTTATAGACCCGCTTGCTTCGCCCCATTGCTTGTAATCTTTCCGCAATATATCGTATAAGCTGAGCGAACCAATATCCTGCTTTGCCTTCGTGACCTCTTCATAATAGCTTTTCCGATCAAAAGCCTTCCCCACCTCACTACCTTGCGCCAGCAAGCCGTCCAAAAACTTCACAGCCTCGACATCAGTCTTTGTAGTCTTTTCCTTCGAGGTCAAATTCGCAGTATCGACCACAATAGGTCCTAGCCCGATCCCAGCCAGTTGGCTATCCCACACAGGATTCTCCTCTAAAGCCGACCTCCTCCTCGATCGCCACTCCTCAACCACTAAGCTGGCACAGCTGCCTACAGTTTGTATAACCTTCCCCTCATTATCCTCGCCATCTTCTTCCAAAAGCTCCTTCCCCTCATCAGCATGGTGATCTACAACCCCTACCACACGCGCTCCATACTTCTCCCCAAGTTCCCCCGCCATGGCATTGTGGTCAACGAGTACCCATCTTGTTCTCTTCGCAGCGAGTGATTTCGGCAGGTCGCATAATGTGAGGAGGTCGCCAGTATTTAAATTCGCGCGGGATAGTACAGGATGGAGTTCGGGTCGCAGGGAGAGATCCGCACGGGAGAGGTTAGAGAGCGGGATGTAGAATGTGGGTTTGCTGTTGCTGGTGGGGTTTGAGGATGGTGCGTGGGCTGGGAAATAGGTGCGTAGATAGGCAAGGAGCACAGCGCTACAGAGGGAGTCGAGGTCTGGATTGATTTTTATTAGCTTGAGAGGCATAAAAAGTGACGAGGACGAAACGACAAAACGTACCGGCTGATTCATTACCTATTACAAATGTGAGGTGAGAGCTTTGTTGTGATGGGCTTGTGATTGCATTGGAGAGAAGAGTCTTTGCGGATGTAAGGAAGGTGCTGAGAGATGCGCGGGGGAGGGGCATCTTCAAGAAGGAATTGCGTCAAGCTGGCGATCATGTGTTATGTATGTCAACAGTCTAAATGTAAAACCACGAGCCCAGCGGATTTCAAACAAACTTGTTGTTATAATTAGACAACAATTTGTTGAAGAACGGAGGTTTTTGCGTGACGCGGAAAGACGCGTCTCACTCGTGACGTACGAGTACGTCAGTGAAGCCATTTCCCCACCAGATCGTCTAAATTCTTGACACCAGCAAACCAGTATGCGAATACATTATAAGTTGTTGCTTTGCATTTACATAGCTAATTAGTTGAACCAATACCTACGAGTATTCATTTACATCAAGCAGTGGAGTGAATATATATTATACGGGACATTAGTTGTTCCTGATAGGTCAACCCTCGCTTTTCGTATTGCTGAAGTATATTCCAAAGTCATGTAACTGTTCGCAGTGGGAAATTGCCCCATGCTGAGCTGTCACTAATAGATACTTCTACAGTAAATCCAAGAGTTTTGTCGATCCCCATACAGGGAGTGAAAACCGGCTCGTCCACCGCGAGGTTGGCGATCTACCAGGCTCCGTACTATACAATGGTATCGGAAATCAGGAATATTTTCGGTTAATTGCCTCTCCACACAGACTTTGTATGTAAAAGTGCAATCCGGTTTGAATCGACCTACTAACTCTACTATAATCGCCACCTACCCCTTTATAGGCCTATTTCCTCCCCTGGTCAGGCTACATTGAAGCTATTCTTGCTTTCCTCCCATTTTTATCACTATAGCACCCCGACTACCCCCCTCCACCGTCAAAGCCATCGAATCCGTCCTCCGGGAAGCCATAGAACTCGACGAAAAGCCTGAATACCATGCTATCGCGTTAATCTTTAATACTATATATAGGACGATTGTTACTTCCTCAACCAGATAAAAGACATTTATTAAGTGCCGATAGTTGCTTGCGGGTATCCACTTCCCCTGCCTCAAGACTTGACTCCATAGCCCTAGTCCTAAGCATGTCGGATGTGGCCGTAGCCCTTGGCCTCTTCCTGCTCCCATGTGCCTCCGGTGTATCTGCCGGGTCCACTAGCAGTCGTTTTAGTGGGGGAACCTCTGCTTTCTTCTTCTCTCTCCCTGGTCTTGCCATCTAGCAACATCCAGGTCATCTGTACTGCACAGTATATCCTCCTCATCCCCATAGGTAACAAACTGTATTACCAGCTCAATACAGCTGTATCTTGCTCCTTGGATAACCATCAACTCGAGCATATTACCCCTGTCCTTATTATTCTCAATAATAAGGCAGTTCTGACGATTGGTTGGGCCCAGGAACACTTCCACTTTGTTCTACCACCTATAGTGGCATATACCTTCCTCCGACGAGCGTATCCCTCTACTAGCTTGATCGCTATACCGGATATTGAATTGTAATCGTCCCTAAAGATGTTATACCAGTCAAGGTTGACCGGCTTGACGGCAATGGGGTGGCGCTGTCGATCAAGTTGTATAGTAACGTTGGCAGTTACCATATACACTTTGGGCTTCGGCCCCGGCTTTCTGGCTTTTGGAGCAGGCTCAGAGGAGGATTCGACACTAATAGGCAATTCGGGTGGGCTGGAGGATATAGGATCTTCGGCAGGGGAGGCTTTGGAGGCTTTGGAGGCCTTTGCTTTGGCCGTAGGTTTGGAGGCAGGGGATGTAAGTCGAATTTTCGGCGCTTAAGCTGGTGGGGGGTTACCCCTGCGATTTGGAGGCATACTGAGTGGTAAAAAAATGGGAGGAAAGCAAGAATAGCTTCAATGTAGCCTGACCAGGGGAGGAAATAGGCCTATAAAGGGGTAGGTGGCGATTATAGTAGAGTTAGTAGGTCGATTCAAACCGGATTGCACTTTTACATACAAAGTCTGTGTGGAGAGGCAATTAACCGAAAATATTCCTGATTTCCGATACCATTGTAACTAGGGATCTAGAACAACAGGAAATGATAAGCTTACTTGAGATTTAGAACTAATTGAATAGTCTTGGAATCCTACCGGCACCCGGCATCGCTATCGTCGATTTATAGAGAGTAGAATTATGTAAAAAAAGTGGCGGTTGGGCATGTGTAGATGTGATTCAGTCATTTGCTAAGAGGTTCCGCGAAAAGCTCCCATTGGCAGTGTTGTAAATCCTCCACTTACCGGTAGCATAGCGTGTTGTGTTTAGGTGAGGTCCGAAATTGAAATCAACGATTCAAGGCGGCCTGATATCACAGTAAGCGAGATTGGTTAAGGGGGAGTGCCAGTTCCAGTTCAAAGGTCCAAATCTTGCGCAAACAAATCACCAACAACTTACAACATAAAAGTTGCATCGTGGAAACTATCCCCGATCTCTTTGTTTTTGTTTCCCCTTAAATCGGACAGGCCGTGCCTGGGTCTCAAGTGAGGTACAATAAACTTTCCCAGCAAGGAACGACCATGGGGCATGTGACGATGACGTCTGTTTTGTTGACTCGAGATGATTTGCTACAACGAAGAGAATTGTATTTGAAATATTATTTGTATAATTGCAATTACTCCCATAACAGTCGCTAAGTAGCATGATATTTATGTCCTAAAGAAGCCTCCATTATGAGCTTTCACGATTATCTTTAAATTTCCCCTCTTTTAAATTAGTTATAGCACCACTCGCCATGCCTCTCACGGCCTCCTCTCCCACCCGCTTCCACACCCTTCAAAACATATCTATAATTCTTCTATCCGCAATCTTCGCTCCGCTCTGCACACTTGTTGCCATCCTTAGTCACATAATATCACCCTTCACCAAAACTTCAAGACACATCGAGCGCCACCGCCAATGGAGAAAGATATCCTCATCGACATTTAGACCCCGCACCGTTCTAGTCACGGGAATTGGCACGGATAAAGGTCTTATGCTCGCGCGAGCATTCTACCGCGCAGGCCACTGTGTCATTGGGGCAGACTTCGAGCCATATTATATTCCCGTCGCCGGTCATTTCTCCAAGTCCAGTGAGATCTTCTACACGCTTTCTAGTCGGGCTCATAATACCGGTGCCGTGGTATATATCCAAGACCTGCTTACCATAATTGTGAAAGAGAAGGTTGGATAAGCTGCTCAGACACTGTGTCAGCAGTGGAAGATGCAGAAGCAGCAGAAGTCATTGAGAGAGAGACGAAATGCAGAGCCATCCAATTCAGCCCCAGCCTTACGAGTACCCTTCAAGAAGAGCTCTCATTCATAAAGCATACCCGGAATCTAGGACTTAACGTCCCAAACACTCACATTATAACCTCCGAGATGGAAGTCCTCAGGATCCTCTATCCATCGCCCCCTGACCTCTCATCAACCAAACCCCAAGCTCAGGACGAACAATACACCATAAAACCCGTCAACCCAGACGACCCCAATACCACACTCCTCCCTCTACCCTCCTTCCAAGAAACACAATCACACATCCGGCATCTAAACCCAGCACCTTCCCATCCCTTCATTCTACAACAATTCACACCCGGCCAAGAATACCTCACACACTCCCTAATCCTGCAAGGAACCCTAAAAGCCTTCGTCGCCTGTCCATCCCCCTCCTCACACATCACACATTTCGCCCCCCTCTACTCAACCAGCGCCCTCTCACTCGCCATGCAAACCTACACCTCAGAATACGCACGCAAAACCGGCCTCACCATTACAGGGCACCTCTCCCTCACATTCCTCATCGCCGATGCCATTGCCAATAATGAGGAATCTCATTTCGGTGTCTCAGCCACGGAAATCCAGCACCTAATGACAAAGATATACGCCATATCATGTAGTCCTCGAGTCCATGCATCCACCATCCTATTATCAGACTCCAGCGAAGACCTAGCGGAAATATACCTATCCCTGCTCCCCGGCCACGAACCACCAGGTATCGCCAACGGTCATCGAGATCCTCAACAGATTGTGGTTCCTAGCCCTGCAATAGAAGGGTATTATTTTCTCGGATATGATGTTTTGAACCTTGTTTGTATGCCGTTTTTGAAGGTGCTTAAGTGGGAGACGGGTATTAGGACCATGGTGCAGTGTTGGCTGCTGTTTGCGGGACATGTGCTATTTTGGAGGGAAGCGATGTGGGAGTTTTGGGATCCGTGGCCGTGGTGGTTTACGTATGTGGTGTATTGGCCTTTGATGTTTGGCGTGCGGTTGTGGGAGGGAAAGGGGAGTGGTGAAGTTAGCACAGGGGAGATGACAAGTGCTAAATGATAGGAGGGGAAGGAGCGTAATTTAGTATGCGTTCTTATAGGTTGACCTGGCCTTTGACGAGCATTTGCTGAGTAGGGATAGAATAGGTATGTTCTCGGAAACGAATATAAGCCCAAAGAGCTATTTCAAGGAATAATATCCTGAAATTGGCATATACATACACAACCTTAATGACAAGCAAAATCACCAACTTACATCAATGTCTCACAAAATCTTAAACAATACACAACCGAGGCACGCTACTTGACTTTCCAACTACTATATTGGTATTCCAAACCCTTATATCAAACCCACATACACACATTCTCTATATAAACCCACCCATCCAATCCTAAAATCTCTCAGAACGCCCAATATGGCACCTATTCATTAATCCTTCTAGATTCTCACTATATCTACCCTTCCTTTTTTCTCTCCTCCCAAGAAATAAACATCTCGCTGTAATATTCAGCGCTTATAATAACAATAATAACAATAATAATAACAAGAATTTCCTACGTATTCCCTATATTTATTCACCGGGACTGGTAGATTTCGAACCACCACTCTGCTGCAAATATGCAGTCGGCACCTTTGGTACCCGTGGACTATGCGGGCCACGACTAAGAGCCCTCCTATCTGCCCGGAGGCTCTCGCGCAGGCGTTCGCTATCTTTTGTTCGCCCGCCTGTCAATCGCCGCATTCCGGATCGAGTGCCATGCGCGATGGGTTTGATCATGTTTTCGAGGAAGAATGAGCCGTCTCCCGTGGCGACGGCGCGTTCGTCGTCGCCGTCGGAGAAGACTTCCTCGGTGTTGTCGTCGTCTGAGAGGTAGCTCGTGACGTTACTCTGGAAGGCGGATGGTGCTGACGGGGATGTTACGGAGCGGGAGTGCAGGCTAGGACGGGACGAGGAGGAGGGTGGGAGCTTGAATGCGCCTGGGTTCATGGCGTTGGAGGACGCATCACGACTACCAGGCGAGACTCTATCTGTGAAGCCGTTTTGGAACGACGCAGCGCTGGATGTGGAGGCGAGCGATTGGTGGAGGATAGGAAGAGTCTGCTCGTCGTAGAGCTGGGCGCCGGACTCGAATGCTTCCCCTGAGAATCCAGCTTCCGTGATAGTTCTTGATGACCGCCCGTCACTTGTTGGGCTTGCTAGACTGTCCTCGAAAAACTCATCGAGACTATCGAGCTTCAATACTAGATCGCCAATGTTTCCGTCTCCGCGTCCCTCGTCAGACATCATGGTTTCGGTCCGTTCCGTGGCTGGGAAATACCCATATTGGAAGTCATCATCGACGTGGAATTCGACGCCTGGAGTTGAAACAGGCGCCTCGTTCATATTTTCTTCGCTCTGGCACATGTAAAATGCAGCATGCACATTTGACCTCGTGGTTTCCGCGTACTTGGCTGGTATCGGTATCGACCATCCTGACTCCTCTGGGATACCAAATAGACTCTGCGTGCGTTCGTATTCCTTCCGAATCGCCTTCGACGAAGACCGTGTCATGCTCATGCGTAAATGATGCTTGTCCATCGAGGTGCCCGCCATAGTCATTATCTGATCTAGGACCTCAAGGGCTTGCATACAGAACTCTGTCTGCAACAGTCTCAAGAGAGGTGATATCAAGTCAGGCCCATGCGATGCGATTTCTGGTTTGCGCATATCGATATCGGGGATCACAGCACAGAGTATGCGCATCGTCTTGAGCTTGAACCACGGGATGCTGTTTGTTAAGAGACCCATGAGGAACGTCAAACTCCCAAATTCCCATTGAGGAAAGAAAGCGTCACGCAGAGCAGACACGAGTTGTGCCAAGAAGTCCTTACTCGACCGATACCGGGATGCTGCAAACCCGCTCAAAGCTCGAGCAATAGTTCCGCAGCCCGATGCTTCAGCTACTTCAGCTAGGATCCCGGCATTCTTAATGCTCGTAGCATCAATGCTATCTTGATCCATGGCGTGGAGGAATATCGGGAAATTTGCAAGAACAGCGAATAGCAAACGGCTGTTATCCCCAATGAGGTCGTCGCTGGGAAGCCGTACTAGCTCATTAACCGTCTTCATTGCCAAGTCAAGGCAAACCGATGAACGAAGTCCCTTGTAAATCAGTGGCTGAAGCCCCTCAAAATGGCCTTCCCATCTGGGAGGCTGTCCTTCCATAAGACGTAGTCGCACCGCAGGGTCTCCCAGATTAAGCTTCGTCAACAATTCCTCTAGCATCCCAAGCGCTTCCAAAAACTCCCGCTCATTGACGCTATCCAAACAGGCGCAAGTAGTCCAAAAGAGTTGCGGGAAGTTCAGTAGATCTGCGGGTTCCAATTTGCACATAATGGTTTTTAATGTGGTTAATATTTCCATGGAAAATGTTTGAACATCGGAATCATCGTCGGCGATTGTATTTGATAGTCTAGCCAACATGTCTGCCAACATGGGTTGATCGAGAGACGTCAGAATGCAGCGGAAGATCTGGAATGAGCGGCACGCAAGATGCCTCACGGGGCACGACGTTGCCCAGGTCAGCGACAATTTACCCCATTGTTCCTGAATACCAGGATAGGTGACCTCGAAATTCTTCACCACTTCAGTCGTAAGGACCTCCATTCCTCCTGGGACTTTATTATCTTGGTCATCGACCTTACCATTATTATCTTCATATGACCAGATGACATTTGCATCATGCCGGCGGATAGACTCGATGAAGTCTTCGATTGACTTCTTCGAGGGTACAGTGCTCTCGTCATCGATCCTGGAGATGACCAGCTCATGCATAAGATGGATGAGCATCTCCCGAGCTTGCTCTTGGACCAGGGGGATATAATGATCCCACAACACCGTAACAACTTGAAGGAGCAGAGGGACATTCTCAGCCACAAGCTGAACAGGTGATACCATCAAGTCAACCAGTAGAATTAGCGACAATTGGCCGAGCGAAAATCCAGCCTGCTTCGCCCCAACCGGCAACGCCTCGGAGAGTTCTGCAACATAAGGTAATTTGATTGAATCGGGAGGTGGTGGGACAAGCTCGCGTTTCTCGTTCGGGATCATTGCCTTAGGGGTAATTTGCATCAACAAGAATTCAACGACCTTGACGCCCGCTGGAGTGCTCGACAAGAAGACTACGATCTGCTTCGCATACTCAACGAAGTTCTGCTCACGTCTATCAAGGCAAAGGGACATGATGAAATCCAGCACGAGTTGCACATTTCCAGCATGGGGTCCGGTTGCTAGTGCCTGCCACAGAGCTTGAACCTCATTGTGTAGAGCGCTGCTAGACTTGATGGTAATCTCGAAAAGATTGGCAAGGAGGACATATGATTGTGCCGTCGGTCCACCATTAGGGTCAAGCTGTAGCTCGATAAGTTGAATCCACGGAAGAATAACCGCAACCATGTTACGTTGGGCAACAGGCTGAAGGTCCTTGAAGTACGCCGTGAATTCCGAAAATATGAGAAAAGCTAGTTCTGAATGCTGCTTTGAGAGACGCTTCGATATCTCGAACTGCGCAAGCTTGTAGACTGCTTTCGTCTTGTCGGATATGCTTATATCATAGTCCTGGATCTTCGAGCTTTTCTGCTGTCTCTCCTCTAATGCTCGTAGCACATGCGCTGCCTTGGATCGAATCTCGCTCAACTCACTGCCAAGGGTGTATAGACCGATTCCTAACAACCTCCAAAACGGCATTGGATAATCTGGGTGTTCGAGAAGCACCTGAGTTACGACTTCAAAATAACTTTCTAGAACCTTGGGCACTTCCGCGAGGTAGCACTTCGTGATAGAATGCTCGAGCAGATAAGTGAAGTCCTGGTTGTGCACAATCAAGTTGTTCAGCGCCCTTCTGCCGATGGCGTGGATTCGGTCGCTTCCGACACTGAATATAGTATCGATCCAGGCGAGCATTCGTCGGATATCGAATTGTAGATTTGCTTTGCTTTCTGTGGTAATGCTCAACGGCCCACCACATAATGCTGCCATGGCACTAAGTGCTGCAGTTCGCAAGTTCCGCTTCTCAATTTCCATCGCGGCAGTCACTGTGCCCCGTTCCCCCAGGCTCTGTTGATCTATCATAGATTGCCTCATGCTATCTTCCCTTTGGCGGATCTGTGGCTGGTTCGGAGAATACCCACACCAGTCTTCCATCAGCGAAAACGATGACTTTCTGGATTCAAATGTCATCCATCGTGAAGGATCCTTCGTGCGATTAATTCCTTCGAATAGCTCTTCCATTAACCCACAATAATGTCTGCGAAGCTTTTGAAACTCCCAATCCATCTGGACTTCGCCATCCATGAGAAATAGCTTGAGATCTTTCGTGTAGACTACTAAGTTGTTCAATATCCAATCATCCTGATATACATCCGGATCCTTCAAAAAAGGCGACGTCAGACGATAGACATGAGTAATCTCGGTCCTAAGCAGGTCGGTTTTTCGGTTCCTTCTGGGACTGCTCACTGTCCTCTGGTGAATTCGAGCCCTGGCATCATCGTTACATCGAGCTACCGCAGCTTGCAGCTCTTCCAGCAAGGTTTTATATATGTTAACATTGATGGAACCTAGAGCGACTACAACAGCATCTCGTATTGAAGCAGGGCCAACAGAGAGAAGGGGAATGATATATTTGAATAAAGTTCGTGCGGACGTGATTTTCCCTTGGACAATTGCTGGCTTTGAAGTCTTCCGAAGATGCTGTGGTTGCGGTAAAGGCTGCTGTTGGCCTCCCTTATCAGACAGCGTCGTGCAAGCAACTATCAAATATAATTTCCATTGCTCGATCAACACCTCTGGTGGCGTGGTGGATGTCCTTGTAAGCAAGCGGCCACTACCTGGTTGCATTCGATCGAAAGATCCGTATTGTGGACCCCGTGTCGCCTCTGACAAGGTAGCAATGCCTTGGTACATCTGAAGGATGCGGTTGCAAATTAGCTCCCTAGCGAGCGTGACAGCAAATGGGCAGCGGTCATAGCTAATCCGAATTAGATTCGGGAATATCTTGAACCACAGCGTTGTATCATATGATATTTCACTACTGCAGAGCTCAATCAAAGCACTCTGGGAATTGCTCTTGCGCATTCCCCGTTGCAACCTACTCCGCTCAGCTACAGAGAGGTGCTCATCGTTGAAGTCCATAACACGCATAGAATCACCCTCTAATATGTGGATCAGCCGACTATTGTCCTTGCCTAGCGCGGTGTCGAATTCGGTGATATGGCGCAAAACTGTGACGGCAAAAGCCCGGACTCTTCTAGATTGTGAGCAGAGGAAGAACAATCCATGAGACTCGAGCTCGTCAACCTGAGCCCAGATCCCAGAGAGATCCAACTTCATGCCACGCTTCTCGGGATTGCTATCTTCTGAAGCGTCCGCAGCAGCCTCTTTGGTCTTGTGCTTAATTTCCTCGATCCAAATTTGCAATAGCTCGATATAAAGCTTTAGTGTGCTCTCAATATGGCCAGGACCAAGCATACCACCTTCGGACATAGTAGAATATCTATCATCAAAGTTGAAAATAAACCTGGCAAATCCGATGGTGACTTGTTGTGCTTGTGATTGCCGAGCGATCGACTTTAGTGATTGGGACGACGATTCCGCGATATTGTACTGTACATGAGCCGTTCCAGTACACAACAGATTGACTAACGATTTGATAGGGATGTCGGTGGAAAGACAGCGAGGCAATGCTTGCACAGCAACATGGAGAAGCTCATAGAAGCCTTGCTTCTGTTCGGATGGACTTGGATGATCATCGCGACGCCCAAAATTGAAGGTCTCTGCAATTGGCGTCTTGAGCGTAGGACTATTAAACTTTTCATCGAGGACAGCTTGCCCACCGAAAGTATTGTCACAAATTATGGTAATCTTTCCAAGAATCTCGCAGAATCTTGCATAATATTCTCCAGCAACATCGCCGATAGCACTCGTCAGAACCGGGCGGGATAGGCGGTCCTCTTCTTTCGGCGTTGGTGATACATGGCGAGCTGGACTCCACGGTGCTGTCATTATGGGAGATGTAGGCATCCTGTCATAGGTCGGCAACGGCTGGTAATTCTGTGGAAATGGCGGGCGGCCTTGATCCCCTCTTTCGAGATCGGCCATTATCGCAAGGAAAGCTCGGATCCCAATAACCATCTTCTCCGGTTCTAGCTGCTCTACCTTAAAATCCTTTAATTCTCTGCTCGACGCAAAGAGGTCCGCGTTGATTAGAGGGAAGACTATTGTCCGAAAACAGAAGTCTGGGTGCTTGAAGCCAATGATTCGTATGATCTGGATAAGTGGTTCGGCAATAGATGGATCGGTAGAGATATAGGTCCTTCTTCCAGAAGGCAAAACCAGCCTCATAACCTCCTCGAGCTTCTTGATCGTAGCATTGAGCGTGTCTGAAGTACGATAGAGATACGTCCAGAGCAACCGGGAAATGACCTGCAAGCATATGGGGCGGACAAACCGATCCTTGAGCTTAGACTGCAGCGGTAATACAAGCTGGAGCCACTGGGTGGAAAAGGCCTCCGCTGGAGACACGCAGAGCATAGTAGCTGTCAACGGAAAAGCAACAGCCCAGTGGCGAGGTTTCATAAACATTGGAGCGAGGCGCTGGCCAATTGTTGCGAGGACTTCTGACCACTTTGGCATATTTAATTCCGTGTTGGCTGTTGCAGCAACGGGGAGCAGAAGAATCTCGAGAGCCTGGCAATAAGCATACTTGAGACGATGACCTGAAGAACGTCCAAAAAGACGGCCAAGAGATATCATAAAATCACACGATTGGTCCCATGCGTCTTCTGGATATGTCTTGATGCGCAGGTGCTTCATTCCTCCTAGCACCAGCTCCATCCTTCCCTCCGCTTCCCTATTCGCCGGATTCTTCCCGATCAAATCCTTTTGGGATTTCTCGAGATCCGCAATGAAGCGGTCCGAAACACTCTCAAAATTAATCTCGCTCATGACCCCGAGGAGATGGCTGAAGAGGAACCAATTGGACATTTTCAGGGAAGAATTGTTAAGCTGTTCTACATCGGCAATTTTCAATTGGCCGAAAATTATGCCCTCCAGCTTCTCTTCCATCTCGGGGGTGATGCATGTCAACGTGCTTTGGCCGACCACCTCTATCAACACGCGACACAGTATATAAATCGAGGCAGTCGAACGGCGCTCAGCTTGGGCAACAAATTCTTGGCGCGCGGCAATCGAAGGCAAACTACCAGCAGCGACCGCATCTGAAGGATCCGGCATCATATGTACAGGTTCGGTATTCCTTCGAGAAATTTGGCCGGGGGTTACAGTATTTCGAGACTGATCCAAAATATGAGCATGGGTAGTACTAATTTACATTTTTCTTTTTAAATAAAGAGAAGACATACCTGTTGAAGCTGGGTACGTGCTTCATTGGCCGCATCACTCTTATTCTTGCGCCACAGCATCATTGAATCAATCAGCGGCTTGGGTTTTTGGCTTGCAATATGGCCGAGGGCGGAAATCAGTTGATCGAAGGTTGGATCTACGCCAGCGCCGCATATTTGTTCTATTTGAGGCTCGGGGTCAAGAGGCACAGTGATGCATTGGTTTATCTTCTCTTCGGCCTGGGCAATGAACTGAACGGGGGTTATTAAGAAGCTTATAATGGGTACAAATTAAAGAACTGACGGATGTGAACAACACATGTAAAGCATATTCTCCCACCGTCTTCACCTCCTCCTTGTGATGGTGTCTGGAATGGGAGGGGTGGTGGCTATGTTCCCTGCGATTTCTTCCACTGTGCATCGGTTCTACCCTCTTCTGTGTCAAGGTATAGTTGCTGTCCGACGTTGCAACTGACGCTCGATCCGGGGTGAATGTGGTGGCCGAACTGAAGGAGGTGCCGGAGGATATGGTGGACAGCGCACTCGACATGGAATTTCCGAAGGTTGGGTCGCCCATCTTGGATGCATTGGGTCGGTCTGCGCCTGCTGCTGCAATCATCTGAGGACTGAGCGGACTAGACGAAGAACTTGCAAAGCTCCCGTTCCGCGAGTGCTGGATGCCATGGACGATGCTGGTCTGCCGGTTGTGCGTCTTGGAGTCGGTCAATCTGTTGCCCGAATGCAGGCGCGGCGAGAGATTCAACGGCTGCGACTGAAGGTCTGGAGGTGCGATTATGGGCACCGGCGACAGCCCCGGATTGTTGGAGGGGGAGGGCAGAATTGTTGGTGGATGTTCCCGGGCGTCTGCTGGTGGTCTGGCAGAGGAGGTGGCAGTCGCTGGCTTTAAAGTCGCATTCACATCGGCGTTCCAAACATCGACGTCGATCGACGGAGCCGGATTGGCAAAGGGAAATCTCTCGCTCGGATTGTCTGGTGATTGAGCTTTCGAGACAGTATCAGCCAGCATACATACACATCTGCGACAGCTAAGGAGACAGCTCAGGAGCCGCAAGAGGGTCCCAACCCAACAGCAACTTACTCATCATCCCCACACGTGATCGATTCTCTATCGATATCCAGCCAGATTGGGGCTTCCAGCGCGGTGGGCAATAATCAAGGGGCTTCGTCCATCACTCCCGAAGGGATACATTGGAGATGGAGCTGGACGCTGGCCGGGGCGCATGGCTGATGTTGGGGGGAGGGGAAGTTGTTGACGGGAGGAAATCTCATCAACAGCAGCAGCGGTCGTCACAATCGAAATACTACGGAGGATTAAACGATTAAACTCTCGTCTCGTGGTATCCGCAGGGGCCAATGGAGAGGCCCCGGCGGGCGGATCCCAGCCGTGGTTTTTTTATGGCTGTGGTTGGTGGAGTTGGGGAATATTATGTTGGTTGGCATATTATTATGGTCTCGTACGCTGATGGCATGTAGGGGGAAACCACATCACCAGATGAGGTTGTGTAATAGCACTATCCTCAGCACCGCGGAGGGATAGTCAATACGAAGTATAGCACGGAGCAGATACAGATACAGCACGGCAGATGTGGTGGTGGTGGTGCCATGGTGGTGACCGTCTGGCCTGGAATTGGTGCAAGACCGCACCAAGAGCCCCACACGGAGGTTGTCGACGCAGAACTCCCGAGTGGTGTGTATAGTACAAAGCAGACGGCAATAGTAATTGCCATGTGGAGAGCGAGTGAGAGTGGCAATTGAGGGTGACAATGAGAGTGACATTAATGAGCGTGAGAATGAGGCGAGGAGCAAAGAAACGAGAAGCTGAAACTGGAAATAGAAACTGGTAGCAAGCTATAGGAGCCAAGGGGTGGGAGGTGGTATATTAATTTATATATATTATTTATATTATACCGCGTCTCGGGGATAGGTGTAGCTGGGAACCAGGTAACCTTTAAGTAGCGCTTAGGGCCCCGATTGGAAACAAAAGACTGAAGTATGTACCGCTGTAGTATGTTCCTACCGAGGGAGGCATTTCAAGGCATCTCCAGTTCTCCAGCGGCCCAACTTGTTGGAAGTTACACTATTTTGCCTCCAAGGCCGAAGTGGTCCGGATTCGCATCCCGAACTGACTTCGGGGAGTTGACACGGTAGATAAAGATGGGGGAGGGCGCGAGTGGGGAGATGGGGGATTGGGGAACATCCCGAAGAACGGGGGGAAAGACAATAATATTATTATAATAATTATAATAATTATAATTGATGCTAACTGGAACTACATGTACCTTTAAGGAGACGTGTTATCTTTCTTCCTTTTCTTCTTCTTCTTCTTCCTTCTTCTTCTTAATTCCCTGGAGTTGCTGTTTGCAGTTTGGTCAGCCCATTCTCAGCTGCTCCCCTGCCCCTGCTGATAAACCCCTATCTGATCGTTGATCGTGCTTCTTGGGCCTTGTTCTGTGCTACTCTCCTTCTAAGATCCTCTACTAAAAAAAAACGCCCCGTCGAACGATCTCCGGCCGTCTCTCCCGCGGCGCAGTTCCAGCAGCCTTCTTCGTAAATTTCTCGGCCACTGTGTCCAACTTGTCCATCTGCAACACACTACAGCCACTCCGGTTGCCTCGGGTCCCGACGGTTGTCTTTAGTTCCTTTTCCAGATCCCTCATTATTATTATTCCCCTTCTCTTCGGAACTCCCCCCCTCCCAGCGCACGCTTCGCATCTTCCTCCAATTCTAAAATAATATTCGGGTTATCTCCTTCTCGCCCTCGCCATGGCGCAACTTGACACGCTGGACATGATTGTCCTGGCCGCCATTCTGGTCGGCACACTTGCCTACTTTACCAAAGGCACCTACTGGGGCGTCACAAAGGACCCGTATGCCTCCTCATATGCCGCCGCAAACGGCAGCAAGGCCGGCAAGACGAGGAACATCGTGGAGAAGATGGAGGAGTCCAACAAGAATTGTGTGGTTTTCTACGGGTCCCAGACTGGAACCGCGGAGGACTATGCATCCCGTTTGGCAAAGGAGGGCAAGAGCCGATTCGGCCTGGAGACCATGGTGGCAGACTTGGAGGACTACGATTACGAGAACCTCGACACCTTCCCCGAAGGCCACGTCGCCATGTTCGTCCTGGCAACCTATGGCGAGGGCGAGCCCACCGATAACGCCGTCGACTTCAACGAATTCATAACCGGCGAGGGCCCCTCCTTCACCAACGACGCCGATCCCCCACTCGGGAATTTGAAGTTCGTCGCCTTCGGCCTAGGAAACAATACCTATGAGCACTACAACTCCATGGTCCGGAATGTCACCGCGGCACTGGAGAAGCTGGGCGCTCAGAGAATCGGCGCCGCCGGAGAGGGAGATGATGGCGCGGGCACCATGGAGGAAGATTTCCTGGCCTGGAAGGACCCAATGTGGACTGAGTTGCAAGAGAAGATGGGTCTCGAGGAGCGCGAGGCGGTTTATGAGCCGGTATTCGCTATCACCGAGAGAGAAAACTTGACCAAGGACTCCCCAGAGGTCTATCTCGGAGAGCCCAACAAGATGCACCTCGAAGGCACCGCAAGGGGTCCTTTTAATGCCCACAACCCATACATTGCCCCTATCGCCGAATCTCGCGAACTCTTCACAGACAAGGCCCGAAATTGCCTGCACATGGAAATCGATATCAGCGGGTCGAATCTCAGTTATCAGACTGGAGACCACATTGCGATCTGGCCGACAAACTCAGGAAAGGAGACTGATAGGTTCCTCAACGTTACTGGCCTTCTCTCCAAGAGAGATGAGGTTATCAGTGTCAAGGCTCTAGACGCAACCGCAAAGGTCCCATTCCCAACCCCCACCACATATGATGCTGTTGTCAGATATCACATGGAGATTTGCGCCCCCGTCTCTCGTCAATTCATCGCCACCTTGGCTCCATTCGCTCCAACCGAAGCAGCAAAAGCCGAGATGGCTAAGCTGGGAAGTGATAAGGATTATTTCCATGAGAAGATCAGCAATAATTATCTCAACATCGCCCAGGCGCTTCAGGAGGTTGGAGGTGATGAGAAGTGGACAGCCATTCCATTTTCTGCTTTTATCGAGGGCGTCAACAAAGTCCAACCGCGATACTACTCGATTTCGTCTTCATCGCTTGTGCAGAAGGACAAGATCTCAGTTACCGCCATTGTGGAATCGATAGATCTTAAAGACCGGGAGTCTCTTAAGGGTGTAACAACAAATTACTTACTAGCTCTGAAGCAATGCCAACATGGTGACTCCAGCCCAGATCCTCATGGCCTAACGTACAATATCACTGGGCCTCGGAATAAGTACGATGGCGTCCACGTGCCGGTCCACGTCCGTCATTCAAATTTCAAGCTTCCTTCAGATCCATCCAAACCAGTCATTATGGTTGGGCCTGGTACAGGAGTTGCACCTTTCCGAGCGTTCGTCCAAGAGAGAGCCCAGCAGATGAAATCAGGACAGCCCGTAGGACGAACATTACTATTCTTCGGCTGCCGGAAACAGACAGAAGATTTCTTATATTCCAACGAATGGAAGGTTAGTCCCCCTTATATCCACCTCAAATTATCCGGTCCCGCAAACCTAACTAGTATATCTATAGGGATACAAAGAAATCCTCGGTGACAAATTCGATCTCATCACGGCATTTTCCCGCGAAGGTGAAACGAAAGTATACGTCCAACACCGGTTACAAGAGCGCGCCAAAGAAGTCAACCAGCTGTTGGAGCAGAAGGCTTACTTCTACGTTTGCGGCGATGCTGCGAACATGGCGCGGGAGGTTAACACCATCCTGGGCAAGATTATTTCTGAACAGCGTAGTATCCCTGAGGCGAAGGCTGAGGAGATCGTTAAGGGGATGCGTTCCGCAAACCAATACCAAGTAAGTTTTGACACTTCCCTCTCTACTACAAAAACTGCCATCCGCACATGTGCATCCCCCCAATATTCAGAACCTTGAAAAAAAATCCGCAGAGAAAACAAAACATAACTGACAATTTTCTCTAGGAGGATGTATGGTCATGAAACCGCCAACCGAGCACAGCGGAGGGGGCATTAAAAACGCCTCTACATCATACCATTGGAGGATTTAATAGAAGGGCAAACCAACCAGCCAACCAAACCATCCAGCGCGCGTTTTCTTCTCCGTTTCCTGCATTTCCAGTGGCGTTTGTTGGCGTATTTCTCCATCATCTCCCATCATTGCATCACCACCAACCAACCAACCAGTCGCTCGTCTTTCTTGCGCGGCCGCTATGTTCATATCCTTCCTCCCACGCTGGCATATAATTTTTGCGCAACTGGGGAGGAGGCAGGAGGCTTTATTTATTTTATTTTTTAAATTTAGCTTTGGCGAGGAAAATAGGAGTTCTCCGAGCGAGCTGATGGATTGATTGATGGCTGATCGGGGTTTTTGGAAAGCATGGGCGAGAGAGATGGCATGGGATGGATCGTGGGTGCACGTGCGCTATTAGACAGATTTGCTGTTATATATTTCTTTGTCTTGAGCTGGTGAGTGAGTGGATGATGGTGGTGGTGGTGTACTTTTATTGGGTAGCTGCTACTTGAATACAAACCTATTATATAAAATCTGGCAATCATATGATGGTATTAAGGCTGACCAGGGGAAACTTATTAAAGGAAGAGAATCGAGTCAGTGCTGAGTAAGCAGCTAGAGGTCACTTAATCTATCAGACTTCTGTTAGGTGAATAAAATCCTACATAGTAACTGAAATATGCAGTGTTGAGGTTCTGTTAGGAAACTATTGGGATAAAACTTCTTTAATTGAGACATGTGGTATTTGAACTTCTACCAAGTAGCTACGGTGAGGAAACCCTCATTTATTGGAATTTGTACGAGTAGTGTTTAGCTTCTATCGAGTAGCTACGTGAGCAAAACTATAGCATGTTGGGCTTCTATTAGGTGACTACCAACCACGCGGATACAATCCAATTGTATAAATCTCAAACATACCTGTTCCTCGAGCTGAATCCGAACGCACCGAACTAAATAAAAGTTTGCGGCCTTGGTTTTCTAACGTGTGGGTCGAGGAGCGACGGGTTGCTCCCGAGGCTAAGTGTTTGCTTCCCAGTGTGGATCGAGCAATGGGAAGACGAACATCTTCAGCATCTGCTACGGACCGTCGCGCTGGGCATTAGCCCGTTTGCAGTTCAAGTCTCCCGTCTAACCGTTGGGCCGAGTCGTCACTTGTCATCTTTGTCTGCCATGCCCATCTTCCCGCTAGTTGTTGTTTGTAGTCCGTAGACTACAGCTCTGGTGTGGGCGGGTAGGGAACGACTATTGTTTATAGTCGCCGACTCTGCCCTCGATGACTATTTTCTCATGGCGGATCGTCGGCTGTCCGGAGTCAATGGAAGCTAAAATGTTTCACATCAGGGCACTGGTCGGTGCGATTGGCGTGTTGTCTCAGCCTCCCCCTCCCTGCCTTGATGTGCAAAACATGGGGCTCGGGAAGATCTGGAGGCGAGTAGATCCGATGCCGCGACCGTGAGCCGGGGATCTTGTAAACAACCTCACTTCTCTAAGAGGGACCTTGTACAACTGTGTATTGCATGTGAGGCTCCCCCGTTTCGGACAACGTGGCGGCATGGATCTCCCGAGTCATCACGATGGCGGTTTCCTTGGTGTTGTATTCTCGTTTAGGCAATGATTTGACCTTTTGGTCGATTTTGCTTTTTCGGCCTCACCCAAAGCGAACATTTGAGTCTCCGAACATGCAAGGAGGCATCATGTAAAAATCACTTCCAGCCGTCTCCTGGACATGGTGCAAACGCATCCTAATCCAATACTCGGACTAGTTATTCTGACCCTCTTCCTATAGCCTCGAGTGTGCCTACTTTCCCCGGTGCCTGTCTGGTGTGCACTGTTATGATGTCGACCTGCGAGTGTTGGGCCGAACAGGAAAAAGCTGCAAATCGAGATGATTTTGGCACACACCATACCATTCAGCAAGTTCTTTTTGGAATCTCCCCTCCCTTCTAATATCGTCTTCCAATGTCCTGTGAAAGCAGGTTCCCACCTGAGAGGGCTAGAAACAGCCTCATTAGCCACGTTTGCCTTGCCTTGCGGGGCTGGCACCCAGTGTCCAAACGGATTGATCGCTATGAGAACTGCTGCCGCCAAGATGCAAGTGGCCTGTCAGGCTGCGGAGTGGAGTCCCAAGGTCAAGCCATATAAGATCTCTAGATGCAAGCTCATCTAGAAGGCGCAAAGCGGGTCAGCTAGGTTCATGAGATGTGTGCTACTTTCTGTCACATATCATTTTCCTCAAGGCAAGCTTCGAGGTTTTCCGCTCGCTCATTGGCTTGTCGGCGTAAATGCTATCAATTGGTTCCTGCAGGAACGTCGGTATCCAGACGGCTTTCTTGGTTCATTGTTGAAGCAATGCTGCTTTTTGGGAAGGAAAGATGCAGTGAGAGTCTGACTTTGGGGGCTGGTAGCAAGCTTCATCCATGTCTAAAATGACCATTGCGCTTCCCGCGATGGCCTAGTATGTGCGGAAACAAGGCTTCCTCTCACTGTCTCTGTGTCTGTCTCTGTCTCTGTCTGTTGCTGTCTGTCGCTGTCTGTCTCTGGCGAGGGGAGGGGACTAGCATGCGGATTCAGATGCACTCATCAAAGCACGTCGAGGTGGAAGCGTAGATGGCGAGCCATAAAGGGGGGCCTTCGTCCCCGTCCCCGCGTTGGCGATCTTCACAGTTGCAAATATCCAGTATCGGTATCTCCCACCTTGTCTTGTATCGTTATCAAGGCGTTCTGCTCTGCTCTTTTGTGCTCTTCTGTGCTGTGCTGTGCTATGCTCTGTCGTGTTGGGTTATAGCCAACGACATTTACTTGCGAGCGTGTGCAAGTGTGTTCTCTGCTCTATCCATCCGCGTCGTCTATTGTTTACTGGAAGGGACCGGCCACCGCCTTTGGCTTCCCGCTTCGCGCACCGAACTTCGCACCTGCCGACAATATATCACCGTTTAAGCTGGGCAACTACACCGTCACCCACACAACACTAATTCTTCGCTACCTCTTATCCTTCTTCTTCTTTCATCCCTCAACCTTCAACAACTTCAATCTCCAATCCCAATCCTCACAATCTCTGCACTCAAACCCCATCTGGCTTGATAGCTTCCCATCTTCTACACCTCTACCACTCGCTACTGCTACTCCAGCATCTACTTGCGACCTTGTCTTGTTTCTTGAAGCACGGCAGCTCCTACTTGCTGTCCCGTTCTCCTTGAATCGAGCGACAGGTCTTTTTCTTCAATCTCTTGATACAGGTTTGTGCTCTATCTACCTCCCGCCCCAATAGTTTACTGACTATTTGTCTAGTCACTGCCTCGAAATAGTCGAGCAACAAACACTCAACCTCTCGTTCAGAGACTTTGATCGTAAGTCAACCTTTTTTTTAATCTAATCGTCTTCACTTTTGTTACGATCTGAATGGAGAGGTCAACCTGTGCACCTGATTCACTGATTTTCCTGTTGTTCTGTTTTCCAATATTCCATCCAAACCTGAGGTCGAACTTGTCACCTTCAACTCTTATCTTTCCACCCTCTCCTTTCTCAAGCCTTTCAAGGTGCCTTTCATCCACACCCATTTCTCCTGTTCTCTTCTCAGTCAACCTACCATCATCAAAGCTGACGAAGTCCTGTGCAGCTTCTCATGGCTTATCAGCAAACTACGAGTCATACCGAAACCCTCTTCCCTAGTCATTCGGCATCCAACATGTATGCTCAGGCTCAACTTCGCACTCCACGCGACCCTCAGGGCCACGGATCTTCATTCGCTCATGCATCAGCCCCTGGTGCACATACCGAGAGCAACCCCATGGGTGCTATCATAAATCAGTTCGCTGGTCTTGCTCTCCCCGGTGCCAACATGGCCGCCGCTCAGTTCCCTCTCGGTGGTCAGGTGCAGTATTATGTTACCCCGGATGGCCAATTTTTGATGGCTCCTACCGGCATGTATTCTTCTCAGGCAATGTCGGGTGCCCAGCTTCCAGAAGCCTCTTACAGTCCTTACGGTGCTGCTTTGCCCTACCTCGCCCAAGCCGCGTATCCTGGATATCTCACAGGCTACCCGATGCTGCCTTACACTACCGCTCGTGCTGGTCATTATCCCGATCATTCTGATCACCACAAGGAGGTTCCCGGTCTCGATAATCGCCGTGGCTCTTATTCTACTAATGAATCCGCCCCAAGCACCCCTTTCTATAGCTCAGTTTCTCAGCGTGAGCAGACAACCCATATTGCTGCAGTTGACCGATCTCCGTTTGGATCCACCCCGTCGCCACAACAGCTTCATGCCCAGCATGCTGGCCATCAAACCGTCAAAGGCCTTCCTTATAAGACCGTCCCAATCAATATTGATCTTGATGCGTTGCTTGTACAGCACCCTGCAATCCCCCGGGCCGTTCCCGCGGTCTTCACCCCACGTGAGAGCCTGCGAACTCTCGATCAGAGCTTGTCCAACCCAATTCCTGGCAATCGCAATGTCTATATCCGTGGCCTCCATCCAAATACTGATGATGAGACCATTGCTGCATATGCTGCCCGTTTCGGAAGAGTCGAGACGTCCAAGGCAATCATTGATACCTCAACTGGAGCATGCAAAGGGTATGTCCGCTTCGTCCTTGACCCAGACCGTGGCTAATATTTCTGTAGATTTGGTTTCGCAAAATACGCCAACATCCGCGATTCGGAGCTTTGCATTCGCGGTTTCTATAAGTTGGGTTACGAAGTTGGTTTTGCTCGGGTACTGCCCCCTTTTGATGACCTCATCCACGAATAATTTATAGCTAACATTCATCCCAGGAATCTTTCAATTCTCGTCTTAAGGCTGAGGGTGATGAAAATTCAACCAACCTTTATGTTTCCAACCTTCCGATGAACATGACCGAGTCTGAACTTGGCGCTATCTTTATGGATTATAATGTCGTCTCGAGTAGAATCCTCCGAGATTCGAACAAGAATAGTCGTGGTGTCGGCTTTGCTAGGTAAGGATTAACTTTGTTTCAACATTGAGCTTAGCTGATTCATCTCTAGGTTCGACTGTCGCGAAGTTTGCCATGAGATCATTAAGAAGTTCCACGGCCAGCCAATTGGTGAGGAGGGCCTCCTTCTTCAGGTTCGCTTTGCCGATACCCCTGGCCAAAAGGATCTGAAGCGAATCACAACAGAGCGTCGACAGTTCCGAACCAACGAGTACAATGTCGGCGCCTATGGTGCGCCTAATGGCCTTCCTATCTCTCCACCGGTGCCCTCACCTGTTCTTCCGCGTACATCCATGGTTACCTATCATGTCCCGAAGTCTCGCGCCGGCAGTTCTTGGAAACGAGAGGCTTCTAGCAGGTATGGCACCGCATCTCAACTGAACCAAAGCCAATGCTGACTTTGTTTCGAGTTCGACTTCTACTAGTGCTCCTATTTTCAAGCACATGGATCGTCAGGTGAGGGCCTCCTTGACTGAGCCCACCCCCAACAAATCCAAGAACATGTGAGTCAGCTCTATTCCAGGCACCTTATTATTAATAGTGACTAACACCAACAAGTAAAAGCACCCCATCCGTATCGGAGACCAGTTCAGCTTCTGGCGGAACTCCTGTTCGTGGCGATGCTCCATCTGTCGTCCGCGGCGGCTCTGTATCCCCTACAGCTCGCAAGTCTTAATTGACCCTCGAGTTCAGGGTTTACCACGACCACAGCAACACATCCTTTGCTTTTCACCTGTTTTCACTCGTCCGTAGTGGTGCCCCATCCATCGTCCGTGGTGGCTCTGGATCCACAACAACTCGCAAGTCTTAATTGACCGTCGAGTTCAGGGTTTGGCACGACCGCAGCAACACATTTTTTGCTTTTCACCGGTTTTCACTCGTCCGTTTATCCATGTCACGACTTGCTCTTTTGCTTTAGCGGTTTGATGATATCACGGATTCATATGCAACAACCCCTATACAACAACACTGTACTCTCTACCATACATGCGTCCTCGGCAAGGACACATACATATTATGTCAACATCACTACGCTGTTCCCCACTCGTATCGGCAACATACTTCGAGTTTTGCTACCTGGTGCGCAGTGTCCTGAGAACTGGCAAATGTATTTTCAAGCAAGGTGTGGCATATTGACATTAGTGGCACGAAACATTTCTTTATGTCAACAGCAGTGGTCGGATATCAAAAAGCAATTCGCTTTTCTTGTGATTATTTATTTCTTTGCTGTTGTCTATGGCTACACTACTGGAGGCGGACTTCTGTGCTTAGCATAATTGAGTAGCATAAATTGAACTTCGTTTATCCACAGATATTGCACTATGTCCCAACTTGTGAATTCGTCCTACACATTGCTATGTGAGAAGGCTATGGTGAGACAGCTGGGCAAATTCTCACACGCCTGTCATCTTGTGGGCATCCAAGAGCTCGTAAGTCTCTGGATATTATGTTTTGAAAGACATTACGGGTGATGTCGTCGAATTCAAGTTTGGTCTTTGATCTGAAGGGTCGACAGCGAAATCTCAGCAGCTGAGATCTGGTTATGTGCTTGCATATCATCTCCATCAGCTTCCTCCTCAACATCCACTTTATCCTCTCCATCCTCGTCCTCATCATCTTCCTCATCCTCGTCTTCATCTTCATCTCCACGTGCCGCGTCGGGATCACCGTCCCCGTCCACTCCAACCTCTTTCATATATGACTCGAGATCTTTCGCCATCTTTTTAGAAAAGCCTGACGCTGCAACAGCAACATCAAGTCTTGGGTTACCACCTTTCCCTATCAATTTTCTAGCTTCAGCAAAGGATGGTCCCTTTTCATCACTGGTGAACTGAAAACGCCGCTGGAAGAATCTCTTGATGCAGTTCACATCGCGGTCGAAATAGTACTCTGCGTTCGCATGGTCAACCGAAACCATTTGAGGAAAATCGATAAGAATGGGGGTCAGAATAACGTTCTCGGGTTGTTGATCCTTGGGATCCTCTGAATTATATTCCTCCTTGATCAATATGTTGAATTCGTTGAAGTCCCCGTGGATGAGTCCATATTGTGCGAGTCGTAGAATCATGGAGATGAGCTCTGCGTACAGGCCCGCTGGATCTGGGACGGAGGCGACTTGACGCATGGGAAATGCATCTATTAGAGACATAACTATGGTGTGTCTCGACTGCGCCAAAGGTTCTGGTACGGGGAATCCATTCTCTCTTAGTGCCTTCATAAATGTAAACTCTTTCAGCGCTGCTAGCCGCGACATGTACATCCAAGATCCGGCTGGTCGATGCCGCAGGTAATCCCGATTTGCCTTGACTGTTCGAAAAGATATGCGACCCAGTCTGTGTATTTTCAAGACTCTTTGCACTCCCTTCTCGTCCGCCACCACGAAGATATCGCTCTCTTTTCCAACCCCGATTTGATTTCCGACGCTGTAGACGTCTTTGCGCTTTCGATATGTATTCAGAGACAAGTAATCCAGACCTCCATATGTAAGACGATAGCCATCATATTTGGCGTTCTTCAACCGCGCGATCAATCCTATCTTCGCCAAGGCAGATATGTTTTTGTGAACCCCGCCTCGGAGGCCTGATATTTGGGCAATCAATGGTGTCGGGACAACCTCATGGTTTCGGGAGCCAGTCTCAACTGCAGTGAGAGTTCGCCAGTCCTCGGCGGACAGATACCGCATGGCCTTAGTATCGAGCCTCATATCTGCTGCTGGTGGGGAATTTTCGGACTTCGTGGGGTTGATACTTTCATAGATTTATTTATTTCATGAGGTGCCAAAATACTGGCATAAAGTTTATTCCCTCTAATGGCACCCCGCTAAAGGCACACCGATGCGGCGCTAGTGAGGCGACTCGCTTGCTAGTCGTGGTCCCGTTTCGCAGGTGCTGGAGCTCTGTGTATTTGTACGCGGAAGCTTAAGGTGCCTAGCAGAATCACCGTTCTAGCCACCAAACCCCAATCACCACCTTTTGAATCCTCAAGAACTTGTCCTATCTGCGGCAATCTGCGTATCTCGGCCTAACATACCACACCAAACCTCACATCGAATACATCCTCCCCGTCCTTTCCTCTTGAGCAGCTCACGCGATGGCGCAGGATGAGCAGCCCAAGCCTGTTGACAAGGGCAAGGGAAAGGCGACGGATGCAGAGCCCAGTAAACCTGAGGATGTCAAGAAGGATAAAGATGGGAAGCCCATAGTAAATGGCAAGAGTGAAGAGGGGGCTGCTGGAGGTGAGGCTTGATTGAATCTATGTCTCCCGCGCGCTGTCACTAACCAATGCTTCAGCCGCCGAGGAGCTCAGTGAGGAAGATCAGCAGTTAAAGAGCGAGCTGGATATGCTAGTGGAGCGTTTAATGGTATGTCCTGATCTAGGTGCCATGACACTCAAATGTTGATTCGCTCAATATAGGAATCCGATGCGACCCTTTACAAACCATCCCTGGAGGCGATCAAAGACTCCATCAAGACCTCCACCTCATCGATGACCGCTGTACCCAAACCTCTAAAGTTCCTCCGGCCACATTACGAACCTATGACAAAACTTTATGAGGATTGGCCAGCTGGAGATGACAAGACATCGCTGGCGGATGTGCTTTCAGTAATCGGCATGACGTTTTCAGACGAAGACCGACAGGATACCCTCAAGTACCGGCTGCTGGCGCCAACTTCAGATATAGGCTCATGGGGCCATGAATATACAAGGCATCTTGCTCTGGAGCTTGGGGAAGTCTACACAAAGAGGCTAACGGCGGATGAACAATACCAAGATCTCATTGATCTTGCCTTAATCTTAGTCCCGCTCTTCCTTAAGAGCAATGCCGAAGCGGATGCTGTTGACTTGATGAGTGAACTCGAAATTATTGAGGACCTCCCTAAATTCCTCGACAAAGACACATACCCCCGAGTCTGCCTCTATATGGTCAGCATGGTAAATCTGTTGACCTACCCAGAAGACCAGCAATTCCTCCGGACCGCTCACGACATTTACAAGCAATACGACCAGCTTACCCAGGCAGTTATCCTTGCAATCCGCCTGAACGACATAGATCTCATTGAATCCGACTTCAGCTCGACGAAGGATGTGGCACTGAAGAAACAAATGGCCTTCCTCATTGCCAAACAGCAGATTGTTCTAGACTTTTATCCAGAGACGGAGGAAGATCAAGAAATTGTGGAATGCTTAAACAACACGAAGTTGCCAGAACATTTCAAGGCTCTAGGCAAGGAGTTGAATATTCTGGATCCAAAGACCACAGAGGATATCTACAAGAGCCATCTTGAGAGTAATCGTGTTGCCGGTCTAACTAATCTTGACTCTGCACGACACAATCTGGCCGCTGCTTTTGTCAATGCTTTTGTGAACGCAGGGTATGGTAATGACAAGATGATGATGGTTGAGGACGATAAGGCTAGTTGGGTCTGGAAGACGAAAGAAGAGGGCATGATGTCCACAGTCGCGTCTTTAGGCACGCTGCTGCTATGGGATGTGGAAGGTGGCCTTGACAAAATCGACAAGTACACCTACGCGAGCGAAGACCAGATCCAGGCTGGTGCCATGTTAGCAATCGGTATCATGAATTCCGGAGTTCGAATCGATTCCGATCCTGCCATGGCTCTTCTTGGTGATGAAGATAAGTTGAACCACAAGAGCCCACTGGTAAGGGTCGCCTCAATCATGGGCCTTGGTCTAGCATACGCAGGCTCCAATCGGGAGGCCCTTCAAGAGCTCTTACTACCAATCGTCACCGATACTTCTCTAGATATGCAAATATCTGCGATGGCCGCGCTTTCCCTGGGGATGATCTTCGTCGGTTCGTCAAACTCCGATGTCAGTGAAGCAATAGTGCAAACATTCCTGGATGATGATCGCAAATCCCAATTAAAGGACAAGTGGACTCGCTTCATGGCTCTTGGGCTTGGCCTTCTCTACTTCGGGAAACAAGAGGAAGTTGATGTCATTCTGGAGACACTGAAAGCTATCGACCACCCAATGTCAAAGCCGACTTCCGTACTTGCAGAGATCTGTGCATGGGCAGGAACAGGCACCGTCTTGAAGTTACAGGAGCTCCTCCACATTTGCAACGACCACATCGAAGATACTGATGACAAGAAAGGCGACGAGTTACTTCAAGCTTATGCTGTCATTGGCCTGGGTCTTGTCGCAATGGGCGAGGACGTTGGTCAAGAAATGGTTTTACGACAATTCGGCCATCTCATGCATTACGGCGAAGCAAATATCCGCAGAGCAGTACCTCTGGCAATGGGTCTTCTCAGCCCTAGTAACCCGCAAATGAAGGTTTACGACACACTATCGAGGTACAGTCACGACAATGACAATGATGTTGCGATCAACGCGATCTTTGCTATGGGCCTACTTGGCGCGGGAACCAACAATGCAAGACTGGCCCAGCTTCTCAGACAACTGGCCAGTTACTATCACCGAGACCAAGAATCCCTCTTCATGGTCCGCATTGCCCAAGGTCTGCTTCACATGGGTAAAGGCACACTATCAATCAGCCCCTTCCACACCGATCGCCAAGTTCTCTCAAGGGTCTCTGCTGCTGGTCTCCTCTCGGTATTAGTCGCCATGATTGATGCCAAGCAATTCGTTACCGACAAATCGCACTACCTCCTTTATTATCTGGTTACTGCAATGCATCCGAGGTTCCTCGTCACTCTTGACGAAGATCTGAAGCCCTTGACTGTCAATGTTCGAGTTGGACAGGCTGTGGATGTAGTTGGACAAGCTGGCAGACCAAAGACCATTACTGGTTGGCAGACACAGAGCACGCCTGTCCTGTTAGCATATGGAGAGCGGGCGGAATTAGAAGATGAGCAGTATATTCCTTTAACCACCACACTCGAGGGCTTGGTAATCTTGAGAAAGGTATGTTCATCTAAAATATAGTGAAATGGATCTCTGCTAACAATTAATTACCTAGAACCCTGACTGGGATGATTTGAAGAGTTGAGAAAGGGCCGCTATGAAATAAAACTGTATAATAGCCGTAGACATGATCTCTATTGGGGCGTCAGCAGCTACAAATGCTAGATGATAACTGGGTTCTATTGACTAATTCTCTCCATCCGTGTTATTGTTACTGTGCAGTGAACGCCAATGCCAAATCTAAGTAAAAAATAGCAAGAAACCGGGACGCGAAATATCGCTCCAGCCCAAAATTTCAACAACACCTTTCTAATCAAACCCTACGCCACAGCCCATAAATTACCAATATGTATGTATCGTGTAGAAGAAGCTCCACTCCTAAGTTAACACCTCTCGAAAACTCTATACAAGCCCTTTAGATTCGCCACCTCCACCACACCACGATTCATCAGCGATTTCGTCGCAATTAGCCTTGCTCTGAAGGCCGGGAATAGCACATGCTCTATAGCGCGGATGACATCTTGTCTCCTAGCCTTGATCGTATCATCGCCATCCTCTTTGGAATCTCCAGGTCCAGGGGTTGGTGGGAGCTGCTCAGGGACGTAAAACGAGGCAAGTTCGCGCAAAAAGGTGTCAAAGCACTCTTTCTCGCCCTTCCAATTCACGTGTGGCCCTAATCTGAGAAGAAAGCGTGGCAGTTTGGCCAGACTTGGTGTGTATCCTTTTACTAGAAGAGGGATGCTGATTAACTCGCCCTCCTCGGAGATCTCCAGGGAGAAGTATTCGAGGAGCATATCTCGCCGCTCGATGAGTTGAGTGGCGACTGTGTCGACGACGTCCTGAACGTCGAAATCCTCTTCCTCTGTTGTAGCCGGGGTGGAGGTTTTCTCGTGCTCAGCGGCTAGAGAAAGCAGCTCACGGAGATTTAGAGGAGGGTCGAAGCGGATTGCCCCGAAATTACCAAAATCTGTGAGGCCGACTTGATAAAAATACTCGTTGCTGATCATGCCGTAGTCGACAAGATAGAGCTTCACGCCGCCTTGGATGGCTGCCAGGCGGCGACGCTCGTCGACTACACCAACGAATGTATGGCTAGCAAATACCTCGGTCAGCTCATTGTGCATTGCGTCGCGGACTTCGGCACGCAGTCCTTTGATTGTGAGGAGACGGTAGGTAACGAGTTCTCGGTCAGAGTACTCGTATTCTGCGTCTCCTTGGCGGTCTGGACCAGAGCTTGATGTCTCTGCACCACCTTTCGAGGCGCTGGGTGGTAACATGCTTGTAATTTTGCGAATCTTTGCATCGGTGCGGACTAAGTTATTTTCATACGGTCTTTGCTTTGGTGTAGCAACTGGACCAGCGTTGCCAGTAGATGTATCACCATCGTCTTGACCTGCCTTTGATGAAGGCACTCGAACACCCGGGAGGAGGGTTTGAGTCATGAACGTTCTGCTAACGTCGACATTCGCAAGCTTCACTCGAATATCGCCGCAAACCTTTTCGATTATCTCATCTTCATTCAAGAAGTTGACCTCTCGTTTCGTGGGGTGAACATTAACATCCACCCGTTGAGGGTCGATTTCAAGGCTTATATATGTAAAAGGATGGCCCCCTTTAGGTAGAAATGTTGAGTATGTTTGCTCGATGGCCTTTCGTATATTGGTCGAGTCGACAGAACGGTGATTGATGAACAAAAGTAAAGTAGTCCGTTTAACGTGATAATTGGCATTCGTAGTCCATCCCCGTGCCTTGTATCCCCATCGTTCATCCGAGGATGTGAATTCTATCATCTCATTTGCCACTGCACTTCCGTGGATTTGCCGAATTTTATCCAGTGTTGAAGCATTCGATTGAGTAGAGATTGTCGTACCTGCTTCCCCGTGCTTCTTACAGCTGAAAGCAACACCTTCGCAGTGGACGGCATACCTCCCCACAACATCGAGGATTTTGTTATACTCTTCAGATGCGGATCGAAACGCACGACGACGAGTTGGGACGTTGTAGAAAAGATCCTCAACAGTAATTTGCGTCCCTTGACGCCCCGCTGTGGGCTTGGGATCTGCACTTTGGCCCGGCTTCGCAGGAATCAACTTCCCACTATCATAATTCGCTCTCCAAGCACAATTAGAATCTTTTGTCTTGGTGGTAACAGTAAGATGCGCGATATGGCTTATACTGGCCAGGGCCTCCCCTCGAAACCCATAGGTCCCAATCGAGGACAAGTCCTCAAACTCTTTGAGCTTCGAAGTAGTGAAGCGCTCACACAAAATTGGCAAATCTTCTTTCTTGCAAATAATCAGCCAAGGATTGGAAATGGAGAATTATTCAGCTTACAGCGATTCCATGGCCATTGTCAGTAATTTGCAAAAGTTTCAATCCGCCCTCTTTGACAAGCACTTCAAGAGATGTCGAACCCGCATCAACGGCATTTTCTATCAGCTCTTTCAAAGCATGAACAGGCGCTACTATAATCTCGCCAGCGGCGATCTTGTTGACAACATCAGGATCAAGAGCCTTATTGTAGTGCATTAGCTAGCATTCGTCTTCAAAAAAAGGGTTGAAACTTACTCTGATCCTTCTTGGGGCCGATACTTCTAGTGACACATCATCTGCCTTCCTTTTTGTGCCTCTTGGGGACTCTGTATCGACATCCATCAAGTCAGGCATCTTAGCTCCCTTTGATCATCGACGACCGCGATAATAAAGAACCGATGAGCTAGGCTAATATGCTATGCTATGTTCCTTCCATCGACTCGCCCAGTAGATGTAGATAACTGGACGGGGTGAAGCAATGAGGTCCCCGGAATCGCGACATGTCCACGTTGCCACGTGACTTGCCCCGCATTTCTTGCTCTCAGCTTCAGCCCAGCTTCGTCCAAGCAGGTCTATACTTCGCAAACACACAAGAACATAAGCATGTATGATAAACCGAGAAAGTAGACTAGTAGTTTATTTCTAAATAGGGAGTTAAACAATTTAGATAGTTGCAGAGCAGGGGGCTTTTCGAGGCTCAGTGACCCACCAAAGCATCATGGCATATGCTCTATAGCTCTCAAGAAATGGGTAGGTTGCTCATATACTGATTCAATATATGCAAATCATGCAAAAGTCAGAAGAGTCATATCAGCCAGTGCGGAAGCAGGTTATTTAATCCACACAAACAATAGGTAGAGAAAGGAATTAGTTGGCAGCAGTTAAAGCCATTGTAACGCGGCATCAGGTGGGCTGACTCTGTCAGCCTATCACATCTAATCCCACATATTTTGTTGCATATCGCACCCCTAGAAATGTGTATATGCTAGGCATATGCGAGGCATATGTACCTAGGTACAGGGTGATTTGAAATACGAAGTTGGTATATTTACCATCATGCAAGATAGGTATAGGTAGGATCCTGCTGAACCCAGTTCATAGTAGTACAATATCGATGCACAGCCTATCCCCAAACGCCTCGCTATAGCCCTATAAATGATGCAGAAACCGAAATATTCCCCCGCATCCTCAACACATGGGTTTCCAGGCTCTTGCCCATCAAACCACCGGTTTCTATCGCAAGTAATGCAACACCAACCAACAAAATCCGAAGAAAATCAGCACCCCCGCCCAGAAGATCCATTTATCCTGCTTTGCCCTTCGCTCAATCATGCGTATGGTATCTCCACTGACACCAAGTGTATTTGCTACACTGTATAGCCGCTTCTGTGTGCCCTTCAAAATCTCCCGTTGCTGGCCCAGGTCTCCCAACACAGCCTGTCCACGAGCCAGGTATTCATCCAAAGCATTGTTCGTATTTGCAAAGAAATTCTGCTCTCTCATGGCATGCTGTTCTCGGTTGTAATCGCCACTGTTCATTCCAAGGCCCGAACTCCCTGAGCCTTCTTTAGGTGCCCATGGCGAATGGGCGGACGGGGCTGACGCTATTGACGCGTTGGAATACGGGTTGTCCGGCGTAGCAGTGTGATGGGGCCTCCTCCCTAATAACTCTTGCCGGTTGACGCTTGTTTGAACATCTTCGTTTTGGGCTTTTAGTTCTTTAAGTTGCTCGCGAAAAGACTGGAGCTCGGCTCGAAACGATGATATTCGATCCTGGGCTTTCTCTTTCTTAGCGGGGTTGAGTTCGGTTTTTGCGAGGTCCGCGTAGGAATCGAGGGTTCGGGAGAAGGAGGTTAGAGACGCGGAGATTTGGCCGAGCAGTGAGGGTGTGAGTGGTGTGCCTGATGGCGCAGAGAGGTCGCGTTTGAGAGAGGTGGACTGCTTGAGAGCGGTGTTGAAGAGGGTGTTCTATCACAGAGGGACATGTGTATGAGCTTGGAGCATCTACCTATGCATTAGGACAAGGGAAGCTTACCATGATGATATGCGCCCAAGCTCCGGGCGAGATAAATTGGACACAAGTCGAAGAGTAGGCAGCAAGAGTATTGCGGTTGAGTAGAAATCAATGTGCAAAGAATTACCCCGTACTTCGTATATGGTTTCGGCTTGGGAGAAATATCTCGCGCTGGCCTCGAAATATTCGGTCCTTGTAAATACGTGGCTAGAACCAAGCTCCAGCCCTCGATGTGGCTTGAAGCGGTGGCTCGGCACTTGCGGGGATTCGGGCAGCTTACCGATGCTCGGGGAAGTCGTAGAATTACTGTGCGGATTAATGTACAGTACTTGCGATCGAGCTGATTCCCTTCATATTATTCGATTCTAAATCCCAACCTGAACGCCCAGTTCACTTGATACGGTGGTCTTTCACGCATCTCTGCGTTGGCCCAATAATGGCATCCAAAGGCAAGTCTCCAGAGGTACGCAGTGGTACGTAGCACATGTATCATCCCTGGAATGTCTTTCAGTCCCAACAGGCAGGTCGTCCTCAGTACGGGGGCGAAGTTTGATCGGCTTCCACTCCCTTCCAGCCTTCGCCCTATGTCATTCCACACGCCAAAACAACCCAACCGGTCTAGTTGCCCCCGGAAAACCTGCTGCTTTGTTCTCTTGCTGCGGCGTGCCAAACCCTTGGCGCAATCCTCAGGTCGAGTAAACCCAACTACGACCTTCGCGTATCGCCCGTTTTGACAGGCCCGCCGGTATCACGTTCGATTTTCCTGCAATTGAAACACCTCATCAAAATATTTGCCTCGGTGGGATGGCGCTGCAATAGAAACCGCACGACGACCACTTCTTTGCGCCGCGTTAGCTGGAATACAAAGCTCGACTTGTACATGTTTGCTCATCTTGCTGCTAGCGGACAACGAACGTCAACCACCTCAGCCACTTTATTGCGAAACAAAAGAGGATATATACCGCCGTTCAGCGAAAGTAATGATATAGATTTCTAGAACACGCTGTAAGATCTATTCCCAAACGCTTGGGAATGTCAATTGACCAAAATACAGAAGCGACCCAGACAAGATGCGGTCGATTTCTTGCAATTACCTCGTCCCGGCGATCCTCCTCAACCCCGCGTTCATTCTACACCTCATAAATGCCCTGATGTCGCGATTCGTACTACCTGGGCCGCATCCCCCGTCTCACTCGCCCAACCCTTTTATGGAAATGCTCGGCCCTGCCCCTGGGTCTACACCTTACCTCGATATGCATTCCGATGACCAACTTTGTTGCTATGGATATACTGCTATCATGGTGATGGTGCAAATTTTTGCTTTTGGACGAGTTCAGGACAACAGGGTTCGGAAAAGAGGTGCTAAGGCCGCCACGTCGGAGAGAGAGGCGCGTAGGAAGGAAAAGCTAGACATCCTGCAAGAGGACGGAGTGGAGGCTTCGACGAAAACAAATGGCGTTATAAGGCGAAGTGATGGCGCTACGAATGGCAATGGAAAATGCGACATTGCTAGGACTTCTACGCTGTCAAATGGAGGAGTCGAAGCAAGTGACGATCTAGAAACCGAAGAAAGCATGACCGAGACGAGTGAGGAAGAAATGATGTTATGATATCAGCTCAGACTTGTGCGATTAAGCAGGTTAGACTCAGGTCGGCGTTATGGATGCTAGGATGATAAACAGGATTGAAGGTTGCATGATTGATACTTTAGACATGATTTGTGGACACTGAGCACATGAATACTATGACCACCTTCCAGTTTATATGCAATATTTTACAGCGCACTTCGCGACTCGTCTCCTGGGTAAACCACCTTTAACGATTGAGTTCAGCAACCCAGTCTCACGGTATATAATAGCCCTCAACTGCGAGTCACTCTAGTAAATTGGCTTGCAGAACACACTTGGGGCCGTGGGAAAAGTCTGAGGTGCGAGCGTTGACTTCACAAGTACAGCGCCTACTAGACTAGGTAGGCGGGGCTATGGTTAAGTCAAAACAAGCTATGCGCGTTTGTGGGTTCTGTGGCCTTAGTGTTCTTGGTGTCTTTAGCTTGCTAAACGCACCTCCGCATTTATCGAGATTTCTTAGGACGATAGATACATAGGCAGGGATACGGTATGGGGTAGTGACTTTTGTTGTCACTAAGCATTTAGTGGTCATACCTGCCACTAAACTACCTACGCATGACGGTATATACATCGCCTACCACGGTTTAGACTAGGAATCTAATCACTCTTTTCATTTTTATTTTACCTCAGCAGTAAGGTGCGGAGGAAAGCAGATGATAGTAGAATTGGAAATGCTGAGTTGTATAATTTGGAAGGATATAAGTTGTGTGCTTGAGGACGAATATCGTTTTGGATAGTTCTCTATTATATATATATATATGTGCCTGCTTAAATGATTCTCAATTTAGATCATCATTTTCTCTTTGTTACATAATCTAAAAGCTCTCAACCAGAAATATAGCCTCTGAACTAAGGAGAAACTCAAGAGCAATCAATAGCTTCCCCTCGTTAATTCATGGCCAGCCGCGGTGTATATTTGGGAGGCAGAACCTGCACATTAGGACACAGCCTTTGATTAGCGATCGTCTATAGTAAATAAGACTCCTCTGATATTCACGCGTCTTCACCTTCGATAGGGGATACCTTCAAAGTTCCTCGTCCCATCCCCTGAGCGATCTAAGAGGGGACACTACAATCACGCATCGCAACACAAGACAGACAAAGATAACTCATCAAAGCAATGCTGTAACCTCCTCACTCAAGGCTAAATACTTGGGTCCCAAAACTAAGCTCAAATAGGAGCTTCTCTCACATCCTCAAAAAGGCGCTCACCTTATTCGACAAATCCCAATCACCGACTGCGAGGCAAGATCGGACATCCCAGAAGAACTTCTTTCTACATTTCGAGAACAAGCCCTCTTGCTTAGGAAGGCAAGCCATTGCGACAAAGGCAATTGACAAAATGGGTGATTCGGACTACTGGAAGTGTTGCCAGGGGGATGATGATGAGATAGAGGATGCTTTGTGCCCTTGGCCTGTATGTCTCCTATTTCGTCTCCCCTCTACTTTCAGCTCTACTAAGAGAGTGATGAATGCTAACTGTGATTTGATGTTTGAACAACAGTGCGGAAAGAAGAATGTGCTCCCTCAGTACTTGTGTGAAAGATGCGGACACTGGATTTGTGGAAATTGCCGGATTGTTAAAGTGAATGACAGTGCGAAGGGAAATGACAGTGCCGAGAGAGAGAAGGACAAGGATAAGGACAAGGGGAAGGGAAACGATCATGTTAAGAACCAGAAGGATAACAGGAAGGGAAGTGATGCTGCTGAGGGACGGAAGGCCGACGGGAAGTGAAATTGTGATGAGGCACTAAAGGAACGCTGAAAGGCTTTTGATCGCTTGAACTTGTAAGAGTAGTAAGGAGCGCAAGTGAGAATGGGAGCAATGATACCTCGAAGGATTTGAGAGAGCAGTTGTTGTGCGCCCCCATAGAATGGATGAAGGGTATCATTACTATGGTTTCTAAATGTATGTAGCTACTATAAGTACAGGCTCCCAAAAAAGCTTTTGTATGTACGCCAAACCAATCCGCAGGCTTCCAATAAATGCCACAAATGCAAAGCTGTAAGACGCCGGCCGTGTCATCATCCAACCATTCTATGAAACCATCTAAAAAATAGAGGAAATGTGGACAAATATCATGACTTGGGTGCTTAATCCAATCTAGAAAGCAGGCCATACCTTACCTTTGCATTCACCACACCCCCAAATCCAAAAGCAGGAACAATCCTGCAAATTCGAGCTGCGGAGCTAACCGCCCAATTCTTCTTCACAATGGCCCATCTATCGGCCCAGGTAATCCCACTGCACCCTCTATTGTACAAATCTAAGCCTAGGAGATGCATAGGCGTGCTGACAATCTGCACCGCGGCCGGAGCAACAAATTGGGCAACGGTCTGCCCGCTCATCCGCTTCTCTAACTCGGTACTCATGTTCCTGCTAATTACCGGCCCGAGTAATGGCGGGACGTTGAAGGATGCGAATATGGTAAGACAATCTCGAATTGTGAAAAGCGCGTATGATGGTAGCGACACCGGCCGTGGGGGTCCCCCAGAGCCAAAGAGTCGCACAAACGCTTGGTCTTTAATCAGAGTGAGCCCGATATTGGCAGTTGAAGAGGCCGCAAATTTCATTGTGTCGGCGGTGACGTGTGTGTATGGTTTGTTCTTTACAGTCGACGTGATGGTGTCGAGAGTGTTGGCCGTTACGAAGGTCCCGCCGTAAACCATGCAGATGAGGGCGAAGGGTTTTGAGAAGAGGATGGTATGTGGCCGGAGGACCAGAGAGGTAAGGGAAGTCTTTACCGACTCTTTGAGAGTCGATTGGCCGGAGGCGTTTTGCATTATCCCCCTACAGGTATGTTGTTAGTGAGGAAGTCATGGGAGAGAAGAAGACGAGACTTGACTTACTGGTCAATTATTGCGATCAGGGGCGCAACTAATGAAGCTGCAAAAACCCCGGAAACACAATCGGAGGCCAATCTCAGGCCTAGGTTCTTTGTATTCCATACTTTAGGTCCCTCCCGAGACCCTGCGGCTTTGGACGACCCAGCCTTTTTCTTGGGCTCCAATCCCATCTTTGGCTGTGGTGATTCTAGCCCAGGGAATTGGGATGTCATCGTATGCGCATTAGGGAAGATTGAACTTCCTACAAAGAGAGGATGCGGTGGGGGAAGAGCAACGAAAGTTGGATGACGGATTGAATGACTTTGCAGATCAGTTCCCGTAATAATGTTATCTTACAGAACCCGCCGCCGAAGTCGCTGCTGTCAGCTCAGCTCTCGCTCACCGGCGTCCAGGGTCTCAACGGAAATTTTCCGAGCTTATCGCGATAAGAGACACGTGACGGATACCTGCCCCTTTCTGTGGATTTGGGGGGTTAGTAAGTCACTAGGTAAGGTAGGTGTAGAATCTTTTGATATATAAGGTAGTAAAGATAGTAGTTGAACAAGTAACCTTGGGTACTTGATTTGTTCTTCTTGCAGCGGGTGACTGGGCCCTTCTGTCTTATTTATAAGTTGCAGTATTAGAAAATGTTTACGCCACCCTCCACATCTTGGCCGCTTGGCGAACGCTACCAGCATTGACAATGACTCTTTGATGATTCGCTATCCAATTGAAGCTGCTCAAGGAGGCTTAATAGTCTTGGCAACATCCGACTATTCATATCTCGACGTAGTGCTTTATTCTTCTAGAACGAGAACCCCATTTATGAAGGAGCGGATTGCGGAGTATTGAGCTGGAAATTCCAAAATGAACAGTACATACCCGAGGTTACTACGAAGTAGAGTTGTTTCGAGGAAGTAACCATCCGGCTACAAACTACTGTAGCCCAAGGCAAATCAATAAATGCCTCTTATGTCTTATGTTGAACATATTGGGCCAAGACAAATACAACATTAAAGAAACGCACAACCCAGAGCCGAACTTCAGTATTCTTGGCTCTAAGAAAAATCCCCTTTCCAATGCGTATGTCTGGAGCAGTGATGTCATTATTTACATAAACAAACCCGTGCTGTTCAACGGATAACAACAACGAGAAACGTCAAGTTTTGACCAGAAGTTACTTGCCAGGCCTCGGTGCAAAAGCATCCGACCCCACTATTGACTTCCCTCCCCCTATTCCCCTATTCACAACAAACCAGCACATTCAAAATCTCGTCCCAAACCCCAAAATGTCACTCGCAAAACCCACCAGCAGCAATGGGTCAACAAGCATTGTATCCTCTGGTCGCCAATCCTATAAAATCGCCCTGATTCCCGGCGATGGCATCGGCATTGAAGTAATCCAGGAAGGCAAAGAAGTGCTCCAGAAGCTTGCCACGGAACTAGATACCTTCGATTTAGATTTTAAGGGATTTGAATGGAGTAGTGCATATTACAAGAAGCATGGGAAATACCTCCCTGACGATGCATTGGCGCAGGTAAAGAAGTTCGATGCTATCCTCTTCGGGGCAGTGGGAGCGCCAGGTATGTTTACTCTCCATTCTAAAATTGGGAGTTGCCCTGGGCTAATACGAGGTGCAAACAGATGTACCTGATCATATCTCGCTGTGGGGACTCCGCCTTGCTCTATGCCAGCCTCTGCAACAGTATGCAAATGTCCGGCCTACGCGTATTCTCCGCGGTACCACATCCCCCCTCCGGAACTGCAAACCTGGAGATCTGGATTGGGTAATTGTGCGAGAGAACTCTGAGGGAGAATATGCTGGGCACGGCGGGACGTCACATACGGGCCAAGCCTGGTCTGTAGCCACCGAGGTTTCAATCTTCACGAGACATGGCGTTGAGCGGATTATGCGCTTTGCATTCGAAACGGCGCGGAGCCGGCCACGAAAGAAGCTCACTGTGGTTACCAAGAGCAATGCTCAGAGAAATGGGATGGTATTCTGGGACCAGGTCGCCTCGGAAGTTGCCCTAGATTTCCCGGATGTGGAGGTTGACAAGATGCTGGTTGATGCGATGACCACTCGGATGGTACTCAAGCCTGAGAGCATCGACACAGTTGTCGCGACAAATTTACATGCTGATATACTCTCCGACTTGGCTGCTGCCTTAGCAGGCAGTATTGGAATCGCTCCGACATCGAATCTTGATCCCACGAGGCAGAACCCGTCTATGTTTGAGCCGATTCACGGCAGTGCTTTTGATATTACGGGAAAAGGATTGGCAAACCCGGTAGCTACGTTCTGGACAGCGGCGGAAATGTTAAGATGGTTAGGTCAGGCTGAGGCAGCACAACTGCTAATGGAGGCTGTGGAAAACGTTACAGAGAGCGGTGTCAAGACTGCAGACCTAGGCGGCTCGAGCAAGACAAAAGAGGTAACCGATGCAGTCTGTAAAGAGATTCACAAATTGGCTAGACTGGCAAACGAGAAAAAGTAGGGTGGGACCTGACTTGAGATTTGACAAACTGATATATCCTTATCATGATTTTCGAAGTGGCAGGAAGTTGATCGAGTCAGCTAAAGGGGTTGGAATTGAAAAAGATAACCGAAGTCTACAAAAACCAGATCATGATGTACAACCCCTAGTCTCTTCTAACGAATCCCCTCCGCCCACCAAAACGCCTATGGGACGGTGCGACCAGGTCACACCGTACCCATCAAACACCCACCATAAAGTGTCGCTCACAAAAAAGACAAATTTAGAATAGAAGAGTATCATGCAATGCCATGCCTTAACACCGTGAATCAATCCTTCCGGCTGGACCTTCTGCTTCCAAATGGATAGCTAGAGTGTATACTCGTAGGCGAACCTGGAGGCTTCATCTCCGACAACCCTAATTTCACTTCTCCAACACGCCTGAGCATCGACTGCAACGCGATCCTGACCTCCACCCCCATCTCCCTATTTAGAAGGTCTACGCCAAGTGGGTAGAACACCTCGATATACTTCTCGAATCCTTCCCGTGGAAAATTAGTGTATCCTTCCATCACATCCACTACCACTGGTCTCCACGCAATGATATTCCTTTGCTGGGAATCCTCTTCCAGTTGCGTAAAGGAACGAATGATATCCGCGCACAACGGCACAAGAGCCGCTTCCGTGTCATCACGATTCCGCTTGCGCTCTTCCCCTTCGTCGTGATACATACGGAGCAAGATACTAACATATGTCGCTGCACTGCCGCTTTCCTGCTTGAGGAGATTGGGAGGTTGTTTCATAAATCCTTCTCGCCAGAGTCGCATGCGGAGTTCCTTATTCTCGTTGAATTTCTTGGCGAACATGAAGCTCTTCTTGAGAAGTCCCATAAGCCGGAGCAGCTCTGGACTTGGTATTTGAGCATAGACAGCGTCGTTGGAGAAGAGCTCATTAACCGTCTCGATCATAAGCAATTGTAGCACACAACGGGTGATAATCTTGTTGAAGAAACGTCTTCGGGCCACGGTGACTACTACCGGTTGTTGTTGAAGTTCCGGCTGAGGCTTGTAGTCTTCTAACTCGCTTTGCGTCGCCGGTGGCGTGGTTGTTTCATTATCGTTGACGCTATCAGCCTCTGAAGTTGTAGTGCCATTGGTTCCGTTAATCTTGAGTGACTTCTCGTCAGAACCGGGTGACTCCGCAGGCAGAGCCCCTTCTTCAGTTCCGTTCGCAGGCCCGGTTGTGGCAGAGAACAGCTGATGAGCCGTGGTTCTGTCGAACAGCTCGACAAAGGCACCGACAATCTTCGACCAATGGTTAGGCTGAAACTTAGTTACGTTCTGCAAAATGAGTTGCTGAAGACAATTGCTTCCAATGCGAGCAATAGTATCGTTCTCTTGGCATATGCAGAGAGTCAATAGATCCAAGAATCTATCAAGCATATATTCTAAGGACTCGAAATAATGTGTGAAGAGCGTGATCATATTTCGAAGCGCCTGGATCATAGTAGTCGATAACCACACCGACAGCTCTTCATGGTTGAGAACGTTTGACATCTCAGACTTGGATTTGAGAACCATGAATATCGGGTAGAGGAGTTGCCGCCAAAGAATGTCCCAGAAGTCGGAGGGGAAGTCGCCGCCATATTTGATAAGCGACTCGAACAAGTAGTTGAGAGCATTGGATCTAACTTCCAGGTCCTCGCCAGTCATGAGGACATCATGGAATGCAAAAAGCACAGGAAACCAGAATGCTTCTTCCTGCGTGGTCCGACTTGGCTGTTTTGATAGCGGGTCCGATGTTTTGGTTGACCCATCAGAGTTCACATTGGATTTGCGAGACAGCGGGCATTCAGGAGTCTTGAGCATCTTCGGAATGATTGACTTGAGAGTTTCCATGGCCTGGAGTCCTTTCTTCTGGAACCTCATATTCTTCGAAAATTCCGTTAAGCATACGATGAGGTCTGCAAACGCGCCTTGGGATATAACAACCCCAAATCGTGTTTTGTACACCTGATTGACATTCTCGAAGGCAAGATTGACGATGCTTTCGTATGGTTCTCGTGCGGCTATTGTGAAAACACCGAACATGGTTCTCCATCCAGAACGGATATTCTCCCCGCGGGCTTGGATCATTTGTATAAGGCATCGTAGAGTCATGTCCTTCACACCGACAACGTTGCTATTTGATATAATGTGCTCAAATGGCTTCAGGAAATCTTTCTGGAACTTGAAACCAGGCAGTTCTTCGATTTCCATAAAGCGCATTGATAATTGTCTTAGAGAGTCTAAGGCAAAGAACACCACAGCAGTGTTGCTGTGGCATCCGACTCGGTTGAAGTGTTGGCCTAGAACAAGCCATATATTGGTCCATTCGAACCTGACTCTGGTCATGTTGTAGTAACTGATCTCGACGAGCTTCTGCAAGCTATACGTCCGAGGAGACTCGTTTGACCCCGAGATCTTGATTTCCTCCCAACTGACTTCTGTCAAAGCTCTCACAAAATGAACAATAGCGACACCAGAAAGATTTGCTGTGTTGGTAAATATTCGGTCAACTGCTTTGATAACTTCATCTGACCGGCTTTCCATTGCAATCTCCATCGAGTAGCTTGTGCCTCCTGTGGTGGATCGAGGTCGTTGACGGGGAGGTCTCTGTGATTGACTTGACTTTCTGGATGCTCCTGTGTCTTGCCGAGTTGGGGGAACAATGCGTGCCTTGGAAACATCAGGTATCGCCCCTTCATCGACGCCCTCGGAGATCAGTTGTAGCCGATCAAGCTGGCTGACGCACATCAGTATGTCTCGCCATGATTCTCTCAGCACATTTCCTTCTGTTTGCGCGATCTCTAAAAGGATTTTGAGAGCCTCGACGTTTTTTGCCATCATCTCGGTGGGATTATTGAGGTTTGTAGCGTTCTTCAGAGCTGAAATAAACGCTTCTCTCGGAGTATCCAAATCAAAAAGGCATGCAATACGGACGGCAAGCTTCATGCCTTCCATACACAGCTTGATTATTTCAATATTATGAGCATTTCGCATTTGTCCGGAAAGGCCCGAGAAGAATGACATCCATGTCACGTCGAACATTGGCCCGACATGTTTGACGGATGTGGCCGGGATGAATTTGCTGGAGCCAGATTTTGTAGGGTTTTTCCGCTCCTTCCGGTACAAGCTTTTGAAGAGTTGTTCAGATCTGAGCGATATCTCCTCCGCATGTTTGGTGTAAGCCTCCCTCTGTAGGTCTCGACCAACCGTAGCGAGGGCTTGCCCAAGACTTGCAATGCCACCTCCACCTGATTGAGGTGTTATCCCCATAGCTGCTGCAGCTTCGCGTTCACTCCTAAGGACAATTTCATCGTTTGCAATTTCATCATATATACCATTAAGGTATTCATCAGGGAGATTGGCATTGTCATTGATACCCCTATTGTTTTTGATGAAGTCCTCTTTCGTCATTCGCTTTGCGACTTTGCTGCTATGCAAATCGGTATTCAGTAAGATGACCGAATAAGCAAGGACGTAAGCGGTGTCGGCATTGGCGAAAGCATTTGGATTCCCGGTCACGTAACGATTGGCGAATTTCAGCATGAATCTATCAATCTTCTGTGCTTCTCCTGGTAGGCGGAAAGACTGCAGAAACTGCCTCAGGGCGTCTACGAAACGACGTTTTGCAAAATCCATACAGTCCACAAAAGCGTGCATAGTCGCAATGTTCTTGTCGTCGCCTTCCCCCAAGTACTCCCCAATTTGGGCCTTGTCTAGCCGCTCTTCCTTGAGCAGAAAAAGCGCGATATCCTCTGGACTATCGCTCGGGATAATCCCGTCTGATAGCAGAAGTTTGATACCTCGCTTAGGCTTGAAATTGAACTGCTTGATAGCATTGGTGATGGCGGTTTTCCGCTGCTTCTCCTTTTCAAGTTGTTCAGGATCATCTTCAAGAACAGGGGTTGAAGGAGGAATTGGGGTGTCGCCGTTAGCCGTTCGTGTGAAGCTATCATTTCCAGACGGGTCTAATGATTCACGGACGTCTTCCGATGCTCTCACGTTTTGATCAGCACCTGTTGCTTCAGTAATTCCTTGCTGTGACCAGTTGACCATGGACCGTAACGTTTCCACTAAGCAATCTAAGGCTTGTCTCTTGATGATATATTCCTTAGGTATCTCGGATTCATTCATTTCGCTATGACCACTTATATGCGCTGTCGATAGTGGAGGGGGAAGCGTTCCCCGAGCTTGCCAGTCCGAGCCATTAATGTTACTCTTGGCGGCCTTCTCTTCATACTGCTGCTGATGAAGTGGGCTGACCATTACAGCAGCGCTTGAAGCTTTGGATAAATCCTCAATCAGAGTTTGAAATATGTTGTTGACATTTCTGTCACAGTCGTAATTGAGATACGTTTCGACGAGAGCGCGGGGATCTGCGCACAGACGCTGCAATATGCCCATAAAGTAGAGCCTTTGACCAACAGTGGTAGTCCGTCTTTCCAGAAGGGCCAAGTATATTTCGTTCAGAAAGACCTCGATTTCTTTCTGTCGATTTGTTAGTATTGTATCTCTATAAGATTATGTGCACAAACCTTGAGAGGAGCCCTCATGAATTTGAGCATCAGCCAGAATATCTCGCAGCAAACTTCAAATACTCGGTCCACAGAGCTTGCTCCATTTCGCGTAAGACTGAGACACAGGTAGAATTTAATAGCTTGCAGGAAGTTCGTGGACTCGTTGCTTTTGCTGTTTGTGATGGTACATATTGGTGATGTGAAGACCAGCAGGTTGTTATTGAGTAAAGTGTGAATGAGGTGAAGAGAAATAAGTTTTGACCGCATGGCTTGTCCTTTCAAGTCGTACAGTTGGTCAGGGCCGAGGACTTTGGTGCTAAGGTTGCAGAATGATCTGAAAACTAGATATGCATCTCGTATATAGACCTCGTCCTCGGCATCCTCTGATTCTAAGCCGTCATCTGCACTGCTCTCTAGCGACGCCTGCGTTGAGGGTGATTGCAGAGATGACCGCACTGGCTTGACCTGTGACACCATCGTTGGCCCTTCACCCATCTGCGAGTCGTCAAAGCTTTTCCGGTGTTCGAGATCCTTCAATGTGAGCTTTGGTCCTTCGTCGCCGGAGGTGTCGGCTGCCGAACTCCCCTCGACTGATTCTCCACCTTCGGTACTTCCTGCAGCATCATTTATAGACTCCGATGCGTCAACCGTTAAAGAACTCGCATTCCCGGTGGTCTTCTCAAGTTTTGATAAATTCAGCCGTGCCTCTTTCATGTGTATTCTTGTTTTAACACGCTCAAACACAGTTCCCACCATTTGTGTCAACGTCCCTTGTGCCACCTGCTGATTTGCACTACTCTTCGAGAGGAGGAAGACATTGTAGACTTGGCGGACAGCTTTTAGAAGGCCAGCGCCATGGACCACAATTTTGTCATTCAGAACAGCCGCAAGTAGCGACTTGACAATCTGCAGCTGTATCTCCACGGGCGTAGTCTCCCCTTGAAAGCAGTCGCATATCGTATCGATTGCGCGTTCGATCAGGGGTTCTCGAGAGGCCTCTTTGTCTGCATTGGGGGACGAGGGAACAGAAAAGTAGGAATAGCTGATCAGCTTTCCAATGCAATCGAGCGCAGTCGTGGTTAGGGGGATGCTTGTGCCCTTCGTAGCGGCTTGTAATGGCGCAAAGATTATTTCGGGGTCTGGTAATTGAGGGTCTTGTTCCTTGATCTCCTTCAGGGCCTTTTGGACGGATTCGCCCAGCGGCGGCCTTTTATGTGCCTCCTTGGAAGCTGCTATAGCTTCCAAAGCGGATACCACAAAAACGATAGAGCTCATGGTGGCCGATTGTGTGCACCGGCGTCCATCCGCGACTCTCCTGGTGTTTGCTGACGGGCAAAGTGAGAGCTGTTCAGATGGGATTTTGTCGGCGTATCGGGCTGTCTCCGCGTCCAGCTTCAGGAAGAGGGTACGAGTGCAGAGTACGGGGGTACAGTACACGTAAACCCGAACTCAGGATCCTAGCGAGGACGAAACCCTCCACCGTCTAGAGCGACTAGAGCGACTGGAGCGACTAGAGCCCAACAAGGGAAACTGCTAGACAAACGGCGTGTAATCGGGGCCAGGGCGGCGTAACCGTCTCCGGCGCCTGTTCCACCAATCACCGCCGGGGACGCGCTTCGTCGGGGACTAGGCTGTTTCGAGGCTAATAAGACAAGCTCATCCAAGCTCCCAACATACTCGAATACATTTTGGTTTTCCCGACGTTGAACTTTTGAATCACCCTACCGGTATCGCCGACTTCACCTCTCCCCCCCCCGCCAACAACGTCGGGTTTCGAACCCAACCCTTCAATTGACTGGCTTTCTCTTCGCCCTTCTCTCTCCTTTTATTTCAAGCCCATATTATTTACCTCTAATTCTCCAAATATGTTCGCCGCGGTGTTAAGGAGGCGCGCCCTCCAACCCTCCATCATCTCCTCCTACCAATTCGCCCGATGCTATGCGTCAAAACCATTCCCACCTCATACGGTGGTCACCATGCCCGCGTTATCTCCTACCATGACCGCAGGCAACATTGGGACGTGGCAGAAGAAGGCCGGCGATTCGATTGTCCCTGGCGATGTCTTAGTTGAGATCGAGACGGACAAGGCCCAGATGGACTTCGAGTTTCAAGAAGAGGGCGTTCTCGCAAAGATCTTGAGGGATTCGGGAGAGAAGGACGTGACCGTTGGTAATGTAAGTAATTGGAATTGGAATTGGATTACTTAATTGGCTCATACTAACTTTCTAAAGCCAATTGCTGTCATGATTGAGGAGGGCGAGGATGTTTCGGCTTTCGAATCATTCACACTTGAGGATGCCGGCGGAGAGAAGTCTCCTCCAAAGGAGGAGAAGAGCAAGGCTTCCGAGCCAGAGGAGCCCAAGCCTGCCCCGAAGATGGAGCCTGAGCCAGTTCCCGAAGAAACCGAGGCCGTTGGAGGAAGGCTACAACCTTCTTTAGATAGAGTTCCAAATGCGAGTGCTGCTGCCGTTAGATTCGCGATCGAAAAGGGTGTCAAGATCGCCGGTCTCAAGGGTACTGGAACTGGTGGACAAGTTACTGAGAGCGACATCAAGAAAGCATCTTCCGGAGCGGCCGCCGCCCCAGGCGCTGCCCCAGCTGCTTCATATGTCGATATTGAGACCTCTTCAATGAGAAAGACTATCGCCAACCGTCTTACCGAGTCGATGAACCAGAGCCCCCATTACTTCGTCGCTGCTACCGTATCCGTCTCCAAACTACTCAAGCTTCGACAGGCGCTCAATGCTTCGGCGGATGGCAAGTACAAGCTCTCAGTAAACGATTTCCTCGTTAAAGCTTGTGGTGTTGCCTGCAAGAAGGTCCCAGCAGTTAACTCTAGCTGGAGAGATGGTTTCATCCGTCAATTCAACAACGTTGATATTTCAGTAAGTCCACTCCTTAGTAGCATTCGAAGGAAATTTATTAATTGCTTTGCGTGCTAGGTCGCTGTCGCCACACCTGCCGGACTCATGACCCCTATCGTCAAATCCGTGGAAGGCCTCGGCCTCCAATCCATCTCCGCACAAGTCAAGGACCTCGGAAAGCGCGCCCGTGACGGCAAGCTCAAGCCAGAGGAATACCAAGGCGGAACCTTCACCATCAGCAACATGGGCATGAACCCCGCCATCGACCGATTCACAGCAGTTATCAACCCACCACAAGCCGGTATCCTCGCCGTGGGCACGACCAAGAAGGTCGCCATCCCAGTTGAGACAGAGGAGGGCACGGAGCTAGAGTGGGATGATCAAATAGTAGTTACAGCCAGCTTTGATCATAAGGTTGTTGATGGCGCTGTCGGTGGAGAGTGGATTCGCGAGTTCAAGCAGGTATTAGAGAACCCGCTTGAGTTGTTACTGTGAGGTGGGGAATAGGGATGAGTGGCGAAGGTTGAGGCGACGAGATAGAGATTCCCCGTGTAACATTGTAAAACGAAACCTTTTCTAAAAAGAAAACTCCCGTTATAGAACCAACCTTTAAATTTTATTTTTGTGTTTCCGCTCTGTCTTGTCTTGTCTCGCGATATAGATGAGCTCTCGCCGTAGGACAACAAACCTACCCACACAGAACCAAGAAAGGGCTGAAAGAATGGGGATGCCCCGGCTCTAAAAGCATCTAATCTCTAGAAATCCCATCTAAAGATCAGCAATGCCTCCTGAATCTTAACTGTCGTAAGTGCTTATTAAGAAGTAATTCTGAAGTCAATCTAGAAGGTATGTGCCACGAAAGTGGTGTTAGGTAGCAATATGCCCATTCATTGAGTGAAATAATACCTTGTAATGCTCATTCCCCATTTTTATTTCCACCGCGCTTCCTATGCTAAGCAAAGTAGCGTTTATATACTGCTACAGCAACCTCCCCACGAATTAAGCCACCCTCCATGCAAATCCTCTGTGCAATTTCACAATCCATGGCATCCATGCCAGCAAAAAACATCAAGTAATTACATTTCCGTAACGGGGTATCACCATCAAAATCCGCAAATTATCTACAGTCCATCGCCCGGCACCTAGCGCTCTATGATTTGTCTGTGCTGCTGGTTGCAGCTGTCTTTGGCAGGGACATGCTATATGGAGCCTACGAATTGGGGGAAGCAAGTTAGCAAGCACGCCTCTTTTCGAATAGCGACTACGTGCCGCTATAAAAAGAAGAAGGAAATAAGAAATAGGGAGTTAAATGGCAAAATGTAGATCATCGGCATACCAGTACGTGCTTCGCATTACAGATTCTCCACGCTAGCTTCTTCACATTCCCATCAGCCAGCACCACGCCAGGCGCGAACTCGATACCGAACATTTGATGAACAGCGAAGACGACACGCTTGGCATATTTGGGGTCTCGTTCGACTAGGCTGCCAAAGCTCTCGTCCACCGTGTTGGGCGCGATCTCTGGGTCGCGATCGAAGCAATTACGCACCACAGGCAATAGAGCACTTTCGACGGCGGTGCGGCTCATGCCCTGAGCGTCCACTTCTACGCCTTCTTCGTCAAAGCGTCCGATGCGAACTTCGAAGGGGAGGGAGATGGCCATAACGTTATGCTTGCCATCGTGGTGGTAGCGGAATTCGAAAACTCCCTGTGTCCACCAGAGTTTGTCTCCTTCGAAAATCATCTCGCCCTGGTAGTAGTCTTCAGTATGACCATCTTGGCGATCCGTACCCGAAACCAGCTGGTTGGATACTAATATTCCATTGTCGGCTGGCGTACTTTCATACACGTTCGGCACTGTCGCAACCCAACGGCCTGCGGAAGCTACTCTAGTAATTTCTCGAGATTCGTTATCAGCGATCATATACAGCCCAACCCAATCTTTCTTGCTATGATTAACCGGTGCGGTCCATTTAACCTTGATTGGTGCACCATATTCGAATATAAGTGGTTGGTATTTGTCAGTCCGTTCCCGTGGAAGCTGTGCGGTTTGACCCTCATTTCCCGTTGCTCTATCACGAGGAGACAGAGCCGACGGCGTTCCTTGAATTGTAATAAAATAATCACTAGGATCATAGCCTGCTAAATCGGGAGCGAGTCGGGTTATGGTAATGCGCGTTGGGTACTGTTGGAACAAAGCGGTGGTATCACGGACGATAGTCGAAACACCGGCTGCGAGTTTGGGCCGAGCAGCATCCAGAAGCTCTTCCATAAAGTTACCCGTCTCGCCCAAAACTTTATCTACACTACCCTTCCACTTCTTGAGTGGCGGCGGTAGAGATCGTCGGATACTCTTCGTGAGTCCAGCTTCTGATCGAAGGGATTCTCCATACAGCTTTTGCATGTGTGGCTTCTCTACAAACTGGAGGAACCCAAGGGTTAAAATGTGACTAAGAGCGGCAATGAGGAAGATTGGTCCGCTCCAGGTAATACAAACCGCACCCCACACACCAGCTAGGCCAATGATACGTTCTGGGTTGTTGAGATATCGATAGATGCCGCTATAGGTCAATTTTGGTGCCTGGTCGAAGAAGAAATCTCCAAAGAACCATCCAAACTCGCCCAGAGACTCGTAGATGCTAGTCCCAGTCCATACTTGTAGAGCAATAAGGCCAGCTCCCATCACGTGTTTTAACAGCACAAGTCCATGGCCCCAGTCAGCTGGGAAAGAGTACATCTTCCAGGTAGCAGCGATGAGACTTGCGTAGCACATAGTCATGCTCAAATGGTACATGCCCTTCCATTGCCTCCAAGCCTCGTCGGTGCTTTCACCATACTTGACAAAATGTCTGGTCCACATTTTCGTATTTGATTGCCGGTGGAGAATGACTCCCAAACCGACCGTATACCATATACGCCACGCAATTGCATTTAGGATGAAGAAAGTCTGGAATAATGGCGTTGATGGGGTCCACAGAGTTATTAGTATTAGATATCCTTGCAGTAAGAGGACGGATAGGTCGGTGGTCCGGAAGAGATCTAAGTTGCCCATTAAGTTGTGTGTCGCGAGGGGCTGTTCGGAAGCAGTCAAATGCGAAGCAGGTTCTGGCAGCTGATCAAGTTCCATTCCTTCTTTATGTGCGGCAGAAGCATTTTCGTCCCGGATGTCGCTTGGGCTTGGGTCCCGGCGTCTGGGTGGCGGACGATTGTAAGTTTTCTCGATATGGGGATTTTCGACGTATTGCAGGAAAAAGAACTGGGCAGCATGCGCAACAATCGAAATGAATAGCACGTTATAACTTGCGGCCATCCAGGAGATGCCATAGTATCCCGTATATCCAATAGAATACATAGGGTGAGGAGCCATCTCAAAAACCCCATCGAAAGTAAGTTCCTGATCGATCAAGTAGAAGAAGTCTCCCCAATACCAAGCATAGTCCTTGACTACGCGATGAGCATCCAGCTTGACCCATAGATTGAAGCCAACAAGAATCATGCCTCCCGTCCAACGGACTATGAGCTGGCCCACGCCTTCGCCGACGGGCCGTTCCGAACAAGCAATGGCAAATAGAACATATGACACGAAGTCGCACATCAAGATCAAGTCTACCACTCGTCGGAACACAAGCCATGTATTGTACTCCAGCGGCGCGTCTTCAAATTTGTAGTCCTCTGGGATCTTGGTCTCCAATTCGCGTTTGATCAGATTGTACAGCCATGGCCGCGGGTTCTTGCCAGTAGCCGGGTTTTCGAAAAGCCGCCACTTCTTTGCCCATACTATTAGCCGGCCATGGTTCGACTGGATATGGAGGAGCCATCCGATCCCGATGTTGTAGCAGCCTCTCCAGAACAGGAATATGAGGGCAAAAACCGGTCTCTTCAGGCCGGCGGGGAGGAAGTACAGGGCAAGGATATGTAAACCGAGGATGGCGAGCACAATGACATCGGAGAGGTTCTTGGGCTGGCGAGGGTCGAGTAGCTGGGAGACCATATCATGGGTCTGGGGCACAGTAAATACTAGGGTAAATAGACATGTCAGCCGTGGCCCCAGTTAGGTAGGTAACTGGCGGTAACTGCTGTGCAACCAAAGGATCGATGATCTGACGTGCTGACGTGCAGCCGTGCGGATTACTACTTACTTGTTCCATCTGGCGTTCTGCCAAAGGTTTTCTTCTCTTTCTCGACATCACCTTCAGATCTGGGGGTACATTGCCCACTGCTTGTGCTTGAGGTATTTGCATTCTCTTCTCGCGTTGTCTGCACATGCCGCTCTCGAAGACCATCCGTCCCTGGGGCGGCATTGTCTCGAGAACTCATCATTGGCGGTTACTTGGCGGAGGGAGGTATGAGCCCGGCAAAAGTGGTGTTGAGAGCTCTGACCGTCGAGAGACACCCCTCGTCTACAGCGTACGAAGCAAGCCCTGGAGCCTCGGGCAGATCGTGGATGTGGACAGGGTGTTGTGTTGGGCAGACAAAAGAAGGAATGCTTCAGTATAGTTGAGATACCGGATGGCCCATTTGTCTGCCGGGTTTGGGGTTTGGGGTTTGGGGTGTGGAGTTGTGTTCTCAAGTAGTGTTCGGGTCACCGCACAAGGTTCACGACCTGACTTGACTTAACTTCGAACAGTGCCGGTACATGTGAAATCTCTCGCTTACCGCAGCAGTTGGCCCAGCGTGGGGGGCAGATCATGAGGCTGGACAGCTTCATCTATCTGCACGCAAACAGGGCCATTTAGCAATTGCGTCACGATATTGCTAGGAGAACGGGATTCAGGGCACGACAACGCAGGATCTAATGCTACTTGTCTTAACATGACTAAGAACTCTAATTGTTCATGGCGGGTTAATCCACGACGGGGGCAATTGCCTGCGCCATACTCCGTAGAAGCAATATACGCAATATTCGCAATATTTGCAATATACGCAAAACTCGCAGAGCTTTACTGATTGGAATGCGAGACCCACCCGTCATCGGAGCTGCTGCCTCACCGCCTTCCACATCTGATTTTGCCACCCGCCCACGGGCGGTGATTATGTAATCTCATTACCCCTCCAAAACTCGCCCCTGCCCGCCCCCGATGTCGCGAAGAATTATTGCAGGCTGCTTTGTAAACATCCACAGCTGATAAGGCTACTTAGTAGTAAGTCCCTTTTTCTAGCATATATGCTTATCGCCCTCGTAAACAATAAATGGGCATCCTCCCATCTCACCACGCCTTGACCTCCTCCGTATACGAGTCGACTCAAGACCGCCTCACATGATGGCTCCCTCTCTAGAAGTGCCCGAAAACATCCAAGATGTCCTCTCAAGTCCTCTCAAAGCCGCCCCTCAACTCATCGCCCCCGAACCAGAGCACTGTCCTGGCCCGGAATCCGAGCAAGCCGGAAAGGCCGACTCTTGCGCGGGCTGCCCAAACCAAGCCATATGTGCTTCAGCACCCAAAGGCCCCGACCCAGAAATTCCGCTTATCACGGCACGGCTCTCTGGGATCAAGCATAAAGTGTTGATCCTGTCAGGGAAAGGCGGCGTTGGCAAGAGCACATTTACCGCCTTGTTAGCACACGCCTTTGCTACCAATGAAGACAATACAGTTGGAATTATGGATACCGATATTTGTGGGCCGAGCATACCGAAGATGATGGGGGTCGAGACCGAGACGATACATGTTAGCGGCGCTGGATGGAGCCCGGTCTGGGTGATGGAGAATCTGGGAGTTATGAGCATACAATTCATGTTGCCAAACAGGGATGATGCAATCATATGGAGAGGGCCAAAGAAGAATGGTCTGATTAAAAAGTTCCTAAAGGACGTCGAATGGGGAGACATGGATTTCTTGCTCGTGGATACCCCGCCGGGAACAAGCGATGAGCATCTAAGTGTGAATTCATATCTGAAGGAGAGTGGGGTGGATGGCGCCGTGGTCATTACAACGCCCCAAGAAGTTGCCCTTCTCGACGTCCGGAAGGAGATTGATTTTTGTCGAAAAGCCGGCATCAAGGTCTTAGGCATCGTGGAGAATATGTCCGGCTTTGTTTGTCCGAAGTGCACTCACGAAAGCCAAATCTTCCAGGCAACCACTGGTGGAGCTAGGCACTTGGCTAAGGAGATGAATATTCCGTTTCTGGGCGCAGTGCCACTAGACCCACGAATTGGACAGGCGGCAGATTATGGGGAAAGCTTCTTTGATTCCTTCCCTAATAGCCCGGCTTGTGCTGCTCTGAAGAATGTGGTCAGAAGAGTTGGTGAGGAGATGGGCCTTAAGCCCGAGAGCGTTCTACCTGAAGATTGAGCGGTTGTTAAACCACCGTGGGGTTATTTGCCGCACGACACCACATATATAGCTCGCCCTCGGGGCGATCCTCGACTAGGCGAACATGCCCACGCTGCCCATGGAGACGATACTAGGAGATACGCCTCGATTTCCTTGAATTAAGGGAACTGGAATGCTTGAGATGCTGCCCTAGATCTTACTAGCATAATAGAGTAGCCAGCATGATCTGATGCAAGGACACAACAGAAATGCACCTGCACTAGCAGGCCATGATATGATAGACAAGATGTCACGAGTTACCTTTGCACCTCTCAGCGGGGGAAGAATTTAGAGATATTGAGGATATTGAGATAGAATCAAGAATTTTTAAGCCCAGCTAAGAAGTAGTGAACTTCGGCCATCCCAGCATCCTAGTCATATATCTTTCCGTAGTCTACTTTTCCTATTGATTATTTCAGAGGTAGAGTGCCTTAGAAGCCTAGACATTGATATACAAGTGGAGGACCTCGAAAATGAAAACATATCTCACCGAATAAGATTGCACCAGGATAACTTAGCTCCAAAGTCACGAATGCATCCATCCCATTTAGAGAATAATTCTAATAAAAGCGTTTGTATTGTACCAGCAGTAACGCTGCATTGTGTAGGATCTGAGTCTCTATGCTCGCTCGCTGCATGATGAGCCTGCAACTGAACCCTGTCCAGCGGGCCAGGCGAGAAATTGGAGCAGACAAGAGCAAAACGCCAGGGTAGCTGCTGGAACCCGTTTCCCCGACCATCTATCGTCTTCGCAAACAAGATAAAATTCATAATCGTTATCATTAATGCCATCCCAAGTACTGACCGGGCCGCTTCCTCCATCCTTAGACGCCACTCTTCCTCAACCCCGCCTCGTCACTCCTTTTTCTCCGTCCAAAGTACCCTTTACCTTGAGGCTTCTCTGAGAACTCTCTCTGTCGCTGCCTTTTCCCCATAACCAACTCACCCACACTCACCATCATCGCAACAGCCATAGCTGCCGTCGCCACCCACGTCAATATCAGATACTTCCCACCCTTATAGGCATAGAGTCCCACGTCATTGCCGTGATTGTTCAGTAGTTTAACGGCTTTGGCCTGCAAAACGGTAATGATTATAGAGGCGACCAGGAGGGCGAAAAACGAAAGGACGGAGACCACAATGTTACAGATTGAGAGGATGGAGGAGCCTGCGAAGAAGGAGATGAGAGATATGATAACCACGAGGCCTGCCGCGGCGATACCAATCGCGTAGAAGACGAATGTCGCGTTGAGCGCCATTGAGAGGGAGTCAAGCCCGTCTTGAATTTCGGTGGGGAAATGGAGGGTTGTGAGATTGATGTGGAGAGGCCCGTTCTCGAGGGCGCGGTTCAACGGCGTGGTGATGTCAAAACGGTCTATTAGGTGGAATTAGTTTCATGTGTTGACCATTGAGAGGACGCAAATTGGGAGGAAGGTACTTACACATTGCGGTTTGGTTGGAGCAACTGCTCACATTCGCGTTTGTGCCTTGTGCTGTGGCGTTTGGTGTGTAGGATCCGTCACACAAGTCCATCAAATGCAGGCTGTACCATTGCTTAATTCCTAGCTTTTTCGCCAACTTATCTGCGGCATCGTTAAGGAGGCCGTTAATATCATCTTCGACCGAGTCGGTTATATTGCGAAAGGTGCCGCTGATGAAGGAGCCAACGGATGTTGGGGACGATTTTGGGGCTGCAGATGTGGTGGTTGCTTTGTCTTGGAGGATGTTATGACCGAGACTGGAGGTATTGACCTAGGAGACCGGAAGTTAGGATTGTTGTTTGTGTGAAAGGATGGATGGAGGGACACTACAGACAGTGATGATATGGTAGTCTTCCATGAAGCCTGGTTTGTGGCCAGCAAATAGGCATAACATGGAGACGATGAACCCAACAATGGCGCAAGCCAACGGAACTAGCGCTAGAGGCCTCATATTGATCGTGGAAATAAGTAGTAGATGGAGTCTAAGCTGCTGTGATACGGTTTGGTGCAGTGGGTTGATCAACAATTCAAGGGGAGACGTGCAAGAACTGGGTCGAGTTTAAAATGTAGATATAGATGCACAGTACGAAGGGGGTTTCAATCTTGAAAAAGCGAAAGAGGGGGAAACAAGAATAAAGCAGTGAATGTATGAATAAAGCAGCGAATGTTTCAATACTTGCTCTGGTTAGTCAAAGCAAAGTATAGGCATTTGCCAGCATCGAACGGCATCATGCCACGACCCGAGTTCCTACTTTTAACTTGGCTTGACCTACTATATCCTACCATGTCCAGCAATCAGCTCGATCGATTTAGATTTTCTTTTAACGATGTTGTATGACTGGTCAAGTTTTTGGAATGTGGTTGAAGGGCCCCTGGCGCCAGTACGTCATGTTTCTGTTGTGACGGTGAGTGAGCAACGATTGGCTGATGGCGTCTGTTTGTCAAAACAAGGTTGCCGAGCTCTGCAAGCGCGCGGGAGGGTCCATGGCTTGGGGAGCGTCTGATATCACGTGATACTTCTTCAGCGTTAAGGTACAAATATAGGTAACATGTACTTTCTGGCCAGTAATGTTCATTGGAACCAGAAACCGCTATAGCGGTGATCTTTCTTCAATATTTTTATACATAGCAGTACAGCTTCAACCACTACTAACATAAATGCCAATCGAATCATCGTGTGTATTCAGCTCTTGTCTCGTTGCTTTTTCAGAGAACTTAATTGTGGAACTTCGTCCGGAGCGTAGAATGTCAGAAGCATCTTCATATCCTCTTCATCCATTTCACAAAAATCTTCGAGGCTATAGGCGTCGCTCACCTTAACCATCCTAGCACCAAGTCAGTCAGCAATGGCCATCAAAACCTGAATATCACCAGCAGACATACCATGCCATCCTCTTTGGGCCCTCCTCTGGTGCAGGTGCAACCTTCCTCAGCATTTCTCTTAGCCTTCCGACTTTTGATATTGCTTCTCCGGCGTTGGGAGGTAGATTCTCTACTATTGATCGTCTGATAATATTCGCCATCCGTGGTCCCTTTCCATTTGTGCTAACCATAATTTGTAATGGTCCATCTCGGTGTACGCTGCCAAAGTAGAAGTCGCATTCCGGAGGCACATCTGCGATGTTCGCAGGCACTTTTCTCTCCTTGCACAGCTTCCATATCTGCGTTGATGCATCGGGATCGTCCACTGCTGTCAGGACCATGTCGACATTATCGAGATCTGAAGGCTCAAACTTGCGGTCTATATAATCGACTTGCCCCTTTTCGATCCGATATGCGACTTCCGGATTCAGGCCCTCTCGAGGAGAAACAACAGTGACTTTCGCATCGGCATTGAGAACGTGGAGTATCCTACCTGCTGCAACCTACCATATGGTTCATTGTCAGCGCAAGAGCAAGAATTAATAGTGCGCGGAATAAGCTTGCCTCTCCCCCTCCAACCACTAAAACCCTCTTATTTCTGATCTGCCATGCGAGAATCAACGAGCCACCACCCTGGACTTCAGGAAACGACTCTTCGTGCATGTTTGTTTTTGAATTATGATGATGTTCCACCACATCCTTGTACCAGCGATAAGATAGAAGATAGCCAGCTCGCTTATTCCGGACTCCTGAAGGCGCGTTAGAACCTTGTCCATGAAACCCCATCTCAATCTTGAGGGCCGACGACCACCTCGAGCTGGCGCGGCTCTGAGGTTAAGCAAAATTTGATACATTCCGGCTATGTCTGGTCGAAAGCTGGGAGGCGGGAGGATACTAGGTAGTGGGAAGTCTCTTGCACCTCCCGCCCCTCCGGCGCATCAGCGGACGACGTCAGGTGTGAGTTCGCCGCCTGAGAGCACCGTGTCTCTAAGTTCCAGGGAATCGACTATCTCTCCTCTGGCTACATCACCTCTACCGGATGCCAGTCAAGATTTGATTTCAAGGGCTTCATTAGAAAATGGCGGGCCGTCAACGGTTACGGCTGCAAGCACCAAGCTTGTCTGCCCAATATGCGACGAAGAAATGGTTGGTGTCCGAGGTAGTCTTTGTTAGATTTCGCTGATAATTTGCAGATGACATTACTACAGCTTAATAGGTATCTCAATCTGCCACATTCGAAAGCGCCGTACTCACGTATATAGACATCTCGATGATAACCACCAGGAGTTGCCCGAGTTGGAGCAAGACGAAGTCAAGACCTGGTTTGACAAGCAGGTGGTGAAAGCAAAGAAGTTCCAACCATTGGCTGTTATAAATCAGAAGCTGAAAGGACTGGATGTGTTCGAATCAAACGACTCTCCACCTGCCCCGAACCTTACGAGTACCCTGCCCAGCCATCGAGTCTCCTCGGCCCCCGAGCCTCCTGATCCCGATGAAGTTGTAACAAGAGCACATTGGCAGAGGGCGGGATATAGCGATTCGTGCACCGAGCCAGCATGCGGGAAGAGACTAGGTGCGGTTACTGGGAGCGTGAACTGTAGAAAATGCGGGCGTTTATTTTGCGAGGATCACACCATGTACCAGATGAAACTCTCCAGGTCCGCCCAGCATGAACCAGTACGAGGATTCTGGTGCAGAGTCTGTGAGACTTGTTACAAGTCTAGAGAAGGGTATAACGATCATAATGGCTTCTCACGGGATCATACAAACCATTTCATGGCCGTGCGAAGAAAGACCGTGGACAAAGCATACCTAGAAGTGTCTCGGTTAGAAAAGCGTCTGACGAAACTCACACAATTGCTTGCAAACCCGCCAGAGGAGATGTCGGGCGGTAATGGGGGGATCTTGTCACTTGCGGGCCAGAAGAACCAACGCAAAGTCTTGGAACAATCAGTCGTGACTTGGGAGGAGGATGCAAAAGTCGTAAAGTGTCCGTTCTGCCAGCAAGAATTCGGGTCGTGGTCATTCCGGCGACATCACTGTAGGCTGTGCGGGCGGGTAGTTTGTGCTGATCCACGAACGGCCTGCTCCTCAGAAATCGGCTTGAACGTTACAGCGAGTAAGTATCCCGTGATATCAATTGATTGCCATCGATTGACAGAAGACAGTGACTGACGTCTTGTCAGAAAAAGCCACCGGAGATTTAGCCCTAGACATTCGGATGTGCAAAGACTGCAAGACAACGGTATTCAGCAAGAAAGACTTCGCTGCAGAAGCATCACACAAACCACCAGATGAACGTGCCTACCAAAACTTAATACAATTCGAGAAAGGCATCCGTCTCTTACTCCCCAGCTTTCAACGTCTCATATTAGCACTCCAGGACCCGGACAAACCCCCATCACATATCCAACTCGCCGAAGCTTCAAAAGTCCGGAAACGGCTTATCGATAGTTTCTCAAAATACGACTTAGCGGCCAAAAGAATCCGCGATCTTCCAACTACAAGCGAAACGCAGCGAAAACTCCAAAAGGCTATATACCAACAAGCGGTCAACTTCCTAAGTCTCCACATGCTCCCCCTCAAATCACTCCCTAAAATACTTAAACATGCCTCCCCCCACGGCTCCAACGGCCTCCCGACAAATGGCCGGGGCGGCGCCCTCGCCGCAATCCGCTACAACGACATCGACAGCGCTTCGCACATCAGCAGCAGCAGCGCAGTGTCCGCCATGGAAGTGGAAGAGAAAGAGCTCAAAGAGCGACTAATTGTCTTAGAGGAGCAGAAGTTCTTTGTAAGCGAGATGATCGCTGATGCGAATAAGAGGAGGAAATTCGACGAGGCGGCTGCCCTGCAGAGTAATTACCAGGATTTGAGCACAGAGATTGATTCTGTGAATGGCATGTTAGGACAACTAGATTTTGAAGGAGCTTATACCAGGGATCAGGCAAATGGCGTGAGCGGAGGAGGATTCGGTCTTGGCAGGTGAACAGGGAAGGAAGGTCGCTAGTTACGGGCCATCCGAAGGTGCCGTAGGATCACATTCAGTCGAGGACCGATCCGAGGAGAATGTAAACGGAAGATTGGTGTTCCTGTTGTGACAACATAGGAATGGCAAAGGGATGAGGTGCAATGGGCGGCGTTTGGGTTTAGCCTGGTGGGGTATCATTCAATAACGAAAGAGTCATCTCATGGTGTTACGGGTAATCTTTGGTACAGACGAATATACCTACGCAATGATATTTTTTGATCTTAGCCTCCAGGCAGTGAGAAAATTCCCAGAAACTGCTCATATATTATAGAACTGGAGCCAATTTCGAACACAAATCTGTTTACGAGTCTGTATTACTCGCTGGCTACTGAGATTTGGAGAAGGGGTGGCCCTGTTTAATCGGCTGCCGGCTGGAGATAACAAGAAATCTCACATAGGTACCTAGCTAAGTATACAACCATTCTTGCTCTTCAAGACCCCCTACCCCCTACCCTCTACCTTGATCTACTTCGGCTGTGCGGTGAAGGCGCATAAGTCAAATAGGGCAGAATTGGTATCTTGACATGTATAGTACGTATAAGCACCTTGCCCTCCTTGTTAGAGCATGACAAGCCTGGAAGGGAGCCGACCGAGGGCGATGAAAGAGAATAAAAGGGGGGGAATCAAAGAAAGAATAGCAAAAGAAATACCCCAACGGAGCGTTGGATAGGCACCGAGAATTTCGAGCTGCACCCTTCTAGCCTTGGTTATCTCTAGCGGAGCGTCTAGGGTCTTCCTAGATTGTCTGTTGGACCTCCAATAGCCTGGTCAGCATCGACAAGGTGGTTGTTCTTTGCGATGTACTTGCTTTCCCGGTTTGGGCTTTTAGATATTTTCAAGGTTTGTGTATCATGGTCCAATGTTCACCTTAGATATTGTCTGTTGGTGTCCCCTCGACACACCGGCGCCGTCACGTCAAGCCGTTACCTGCCAGGCGGTGACTGCAGTACCACCAATCTGCCCATCACCATCCTCGCCAAATCGACCCCCACAAAAAAAAAGATATAAGGGTATCGTAAAATAGATTATATTTAATCCTACACTGCCTCTTTTATTTTTCCAAAAAAGAAATCAACCCTCAAAATAGCAAAAGAGTTCAGCCCGGTGTCGAATGCCTACATCTCTTGTCGTTTTTGTTGTTGTTGTTGTTTCGCTTTGTTGTTGTTCCCCTTTTTTTCCTTTCGTCCCTGGCGATAACGAAAGTACAATTTGACCCGAGCCACTTGACCAAGTGTCACGCCCTTGTACTTCGTTAGGGGATATTTGCTTATTTGGTATTATATATATTAGGGATGCTCGGTCGCCAAACAGATTTTTTTCTTCATTTGGACTCTCTAGCCACGACGTTAATCGGATCTATTTTTGAAAACAGGAGCTTAAGAATTTAATGGGCAATTCAAAGTTCTAATTACTCGGGAAATATGTCAAGTCCAGGTAATCTGTGAGACTTCAATTGCATTTAGAGTGACGAGTACGAGAACATATTATCGATTCGCAACCCAATTAGACCAACGATGTCTGTGCGAGTAGCACTCAACCGGTGTCTTTAAGCACCATTATGAGATTGGGTGACGGTACTTTGTTTTCATGGTTACTTTGCAACTCGCAGGCCAATTGAAACAAACAAAAATCTCAAGGTTGCAGTCAGGAAAAGGGTTACTAAGTACTAGTGCTGTGAAGCAACACCGGCGTGGTCTCTAGGGACGTCGACGTAAGTTGTTTTTCTAGTCCATGCCCTCAGGAGGGATACTCCAACAGACTTTTCTGCCTAGAGATAGGGTCTCTCGGGATAGTATGGGGTATAGAAGGGGCCCAACACCATATTATAGTTCCGATTACAATCTTTAACATGCAACATTGACACTAGCTCATCACATGTGGAAATTTATAATATTTCCAACAGAATACCATATATACATGAAAATAGGTATGTAAATGCGCAAGCATGCTCTGAAAGCCTGCTTTGCATGCCAAAAAGTATGAAATAAAATACAAAGCCAAGAAGTGAAGCATCCACCACCAAGTCAAATCACGCACACCCTTCGAATCTGCGAGTCCTCCTACCAGCCCGCCTAGCAGAACTGGACCTTAGAATCCAAGTCTAAATCCTTCAACACAGTTGAAAAGTTGTTCGATGCCTTCTCAACACAAAACTGCGAAACGACCTTCGAGTTCGTGAGTGACGAACCACTGGGATACTCAATATGGAAAACGGGCTTGTTAGCCTTGACAAATGGCACGAACAGCTCGCACTCGTTCATCTCCACGCACTGCTCGTTGACTTGGAACTCCACGGATGAAAGCAAGCTCTTCACCATATCACCACCATTCTTGAGGCCGATGGCCATGCCGCGCGAGTGTGCTTCGTCAGACAACCACTGCATGTAGCTGATGGAATCTTCGAACTTAATGTTGATGCCGTTCTTGTTCTCATATACGTCGACGTTATCGGGGTCCACAGCATCACAGCCTGCCGTCTTTGCAAGGTCCAGGCGTGCGGACATAATCTTGCGGACGTTTGGGCTGTTGGTGTTGAGCCAGCGCTCTCCTGGCCAGCCATCTAGGTCGCTGCCTTTGTCTGCCTCGGCAAAGGAGGATTGATCTGGACGCCAGTCCTCGAAGCTTCCGGCGGAGAAGTAGCAGATTACTTTCTTTCCGTTCGCCTGGAGCTTTTGGATCACGCCTGAGTCCTTGTTATCAAAGAGATCAATGTCGTAAACATCGACGGGCATGTTCACGTCAGTGACGGCGTTGGTGATTTGGATTTGCCAGGTCGTTCCTGCGGCGGGCTTCCAGATGGACCCGGCTGCTGGCACGGCTGCGGTGCTGGTTGGCACAGGTGCTCCGGCTGCGGAGCTTGCTGGCACAGGTGCTCCGGTTGCGATCTTTGTTGGAAGAGGTGCCCCAGTTGCGATCTTTGTTGGAAGAGGTGCTCCGGTTGCGATCTTTGTTGGCACAGGTGCTTTGCCTCCGGTCTTTGTTGGCACAGGTGCTTTGCCTGCCTTGCTAGTGGGGGCCGCATTTTCGTCTTCATCTCCCTCGTCATCCTCGTCGTCGTCCTCGTCGTCCTCGTCGTCGTCGTCGTCGTCTTCATCGTCGTCCTCGTCCTCGTCATTGTTATCGCCCTTGGACTTGGGTTTTGTGGCGACAGTTCCACGAGCTGCTCCTGTGGCAGAAGACAAGGGAACAATTACTGTCCCCGTGGAATTTGCTGTTTCGACCGCCGACGGAAGAGTAGTTAATGTTGATTGGGGGTTGCCATGGCCATGACCTTTGCGGTGACGATGCCCGCCCCAATGGCGTTCCTGAACCTCAAACCGCCTTTCTAGGGGTATGGCTACAACAGAGGTTTGCTGGTAGAGAGCACCAAGTGCCAATGAAATGCTAAGAATTGAACGCATATTTAATGAATGAGCAAATGAATGAATTCGAGTAAATGAATGAATGAATGTTTGTTTTAAAATGAATGTGACTGAAGGCTTTAGAGGTCTTCTGAATGTATGCGGGTCGCAAGCAACCGGTGTCTATGAAGAAGGAAAAAAGGACCATTAGAGGTGGAAAAGCACGAAATATATAAAGTATGAGGCCTCAACTCAAGGGTTCTTGGCATCCGTCTCTCTAAGCTTGGCACATAGCCCTGATAATATCAGTGACTGACCTGCCGAATGTGTGCTGCATGAGATGTGTAAATGAGGAAACATATAATTACCCCAAGTGTTTCAAGAACTGACATGACCTAAAAAGCCATGCAGCAGTGGGGTCTCTAATAGAAACAACCGTGCAGGGTGCCTATACTGGCTGCATTACTACATAGATATCTAGGATCTGGCTCCCACTCCCACGTTTTTGATTCCGCGGCACCGAGAGGCGACGCCGAGGGGAATCCTCGCCAATAGGAATGGGCCCCTTCAGGGTCAAACTTCGAAGCCATCGTGGCATGTTGATTAAGGTTACAGCGGCAGAGGCACACAATGGTCGAGACTACAGTCAACATTTGCTGAGCATGATCACGTGATACCCCTTAAACTGCCTGGACGGGGGCCATGGGTTATGGTTGGTCGTCCAAAGAGCGACCGCCTGCAGGTCTTATCCTCACATCATCCAATTTGCGCAAATGCATGCCGGTAGTTACCACAGTCTCATATTCAATTATTCCCAAACAGGCCAAATGAATTCATCCGATAATAGAGCTGTAGACGCGCGTTTAGGGGTTGTTCACTCCCCATTTGCTACTAGTTATTTTGAGCGAAGTATTTTTGATTCTCAAGTCCCGTTTCCTCTGCCGGTGGGCAATAATGATGCGATAAATACTTCGTAGACCATGGCCTGGACGAAGCATCCGACAATACCGGATGTGGCTCGCGTTAGCCTAATTAGTAGGGGTGCTTGCTTGCGGCACGGCTCCAACCACTGCGGCGGTGATCCTGATGTCAGGGATGGTATACGACTTGAGAGACATTAACAATCTCTACGTACGTAGAGTACATGGAGTACCGAGTTTCATCCTTCCTAGAATCATATGATAGTTTTTTTTTGGATAAAGATGTTTGTTCAACGCATGTCTCTGTCAAGATTGGCAAATCTGACTCTTCGTCTGCAGCTGCGCGAACAGCTAGAATCATCTTCATTTATTTAGTCATAACCATGTTCATCATCATCGTCATCGTCAACATTCTCGAAATAATGCGATCTTAGAGCCCTGGTACTCTTCCTTGCGGCGATCCGCTTAGGAACGGTTCTTGGAGTTGCTTTATTGGGGGTCGATGCCCGTGGAGTTTGTTTGCTACCTGCCTTTTTTGAATAGTTATTAGCGGGCAATGCCTCGTCTTCAGAATCGTCCTCATTATTCTCAGACTCGAGTTCGGACAGTGGGCTCTCGTCATCCTCAGTATCATTGATTTCCAGGTTACGCTTCCCTGGTCTATTTGAGGTTGGCGCTTTCTTCTGCGCGGCAGAGCGCTTAGAGGGTGGTCTACTTTTTGAGCTAGATGTTAAAGAAGCTTTGGATATTGCGGACTTGTTGACGGAGCTAGCCTGACCGGACTTTCTTGCCTTTTGAGCTGCGACGTTGAGCTCTATTTCCGGAGTGTGTTGTTCCTCATCCTGGTCTGAATCGTTCATAGGAACAGACTTGGAATTCGATTCCAGTGATTGCGGAGTAGGATATGCCTGGCTAACCATTGTGTTAGAAGGCTCCTCGTCGTGGCCCTCGATGACAAAACCACCAGCATGGCCCTCATCATCTTGGTGTGCTACAGGAAAGAAGCTGGACGCATGGCGCATATCAGTTTCCTCTTCATCGTGACCGTCTGGAAAGAATCCTCCAGCATTGTCTTCCTCTCTCTGAGCCATAATCCTTCGATGCGCTTCCACACTGGTGCTGTCTTCGTCCGACTTCTTTTTATTAGTCCAAGGATTAAGAGCATCAACCACATGCCCAGCAGCATCACCATATTCTTCCCTGACTCTTTCGACAATCCTCCGGCCCATAAGCATCCGCCTCCACATATTAAGCACGGCTTTTCTCTTCTTCTCATCCTCTTTCCTAACTCTCTCCATTTCATCCTTCTGCCATTCATCCATCATATCATGATAATGCTCTTCTGCAATGACCACTCCCGTGATAATAGGAACCGCCATCCGATGACCAAACTCAAACCCGGTTACTGCTTCGGCATAGTCGATGCCGAGGCGCTTGCAGATCTTCACAGTGCCCCTCATTGGTATATGAACAGCGCCTTCTGGCAGCATACTATCAACATATAAATCGATATTTCCAAAGGAGTTTTTTGGAATAAGGCCATTCTCGATCGGGGGCGGAATGATCCAATCGGTCTGGTCTCTGCTATACAGCCCTTGAAGTACCTTTTGCCCGCTAGCATGCTCTGCTTCTGCAAGCTCCCGCCTGCGGTTCGTAGTCGCTGCTCGGTATGGGACACGCTTCAATGGCTCTTCGCCAGGAATGGGAGCCCGGCCCTCTTTATGCCAGGTCTCCATACTTTTACATGTCACCACGTCCTTCCGTAGAAAGACTTTTTCTTCTGTGGTATGATCGCCTTTCCCCTTGACAGTGAACATCTTAGCATGTTTGGCTGTTGGAACCAATGCCTCTTCTCGTTTCAGATGCCTCTCGAGGACAAACTCGGAGGAAGTTTTGTAATATTGCAGTGTCGCTTTTCCTTCCTCAACCACTTTCTTCTCACGTTTCACGGGTTTTAGTACTGTAGCTTCCTCGTGATCGTCGATTTCCGTGCGAGGGCACTGCTTGGCACCGCGAACATAACCGGTCATGACTCTTTTAAACCAATCATGGGTTTCGTAGCGCTTAACCTTGCCCCGACGGTCAAGAATGGATATCTTTTCGGGCGGCAAACGATATCCCTTTGTACGCCCGGGCCACATGCGACCTTTTAAGTATCGAGTAGTCACATCCTTCGCGGTGCCGTCAGATGAATGTCCAATAACGTAGGAGGTAATATGTTTAGCCTTCTCAGACTTTGGAGGAGGTAGAAACTTCTCATAAAATTCCGGTTTGTTGGCTTGAAGATGGAGGACCATAGGGTCAACAGGGGTATAAGTGTGGGCAACGGGCGAAAGCACCTCGGTCCAGTAATTTGGGGTAGAAAGATCCTTGTCATATGGCAACGAGGGCAATGAGTGTTTGGCTGTTGGAGTAACATCAATGACAGAATCCTCATCGCTTTCGGCAATTGACTGGTCCGAGTCAGATAGATCTATAGGTGCGCTCCTGTTGCTTCGTAATGACTTAGGGGGGGAACTTGGTGACACCTTGACAGGTTTTTTTGACTTAGACGAGTCCCCTTTTGCCTTTCGAGCTCGTTTGGATGCAGGTATCTCTTCCTCACTAGCAGTAGATTCTTCGTCACTCCCCGAGGAACCTTCGTCCAGATTAGAAGGTTTGGGTTTCTTCAGCTTACGAGGGTTCTTCTCTGAGGCCTCCTCGTTTTGGCTCCATCCGAATCCAGCCGACTGTAAATTTGCTACCATTCTTGCCTCAAGTCCTATACCTCTCAATAGAGCTGTAAACAATTGTGCACCAACGTCACGGCTCCCGTGCAGAGCCCTTGCATGCTCCTTGAACTCCTCGATATTCCGTATCCGTTCCCCATGGCGCTCCGGGTCGTACTCGTCCTTTTCAAAGCTTTTAATCTCCTCATCCAATCTTTCAAGAGACATGTAGCCCAACTTTCGGAGACTAGGTGCCGTGACGCGAAACCTCTGCCTCCAATAGTTTATCAGGATTGAAAGGAGCTTAATAAGAGGATCGCCACGACTCATATTGACTTCTCCGGCAGCTAGCATTTCCGCAAGTTTGCCCCAATCCCGCTGGCTCCTAGGATCTGGGTGTTTTCCTTTTGTATTTTTGGCCTTTCCCTTGCCTTTCCCTTTTGGAGTGTCTTCCTCTCGTGGCTGTAGACCGCTATCGCGCCTCCATCTGTGAACCGCTTCCTCAACACCACGAGGTAATTGCTTCAACAGTATTGCCTGCAGTTCCTTGTTGCACAACCATGCGTTTCGAATTGCATTATGAAACATGAGTAACTGGACATGGACTTGGTGTGTTGAAATCCGAATCTGCCTTTCAATCTTGCTAGGCCCTCTCTTTGTGCCTAGTGGATTGGTCATTGACACGCGGGTATCCTTCCTCAGCGTTAACTCAAGGTCACCAGCGGCAGCAGGCACGGCAGAAACAGGTGCTGTATATGTGTCGACATCCTCGAATTCAATATCTTCGTCCTCCTCGTCTGAGGTATCCGCCGTCTTCTGCCTCTTCGCGCCGGGTATGTCTTCGAATTCATCTTCGGAAAGCGAGGAAAGCGAGGACTCGTCATCAGTAGCCGCCAGTTTCTCGAGGACAGCTTTGGTATGTTCCGGGGTTCGTTTGTTGCCAGGACCAGCATCCAGGTCGTCAAAGAGGGTAGCCTTTCGAGTTGTTGACGAAGCAGATTTCGCTCTGCCCCTGTCCGGAGGGCGTGAAGGCCCAGCCTCTGGTGAAGGGGAACGCAGACGTTTGCGCGGAAGCAAAGGTGGCATTTTGAAGCATATTAATGATTGTGGTTGTGGCCTCTAAGTTTGAAAGGCATGGTCTTTGATTCCAACAAAGCTGTGAACGACGCGGCGAGAGTGCTTACAGATAAGGTAGCCTTATTAGCTCGCCTCGGCTTACTTACTGGTGGCGGATGAGGTCAACAATCAACCAGTCGCGTTACATTCTACTGCAGAGTGGGCGTAGCGTCAGGTACGCAGTACCGTGGACAGAAATAGCCCGTTTTAGGCACCTCAGTAGGATCTTACCAACTACTCCGTACCTCTCATAATATTACATGGATAGCAAGAGCAAGGGAAATATTTACATTTTAGAATACTAGGTACCTAGGTACCTAGGTACTTAAATATAGACGAGTTCTAGTGTCTCAAAGGAACGTAGATGTCTTACTCGTAAATGCAGTGGCATCTTTTAGGCCTTCGACACTAAGTTTTCGGAGTGCCACCCACTTTGTCCTCAGCGTCCCTTCGCATCTCATTTGACTTGCGGCGCCTCTTCTTCTTGCCCTCCTCTCTCGGCGATCGTAAATCGTCACCTGCCGTCTCCATGCCAGCCAGTGCTTCGCAGGCTTCTACCAGAGGAAGTCCAATGGCGCCATTTATGGGTTCCACTACTCGTAGCGTCCGCCAGACATACATACCTAGGTGCCTACCCACGTACCGTTATTCTGCCCCTTGCCTTCTCCTCTAGATGTTGTGGCCGTGCCTCTTGCGCCACTCCTTGATCCCATTATCAACCTCCGCTGCATTAACCCCGTCCCTAACCAGGTACACTGCATCAAATCAGCCAAATCCTGATTTTGGAGCTGAAGAGATGCAACTTACTCGTGACTCCCAGAGTTTCCACATTCTTATTCCTAGCCTCATCGTCAAAGAAGAGCATGTCCTCAAACCTCAAACCGGTAGCCTTTTGTAATTTGGTAAAGTGCGTGATCTTGCTGCCAGGGTATATCTCCAGATAGTCGAAATAATCAATTGCTTTCTTCTTCCCCTTCCCATCTGTAATATGCAACAGCCGCAGCATCTCCCTTCCTAAATCCGGGGCATGTGTCCTCGATGCTGCAGCAATCTTGATCCCGCGTGCTCGCAGTGAGACCAAAATCGCGGGGACTTGCCTGTAGAAGGCGAAGTTCTCTCCAAACCGATCCTTGGCTGAGTCGTGCGTCGGTGAAGCCTTAAGGGGGGGTGTGATATGAGTATCGACCCAGAAAGGCCATAACGTGTAGTCAAGATCAAAGACTATGAGTTTAGGGAGAGCACCATCGGGCAAAGTCGAAGGAGGAGCAATGGTGGCAGCCTCCGATGGGGGAGCCTTCCCGGCTTTCTTCACCATGATGACACGAAATGTTAATATTAAAATGAGCGTTAAATGGAAACGATAGGAGCGCGCCGTACTGCAAGAGTCGAGGCTTGAGGCGGGTGTGGTTTGGCAAGTAGCGATGTGGAGACAGAGTAATGTTGGTGTTGGTATGGGAGGCAAATGGAATGTCGGCATCGATAAGATAAGATCGTCCAAGGCTTTCCAGGGTCCCTTTTACTCCATAAACTCAATTTTTTCTGGAAGGATGAGCCGCAGTTTTGCCGGTGTTTTAGCCAAATGCGCAAACAGCTATTACTCACATTTAGCGTTCCGTTCGTTAATTTAAACTTTTTTTCTTAAGCTCTGTTTGTCATTCATTTCCTGCCAGTTTCTCTTTTTTCCCTCAAAGTACCAGAATCCTTCCATTATCTGCAACCACGTTCCCCACCTCACAGCAACCCCACAGTACAATTCCCGCGATATCCCTTCGAAGTTCGAGTTCAAAATGGCCAACGGCTTGTCCATCCTGGCCATGGCCGCCGCCTACGTTCAGCAATCCGAGACGATGGAAATGCCGGACGACCTCCCCAGGTTCGGAATACGCGGAGCCACACCTTCAGATATACCTTTGTTAGAAACCGTCGAACGATCTGCTATCGAAGTGTTCCGGGGTGTCAATCTTGGGTTTCTGGTCAACCAACCAACTGTGGATCCTCTCCTCTTAAATGGTATCGCGGCTGCCAACCACCTATGGATCGCTGTGAATGATTGGGATCAGCCAATTGGTTTTCTTGGGGGTCAGAACATAGATGGGAACTTCCATCTCGTTGGGATGTGGGTCGCACAGGGATTTCAGGGAAATGGCGTTGGAAAGGCACTCATGGCAACCATGGTGGACCAAATTTGGCGAGAGGGATACAAATCTGTCACTTTGACAACCTACAGAGATGTGCCTTGGAACGGTCCTGTATGTCAATTCCTTATCCTTCTTGATTCTTGTTCTTCCCTTCAATCGTTAAACATCCCCTTTGGCTGCCATACACTTCGGGTTTGGATTGTTGATCTCTTTTCTTGTTTATCTTCGTGTCGAAAATGCGTCAAGGCATCAATGCTAACTTTGAGATCATTTAGTGGGCCAAAAAGATGGGTTTTATGGAAATAACCCCCAAAACCATGGGTAAACAATACTCAGATATCCTGAAACTTGAGGGAAAGCGTGGTCTGGATCCGAAAACCAGATGCTTGATGCAGAAGACATTTTGATTTATGGCTCAATGGACGAAAATTTGATTTCTTGGCGGAAGCATCCCCCCAACGAGTAAAGCAATTTGAAAGAGCAACTAGGACCCCTAAAATGGAGGGGGAATTTTGGTATCTGTCAGCCTCAACCGACTTCAACCGACCTGATAATCCGAATTACGAAGCAAACAGAATCTACGCGTCAGAACAAAGCGTGGTGAACCTGCCACCAGCTGAGAGCGTTTACATTGGCGGAATCCTTGGGTCTCATTGACCTGATTTGTGCTGCAGTTCGTCTTTGTTCCATTGAGACGGAATGTGGCGAGGTACTATTCGGGATTTCCACATCAAAGGCGCATTCTGTGGGTCGCTGAATTTGGTCATCGCGAATCGGGTAATGGTGTTCCACGACACCAAGCTGTACGAGGACGGGAATACTGGCGCATTCGAATATGGAAGCCGGGGTTTTCTTGGGTTGCAGGCGCTATAGGGGGGTGGTGCCAGAGGATTTATTGCATGTTTAGATGACTTAACAATTCCTGCGGGTCTAGTCATCCCCGGAAAGGTCTCATCAGCAACTGCCACCTGAAGGTCTTGGACACTTGTTACTTTATGCTGTTCTTATCAAGTATCTGGGCGTTCGCTTTCCAGAATACGAAGACTAATAATTAATATGTATTTATACTATGTAATGGGCCATACGGCCATCGAGAAATATTGGACCGACATCGCCAGGATATTGTTAGAAAACGAAGTGTTCCTGGGCAGGCAGATATCCTCCTGTTAATACCCTTCTGTTGGCATTTTGCACATATGCGTACTGGTTTTCCAAATTTCTATTATCTATAAATACAGCATACGGGAGACTCCAATATCCTGTTCAATGGTTTGGGTAGTACATCCAACGGCTGCGAACACAATACCGAAATATCTAGCATAGCAATCCATTTCCACACTATTAATTGTACTAGATCATACTTACGTTTTGTTATCAGTTATACATTCTATAATTTATCACATGTCAGAATTGCCGTTCATATTCTCCCGGTGATCTTCACTTCCCAAACCCATGGCTTTCTATGCTGAGCAATTTGTGAGTTAGGCTTGTGAGAAAGTTTGTAAAGCTGATTTGTATTTATCGAATATATTCAGATGACCCTAGAGAAAAAATGACGAAAGCTTCAAATAAGACGCCGCGCCTTCTTACATTACCACGCCATAGGTTTACCATCCCAGGTAACAAATGTCCCTGAAGTCGTCGTCTTAGTAGCCAGATCAATCTAACATCTTCAGTCAGCTTGCGAGATGCCCTGGAGCAAGCAGTATACTCACTTGTGCTAAGATGCCCTTCACGCTGTCATCCGTGGTCATCGGTGGTTGCGCAACTCCAACGCTATCTGCAAACTTCTGACCATTGTCCGTCTGCACCCATCTAGTTCTACCATTAGCGTGAGTCCTGATAAATAACGCCCATTCAATCGAAGATTAAAAATAGGAATGTTGTTACCCTGGATGGATAGCTAAAGTAGTAATCCCCTTCTCCTCAAAATGCACCTTTCTAACCAAATAGTTCGCCGCCGCCTTACTCAATCCATACGCCAAAGATGGAGCGTTGCCTTCCATCTGTCCGATAGCGCCCAGAGAGCTACTAATGAGTAAGAATTTGGCACTTCTTCCTTTCTCAACAGCTGAGAGAAGAAGCGGTCGCAGGGCTTGATAGAGGGCAATCGGCCCAAGCGTGTTCGCATGGACGTGGGCAAGGATGGAATCCAACGACGTCTCCATCACATCATTGAAAGAAAACCCGACACCCGCATTGGCGATGAGAATGTCTACATGCTCAATCCTATGCTCATCCTTCAGCGTTTCGTAAAGAGTGTTGGCAGACTTGGTGATTTCCTCGGATGAGGTAGTCGAGACGTCCAGGAGCGCGATGATCAATCCGCTGCCTTCAGCCAACGGCAGATTTTTCAGATCTGATGTGCCGGTGCTTGCAGAACGTACAGTTGCGATGACTGTGACGTTTGGGCGCAGAAGAAGGGAGGCTGTGAGGCCGAGGCCAATTCCTATGTCGAGTTCTCGGTTAGAAAAGGGGCACCACACGACATTAATAGGGGTAAAAATGAAAAACCTCGGTTTGCGCCTGTAATAATGTAGACGGTATTAGAGGCCATTTTATAAATGCTTGAGTATCCGTAGGACTGTTTGGGCGACTTTGATGCGGTGATGGCGTCTCGTGTTTGATGGAAATGAGAGGGGAATGTTGTTTGAGGGGAATAATTAGCAGCGCTTACATTTCCACGCATTAAGTAAACTCGCTTCCGGGAGATGTGCTTCTATTGGAAGACGGACCGAGGCATGCGTCATCCTCATTCGGTATTGGAGGAGCAAGGTGGATGTGAATAGAATCACAGACTTGCGTTGATGGGAACGTGCAGGGTCTGGCGATTGTGTGGCTCGCTTAAAAAGGGGTTGTTAAAGGGGTTGGAGGGACGAGAGGATGACCCGACCAGTCCATGCGAGCCCTCTTATTCCGTATTCTGAGGTGAGAGAATATAATATAGAGATGCAGTGCATTTATTCTACTATAAGCTGCCCAGAAGCTCTGTTGTTGGCCTGAAACTTTCCTACTTGCGGATTTGGTAGGAGACCAAGGGAAATCTCGGCAGGGAGGCGGTGCTTTCCTTGGGGCATATCAATGCAATAATCCTATTTTCTATGCATACCTAGGTACCTAGGTACAAATGAAGGATATCTGTGACTAAGTGCGCATGGAGTCTCGGGGACGGATAAGAACCCAGCATCGCCTTCGGCAGAACATCAATTATTCCACTCCCTAGAGACAACTTAAAAATGCCACTATCGGCTTACTAAATCGTTCAATTTGACTCTCCACCCTGATTATCTCCATTGCATATTCTACTGTACAACAACCACTTATCGACCATGTACCAATTTAAACACTTCCAACGGTTAGAACCCAAACATGAAACCCGACCTTTCACACCCATTGTCCCCCACCCCAAGGAGGTACTCGGAACTTCACAACGAGCCAGTCTGCTTCTGGACGAACTGGGAAAGCGACATCGCTGGCGCCTGGTTTCGAGATGGCAGATTGTCACGACGTTGGGGAGGTTCCATGAACCCCGCCTTCGGACCGGGTTGAACTCTGCTCAGAATGTTAGGATGTATTTTATAGAAAGATTCAGGTCTGAGACTTACATTTTAGAATGCCAAATGAAATTCTTCACACTGTCTTCCAGGTCCTTCATGTGCTCTATAAGCTCCCCCTTTGGTCCAAACTCAAATGTTATGGCGGATAAAATGGGGACTTTCGCTGTGCTCCCTTTGGCGTATTCCTCCAATATGTCTTCGATTCGGCGTAGGGTCCTATTGCAGTGGTGCTGCTGTTCAAGCCAACCCTTCGTGCCCGCATCGCTGAGGATTTGGGTTTGTGACTTGCGTTGTAGGGCCTCCAGCAGACCGCGTAGTTGAGCAGACTTTGACATTATTCTTTGGACAATAGCAGGCGTGCTGCGGAGGTCTCCAATGATGATGTTTATGGCCTTAATGGTCTCGATGCCGGCTCCGATTGCAGCTTCCATTGCGATTGAATCCTTGGACGAGGTGATATGGTTGAAGACAGCAGAGCGACTCGGGAATGGTTTGGTTGAGGGCTTGGTTGAGGGCTTAACGTGAGTGAAATGTTCAGCAGTGTAATTCTGTTTGGAAGGAATTGTTATCGGATGAGGAAAAGGTACAACACGGAGGAAGGCCACGTATATATGCTGAGGCAAATTGTGAGATCCAATGCAACAACTCATAATGTCTTAGAAGTGTGCCACAGCTGAAACTCGACGAAGAAAGACAAGTGAACCGTGAGAAATCTAGAATGTTCGGGGAGTCAGACAACACTAATTGGACTTCGGGAGAGGCCGTTTATGAAACAAGCACGGCTCAGTATATTTTTAGAGTTGTGCTTCTTAGCATCTGTCTGATACTTATGCTATAACAGTTGATAAAGAAAAGGCTGTGATGGCTGATCCTGCGAGTTATCTGTCAACCAATAGATCCCATGGCCGGGAAAGACCTCCAGCACTCTGAGTCCCTTTTGCTTTACTATTATACAAATGACAGGTAGAGGCTCAACGCTTGCGTTTTGGTAATCTAAGAAACAATCGTGGTGAGTCAACCCCCCTAATTAGTGGGACATCGAGACATATTCGCGCGTCATTTCAGCCTCACGCCCGATGAGACTACGAAATGTTCAAGTGGTAAGTAATGATAACGGCTAGCAGTATTTGGATTGAACAATTTTGAGCATATTTCGAGAAAGTAAAAGTCATATTAAAGGTAATCGCAAAGAATATGCCCTTGGAATCGCCAGCAAAGAAATAGGTAAGCTCAAGCTCAATAGAAAACTACTCCTAGATCAAGCCACACTAACCCTTTTCCCCCTAAACACATTCTCAAACCCACACCTCCCTCTCTGAAATCTCCGCCTCTGCGAAAATAAATAAACGTTACGTGCCACATATCAGAGAATACAATTGCTCCTAATCCCGCAACAGCATAATTGAGTCACCCTTAGACACCTCACTAGCATACTCCCTCTCGTCCTGATACACTTTACCGTAAAGAGGAGGTTCCACCATGATCCCGTGACCTCTCGCCCCCCAACAAAATTCGTACCTCTCATGCGAACTACCAACTATCTTCATCCCGAGTTGTATGGCTGTGTCCAAGACAGCATCGAACTCCAGCCGACGTTGAGTGACATCCGCAGGCGATTTTGTCTTAAAGTATGGGTCGAAAAGCGATTCGAAGAGTGTGATAAAGTCTGCTCTCGGAGATTCTTTCACAGGGCACATTTTCTTTTGGGGCTGTTTTGCGTAGTAAACCCCAAACTTGCTGATGTGAACGGGAACAGTATTACCTACTGAAGCAACGAACTTATTAGCTTTTCATCTCAACCGAAGAGAGGTAGATGGCCATACACTCAACCCCCCAAATCATAGCCCGGAGTTTATGGAGCGAGTGTACTTCCATAGGTTGAAACGGGAGGAGGGTTTGATGAGGGTTTCCCTCAATCGAGATAGCCTTCAGAAGAATAGACGCGATAATATGGTGAGAGATGCCCTCGCGGTTGTTGTGCTCGAGAAGGGTCGAAATCTCCGCCGGCGTGTACTGATGCGGGTTGGGGAAAACCCTAGTGTCCTTGCCGTCAGTGAGAGGGTGCGGGGGGGGCGGGTCTGGGAAGAGTATGGCTTCAATTCGCGCCGTAGACTCGTTCCTGGAGGAATATGGTGTGCCGGCACTAGCTATCCACTTTTCGACGTAGGAACCCAATGCGCCGTAAAAATCAAGGTACGAATATTTCACCTCATCTCTTGAAAACCACCAGTCGGAAATCGATTTGTCCCACGCCTTGGGAAAGCCGGCAAGTTTCTTTTCCAGTTTGGCACGCTCGTCGTTAGCATGGTGCAACTCCTGTAGGTGAAGGTGGTCCTCGGTACGGTGGTGACGAAGACGAAACAACAAAATGGCACAGGTGGCGAGAAGGATCAGCAAACACAGCGACAGTGGGAGAGCCACGGCGAGGACGACAGCAGTCCGGGAAATCATCGTTCGTCGCTTTTGCCTTCGGAACCGGATTCAAATGCAGTTGAAGCAAGGTGCAGTTGAAGCAAGGTGCAGTTGAAGCAAAGTGCAGAACAAGACAGGATACTGGAGCAAGCCGGCCAGTAGTCTAAAAATCGAATTCTTTGTCTCTCCTCAAACGCCAGGTTTCACGCCTAGCTTTGCGTCTTTGATACCGACCAGGTCACGAGTTGCGCAGCCAGCCGGTACTCTGTCTGATTCAAACGGCCGATTCTGTGAGGAGAGTAAGGAAGCGGGTGCTCTTCCGGTCTTGGGCCGTTTGAATATTGGAGCTCTGCAAGCAACCGCTGCCCCCATGCACCCGTCCAGTTGGCGGCCCCCTGAATCTCAGCGCTCTATCGAATGGGCTGATATTGGGCGTTTGAAGGATGATGGACATTGGAAATGATTCCTTTGCATGTTTGGAATGGGCGGAGACATTTCTCTTTGAGTACGCTGCAAATGGCATAAGAGGCTTTCCCACCGCACAAAGAAAACCCCCGCCCCCCTTCACCACACAATTCATTCCTCGCCTACTACACAAATAATTACTCACCCGACAATGACGAGCTCACAAAGGGAGGTAGTCATCTGCATCGATATGGGAATGACTGGAACAGGTATGTCCTCAAGATGGCCCTTCTGCAACCCATAGGCGGGAATCTGACCTAACCGTGTCAGCAACGAGATGGCGAGACAGCAAATTGGACATACCGTGGGCTAGCCCAAGAGAATACAAAATCCCGACCAAAGTGGCATATGGCACCTAAGACAATGATGGGCCTCTTATCGCGTGGGGCAGCTAATGCGACGGGTACCCTTTCACCCAGGTTAAAGAATGCTTCAAAACATTCTTCACAACCACCAACTTCTCAAACACCCCCAGTACTGTGCCCGGGGGACCAGGTTCACAACTAGAGCTCCATCGTTGGGTTCGCCATTATCTAGGCGCCTTTTGCGCCGAGGTTGTGGCTGTCATAGACAGAGATGCCGCCCCTAAGTGGCGAGACGCGGATGTGATTTGGAACTTCACCGTCCCTGGCAGCTGGTCTGCGCTTCCAGTCGTAGCAGACTTCAAGCGGCTGGCGGGAGAGGCCGTGTCGCCATGCTTCCCGAACGGCAAGGGCTTCCGCATTTGCTGCGATGTGAAAGAAGCTACGGCGTCAGCACAGAGTCTTCTGGTTGAAGGCTCGGTCAGCAAAAAGAAAGAATACGAAGTTGGGAACGTGGTGATTTCTTGCGATATCGGTGGGGCCACCACGGATATTGCTATCTCCACAGTATCCAGTGCTGGAACGCTGACCACTTGGCCCCAGTTGGAGACAGAATCAGCGGGAATGGTCAGCATCGAAAAGGAGTTTTGGCTCCACGCAAGCCACTTTTTCCGAAGCGTAGGAGCTTCAAACCCTGACCAGCTAGCTCTAGAGATAGCCCGAGGTAAGAATTTTCAGAGGGCGAGAGCAGAATTTATGAAAGGTCGGGCTGAGGAGCGCGTCAGTATCACGCTCCCGGATTCTTGCAATGTGGAGAAATGGTCGCCTCTAGAGGCAACAAGCCCTAGAATGTCAACCATCAATGGAGGCAAGCTTTCCATACACAGGTAACTCCCCCAGAATTCCAAGTCGGTGGCTTCTCTAATATTTGCCGCCGAAGGGATGTGTTCGAGTCGTTCTTTAGGCAGTTCGCGGAACATATCGAAGCGGCGCTCGACGAAGCGGTCACAACTGCAAGAACAGCAAAGAAGGAACCTGTACGCCAATATATCCCAACATCTTTACGATAGCTAACATACCCAGGCTGTAATCGGATTCTGTGGAGGCGGATGTAGAACTGAATACGCCATCAAACGTTTTCAGAGCAGGTACGATCCGATTCCCATCGCGGATCACACCCACCTCACAATTCAACCGTAAGTGCAACAATCCGTCTCACACCGGCGAGTTTCAGCAATCTAACACTCGCAGTGAGATGGCAACTGTCGTGGGCAGCACCTTGATATGGGACCAAAACAAGCTCAGTGAGTTCACAAGGGAGACGAGCTTCGGCATCGAGACGAGCGACAGTATCAAATGGAGGCGCGCGGAACTAAACTTGGTAAGCAGTACACCACTTGCCGGAGTTTGCTTTGCTGACAAGGCAGGCGGCGTCGAATTTTAGCCGGGCATATCCTTGGGTTGTTAACTTCCCATGCAACAAGCATGGCAGTCACAACACGCATAGGATGGTCATGACATCAACTCCGCCCCCGGACAATTCTTCGGATGGTAAGAGTAGTTTCTCTAGTTTCTAAACCCAGCTGACCTTTCAAGCTTTGCGGCTCCTAAATTCTAAGAGTTGGGTCATTGAAGTTGATCTCCGGAAGGAAAAAGGATCCACACTTTCGTGGAATCGGAAGTACCAGCTAGTTTGCAATATTGCTGGACCACGGGACATTGACTTCAGCGCCCAGTCTCTTGTGACTGAGGAGGATATTCCTTGTAGAGTGACGCGAGAAGGGAGCTACGAGTGAGAGGGGCCACTAGAACGCCGCTGGGCACCCTCTTGAACCTTTGCTCAAGCCTCGTTTTTAAAATGGAAAGGACGGCTGGGATAATTCTCCACGACTTGGGTCGTTTTAAAATAGCTAGTAGTGAAATTGAAAGTAGAGCTAACTTAGCTCGAATAGCCAGTCTAATATTGGGCAGGGGAAGGCAGAAATAGGATCAAAATTAGTCACCCAATCTACGAGCATTTTAGAACTTGAAGAACTCTTTAAGGATACTTCTAAGAGTTCTAGATAACACAGCTTGAAATGAACGGCAGAGTCTTGCATGCCAATGAATGCGATAATAATGTATTTAAAAGATATTGAACTTGTGGGTACCTGTATTCATCTGCTGATCGCCCCGTTACAAGGCGCGATTGTATGTATGCTCGAAAGTCTGCAGAGTTTCATAACGAACCTACAAGAGGAGTTAGCTTCTCTGGCAGTGGATATCACTTGGCTTCTCTTCTTAGTCGTCAACGCTACTAGTTTGTGGGAGTTAATTGTATGCAGGGACACTAGCCATTCTCCATGTCGAAGGACTGCATATTGTACAGAGGGCATCCCTAATTGCATAGCCATATGTAACCTCCCACAAAAGGGATCACACTTGCAACTCTAAAGTAGTTGGCGATGGAGCATGGAGAGACAACAAAATTAACATACCTCAGGAGGGCTGGACTTCACCAAAGTGTCACAGTTGGGCGACGAGTTCTCTGCGGAGTGCAGCTGATGGGTAGTCGGTAATGGTTAAAGCTGTAGCGTTCGGGTTGACGAAGGAAATAATTCAGAGCCTTCTCAGGTTTAATGATCGAAGACGAGATCGAGCTGTTTTTGGATGCAATTTCGACTGCAGATATGAACAATCCGCAGGTAGCTGCCTGGGATTTCATGGATAGAACATAAGCATCCGGGTGCTTCGGTATAGCCAAAAAGGCGATTGAATTGGGCGGAAGCCCCGGACGGGATGAGGTAATGCCAGATTGTTGTTTGTAGCTGCCCTGCTGTAGGATTCCCATTTAGGAACGTATATGCGACTGCAGCTTTCTAGAATTTGACGGGTTATCCACCGCTCACGATGATCCAACTAACTTCAGCCAGACTCCTGAGAAGCAGTGTTGAAGTCAATGGTAAACAGCACATCCTTCGTCGTCTCAATTGTCACCCATTCCGCATTCACATGATTGCTTGTGCTGATTTGACCCCCAAAATCGGTTTCCCAATCCGTCACATCCCATTCAAGCCCCTTCGTTGTGATAGTAGAGGGCTCCTTCAATGGTATGATCCCAACATGTTTTCCCAAATAAATGTCTCCAAAGTTTTCTCGAGCTTTGATCTTATGTTTCCCAGACTTCAAAACAAATGTAATGCCTTCGCTTGAGAGAAGAAACATTTTCCCAGGTGTATAGTCCTTTTGGAACATGTAAAGATGGTGTAGGACAGAAATTCCCTGATCAACTCTTCCGCCAAGTCCTCCCAAAACAGTAATATCCTTCGGATGAGCTCTTTCGGAGGACCAGATGTGATTGACAGCTTTCGTGAAATCTGTGGTATATTGATCTGGATCATGTGTAATACTCACGCCTTTTTGCTCCCAATATTTTCGGACATCAGGGAGTAGAGAGTCAAGGTCTCCAATAACCAGATCCACTGCAAAGTCTAGCTTACTAGATATATTTAAGTCGTGAATGCGGTTCGCTCCCCCATCAACTGCGACCCTGTACACAGAATTCCCCCATATTTTGGTATACACGGAGGCATGTAGCTCCAATGGCTGGTTTAACACGACAAGGGCAGATTCCTTGTGTGATTTAGGGCCGCCGGAGAACACATCGGCAGGATGCCAGGTCGTTTCAGCTGTCGCTGCCATCTGGGTAGCTCAAAGTTGACTTGATCTTTTTTGAGTTGTTTATATAGGTGCAACGTATAGATAAACGTCCTCGGTGAGTATTTGCGGATTGAAGCTGACGTTGTCGAGTCAAGTTTGACAGATGATTGGTGCGGATTGGGTTCCAGTTTTTTACGACACCAGCTTGATCACATGACCGGAGTCCGACGACAAAATTCCGGGACGCTTACAAAACATTCGAGATCTATCGAAGCTCCAATGTTTTCGCGCCGCCTTTCTTTTGTTTAATTCAGCATCTCGAATCGCTCTCTTTAACGTGAAGTTTTCTCCGTCATGTTCAGGTCAGCAGTCCAAGCCGCGCCTCGGCGCCTTTTACCTATCCGATCAGTCGTCAAAAGTTCTCCAAGGAGGTTTATAAGCACAACACGACCGTCGCAGAAGTCAGGAAGTTGGAAGGGTAGTGCGGCAAGATGGGCGCTAGCTGGTGGAGCAGTCTACTATTATAATACAAGCAATGTATTTGCAGAAGAGCCGGAAGGTACGTCATCCAGAGGGACAGAGAGTTTACAGAGTCTAATTAGAACCTCAGCGGCGGTTCAACGGCTAGACGAAACGATAAATAATATTAAAGAATCCGATCAACCAACGGTAGACGCTATCGTGGAGGAGAAGAGACGAAGAGCGGCAGAACGAGCTGCAGAAGAGGAGCGACGAGAACGAGCCGCGGAGGCAGCGGCTGAAAAGGGAGGCGCTGGAGGCGAAGAAGAGGGCGAGGGAGGACTAGACGATTTGGAAGGAGAGGCGGATGCCCAAGGTGCTTTCAATCCGGAAACGGGAGAGATCAATTGGGACTGTCCATGCCTGGGAGGGATGGCACATGGGCCTTGCGGAGAAGAGTTCAGAGCTGCATTCAGCTGCTTTGTATACTCGAAGGAGGATCCGAAGGGAGTGGAGTGTATAGATAAGTTCAAGTAAAGCTACCTTCCCGTGGCGTCGGTGGATGAGGCTAACACGAATTTTAGGGGTATGCAGGATTGTTTCCGACAACATCCTGAGATGTATGGCTCGGAATTAGACGATGATGAAGACGAGGTTGAAGAGGAGCTTCGCGCCAGACAGCATGACGAATTGGCATCCCAATCAGCTCCCGAATCGAAGGAAGGAAGTGATTCAACTGCGGATGAGCCAACTGCGGATGAGCCGGCAAACCAGCCATCTGTCACATCGGTTCAAGAACGTGCTTCAGCTGTAGATGCACCGGGATCCCAACCTTCTCCTAATGCGGCGGAAGGTGCTTTAACGGGAACACAAACAACAGCCGATGAGAAAGAACCTACAATGACATATCGCGATAGTCGGAACACAAAATCTGGCGAAGCTCAAAAGGCTGGAGATGAATATGGCGAGCTAATACCAAAGGCGGCATCGGATGCTTCGTCGAAATAGGTATGGGGAAGGGGGAGCTGTACAACATTTATATGTATTATAGACTCAAAATGCATAATGAGGCGCAAGATGTACTACTCTCAAATACACAACTCTCCTAGACGATATCTATGGCTCCCCAACCTATCTCTCCATATTTCCTAATCTCTATCTGAAGCATCCTTTTAAAATAAACAAATACGTACCTTACTTTTCAGTACTGGAGCTTACGAGTTGGGTTTGAGAGCCTAGAACTCAGGCTGCTGCCTAGACTTGCTTGCTTTGCATATATCGTGGTAGAGCTGGAAACGCAACGGAAGGAGGGCGTGATATTTTTATAGCGAATAATTAACTATCTGGATTTGGATAGTGTTAATATATAGAGGCTTAAACAATTATACTTTCGTACCTGTAAAATGTCGGAAGGGATGGGGAGAAGATCTGCGGAAATCCTGTCCAGCCAAGCAGGTCGAGATGTTGCCTGCATAGCGGCAGGAACAGGAAGTTGCATTACTCCGAAGGTCTGGACCCACTCCCTCCATGGCGTCGCTTTGTGGCTTAACAGAAGAGTCTCACACCGAGGAAAAGTGACGTCATTGTCGTTGTGCGGATACTGGTCCGCTTCCCTGATGCAAGCAGCCTAGGCGCGCATCCACCCAGTCAAGGTTTTGTTTACATAAGAGGGAGCATACGACTTCTTCCGACTTCAAACTTCACGAACATCGATCAAAGTCACCTCGCTCAGTCCCTCCCCATAGCCGATCGTGAGTTTTCTGCCGGCGTTTGAGTTCTGCAGTAGATGCTTACCTTATCTAGCGATCTTCTTTGCTCAAAATGTCGTACGCAGAAGCAGCGGCCAAGGGCCCCAAGCAATCCCCAGAAGAGGTATGTCGATACTTAACCCATTTTACTCTATGGCCTCCCTCTATGTGCTGGAAGGGAGCTTTCCCGGCACAAATGCCGCCGAAGAACACCTGATACGCTCCATAACCATAAATAAAACCCAAACCTAACAACCCTCTTAGGCACGCGCGCCTGCACCCCCAGCGGTGGAGCACACCGATTCCCCCACCACCTCATCCCTCATCGACGTCGACACCGACTCCGTGCACACCGTCCCCTCAGATTTCACCTCGCAAGCCATCCAAACAGAAACGCAAGCCGACCGCTACGAGCATGAGGCGGCAGCAGCCAAGGCCCGCGCAGAGGAAGAACTAAACTCCAAGAAGGAGGCTGCCAAGAAGAAGGCAAAGGACGCAAAGGCCAAGGCAAAGAAGGAGATCAACCGTTTTGAGGCCAATAGCGATAACCCCGTGTTTGTTGGGAATGCGATTGCGGTTGCCGCGTTGAGTGCCGGGTTGGGCTTTGGGGCTTATAAGAAGTATTCTGCGGGCGAGCTATCGTGGCAGGTCGTCGGTGCTTGGGCTGGTGTTGTGGGTGCATTTGCTGTTGGTGATTATTACTTGAGCCGGTAAGTAATCCTTGCATTGCTTTTTTTGATGGTGGATATGGTGATGGATGATTTGGGTGCTAATGAAACTACAGGTATCTCTTCAAGAACAAATACCCGCCAAAGAACTAGGAAGATGATGATACGATAGAGGAAATGGGGTAGGCTTGGTTGCTAAGATAAGGCGTACATGGCTGTTTATGATATAGGCTTTATTTTCCTTAGTGCGCGACTCCCAGCTCTGGTTTTTGATGCGGCATTTTCAGTGCCATGATGGGTCATTCGAGTATCTTCTCTAAGAATACTGATAAACGAGGATCATAGTTTGCACAATGGATTGTTGATAACCATTCATCTTATTCACATTCTCGGTCTTTCAAGGCCACCACCACGTGACCTGACACCGCAGACGCAACTAATCAATCTTTCTTAAGGTGCATTTCTCGCGGTCTATGCATAGGCCACGTACGCATAGAGGAAAGTTCCTAAGCCATTATAGTACTGCAACAGCCCTAGAGAAATAACAAGTCCGAGGGCCTAACCGCGCTGCTGGATACATTGCGCTAGTCGTTAAGCAGACTGAGCCTTAGTACAAATCGTCTAGTCCAGCTAATGGATAAGGTACACGTTTAACATCACACTAGCAGCTTACTTCACCCATTTAAAATATTCGGAGATCTATAGTTGGTTTTCTAATATCTGTTCAAAGCCAGAAAGAATCTTAAAAAAAAATTTGGGTCATTAATTTATCATTTCTATTCATAACGTTCAACAGACTATGATATGATATATCTCTGTCTGAGTTTAAATGCCCGCCACGAGCGCCCCCATTTGCTGTCTGTCTAAAACCACGACGCATAACTTAGAGTACTTGGAAGATGAAAAATGTGTTATTTACATTGGGGGAAGAGACACCCCTCGCTCTCCCGCCGCTCACTAACCATCTATTGGTGGGGAGCCATGCCAAGGGAATTGTTCCCGCCGTGGAAAGCAACGAATTGCGACTTGAACATGATGTCGCCGTAGATTTGCAGGTTTGATGCGATGGATTGGACGCCGCCAAAGCAAGCTATTCGGTCAATACGTTAGCCATTATTCGGAAGTAAAAAAAATAAGGGGATGGGGGAAACTTACTGGTACCAGTGTTATCAGCTGGGGCAAAATTGATATCACTGCCCTTGACAACGGCCATATAGGCACCATTGATATCAACCGACAGGTCAGGGAGCTTAGCGTTGCAAGGGAACACAACACCTGATGTTTCTTTGACTGCGCCAGATACTTGGCTGTAATATGCGTTGACCACAGCGTCGTTGACCAACATCAAGGTAGTTCCGGTATCAGCGATGGCCTGGGCACCAGGGACGGTGATCGCAGTTCGGCTGCCAACTTGGAACTTTTGGGAGGTGACTTGCCAGAATCCTTGGGTGGTATTGACGGGTGTCCAGGTGAGGGATCCATTGAACCTGGCGGTGTCAATGCGTCCAAATTCGTAGGCGCCGACGGCCGCTTTGCGGAGATCTGCGGTGAAGACGGGTTCGGCAAGGCTGGGCATCACGTTGTCGAAGAAGGTCTTTTGCTTCTGGGGCTTAACTGTGTTGAGCTTGGAGAAGGCTAGTCCGACAAGACCGTTGGAGTTCGCATCGGCGACGAAAGATGCGGATACGGCTGTGGCGAGTTCAATGGCCTGGTTCTTCACCGATACGCCTCCAATGTCGACTGTATCGGTTCCCACGTTTCCTGAGGCTCCGGAGCCATCTCCATATGAGATCGAAAATGTAGCTCCGGGCATAGCTTTGAAGGTTGCGGATTTGGCGGGGTCGAAGTTGGTGTGGCCCTTCTGAGAGGCAACTGAGAGCTGCGTGTTGAAGATCCACAGATCGGAAGATCCGGAATCGAAGTTCAGGTTCATGGTTTGTCCACCGATTGTGACTGGCGCCAGGTATTCCACATCTCCCCTCTCAGGAGTTGCGGTGACTATGCCAGTCCCTGCAGCAGCAGAGACGTTTGAAGCTGCAGCCCCCGGCGCCGATGCTCCTGCTGGTCTCGATTTGTTCCCCTTCGTCTTTACATTCCCCACCTTCCCATTCGTTAATGGCGTCGCCTCGTCCTCCGACAACTGCACCGAGTTGATCACATCGAGGAGTCCCGGGGGAAGTGGAATGCTATATTTTCGGTGAGCGTTGAGCAGAGCTCTGTGACCGGCTCCTGGAGATCGCTTGAAGTGAGGGTTTGGTACTCGCTCGACCTTGAAACTTCGCTTTTGGAGCGGTGCGTTTTCTGGGGCGGGTGCTGGTGCTGCCAGTGCCAAAGTGACGAGGGTGAGAACACAAAGGGAGTGTAGTGAAGGCATTTTTTTTTTTTGGTTGGTATTTTTGTTGGGTGAGTAGTATCGTGAGAAGTAGATAATATGGTAGGTAGGTAGGTGAACTTTTGTCCCCGTAAAATCCACACCAGGTGGCAAGCTAGAATAATTTAAAGGAGCGGTGGTTCCTCAGAACAAAGTGATTGTCGATGAACAGGACAACAAAAACTACGCCCAACGCATTCACCGATAGAGAGTGAATAGTAAGTAACAAACAAACTGGGATCCGGCAGTAAGAGAAGATGAATTGAAGGAAGAACGAACAAAGATGAGAGAGAAAAGAAGGATGTTTCGTAGGGGCGCACTAGGGGAAGAAAGAAGAATAGCAACGGAGAAGAAAGATGGAGAAGACAGAGACAAAGACAGAAAGATGAACACTTCTGTCTTCGGGTCGGTGATGGCGCGCATTGACTTGTACACGCTGCCCCACCCCTTTGGGATGAGCATTGGCCATGGCAAAGATCAAACATGGCCCAGGGCCCCAGGCCGGCCGGAGGATATCAGACACCAGCTGCCGCATGACGGTGAGTGGTGAGGCATCGTGCTACGAGTACGACCACGACGGAGCGTCGACATGCCCGATACAGGTACTCGTAGGCCAGGCCAGGGAGCCGCGGCTAAGTATGGGGGCATTAGGGCTCATGGCGCGACGAGTGGACACGAAGGGGGGGTCACTGGCGGGTACCATTCGTACAGAGGTACGAATAATAGCACGCACTACTAGTACTTGATTTGAGGGATGATGGCGTTTTGAGCGTTTTGGTTTTGAGCAAGTCGGGATAAAGATAAGAGGACGAGGTGAGGTGAGGTGAGGTGAGGTGGGAAGAAGCTTGCCAAGTACCTCCGTACTATACCCGTACCTGGAGAGTGGAGGAGAGGACGCGGTCGTATGGTACGAGTCCCGTAGGAGGGAGCCGTAGTAGGGAGCCCTTGGCCTTGCAGTGTTGCAGGGCCTGGTCTGGTCGATGTCTTGTCTGCTTGGCTGGTGGAGGTGTTTTAAGGTTCGCAGGCGAGGCATGGCGGCTGACGACTCAGGGGCAACGAATGGGCCTATTCCTAGGGGTTGTTGTGACGATCAACTGGAAGGCTCCGCTACGAGAGTTGAGTGGCTCGGAGGGGGGATGAAGGATGGCGAGTGTAATCCGATGTCGTAGGGGGTTGGTATATACGAGTACCGCACGAGTAAGCGTAGCGCTTGCCAGTGGCCTCTATAGGCGCCTGTAAAGGGGATGGGAGATGGGAGATGGGAGATTACAGGCGGGTGGCGATGGATAGAAGCAGCGGCTGTGTATGAGTACGTACAGTAGCCTCGGGACGCAGCCGTGATGCGGTGCGGCTATTACTGAGTGCGAGTAAGGCAGTCAGTAAGTAGGCTGGCTCTATCAAATAGCTGTAGGCACACTCCGGGCGGTACTGTACCGTACCGTAAGGTAACTCGTACTTGGTATCCTCTTGTGGTCCACAGTCCACTGTATAGTTCTCTCCACTCGCGCTCCTCCTCAGGCTCCCTATTCCCCCTGATCACTCCACTCCGTACGAAGTACCACCGTTGTGCAATGTGCAATGACACTCCGTTCTTCACATAAGGTACCAGGTACCTCAAGGGGGAAAAGCCCTAAAGGTCTAAAAAAAGGGGTCTCGCAAAAGTTGAAACGCAATGCCATCTACGCAGCCAACGCTTGGGTCTAGACTTCTGCCCGGGAGAGCGCCACAGCCGCGCCTCAAGAGATCGGCATCGGCGCTGTTCGACGTTAGGCTTTTAGACTGTTCCTCGGTGCGCGTGGCACTGTATCACCAGTACGAAGCACAACTCCGATCAAACAGAATGCGTCCCCATCCCATTCCACAGCAAACAATACTTAATGCAGGCAACATTCGCCTCTCCCGGCACTGGGCGTTTTCATGATCGACACCGAGCCGTGCGTCCAAAGCCATCCATTCCGCCAAAATCGACTTAGCACCGCCCAGGGATGCGGTTGGAAAACAAAGATCCGCTTCTAGATCCTCTATGAGGAGTGACGAGGCGCACACGTAGCACCTACCCACTCTTACTGTCTTTTGTACCTAGGTAGTAGGTATCTCTACTTCACACCTACGAAGGTAAAGTAAGCCGCCGAGCTGGTTGGCCGCGTTGGCTGACCGCCGAGCAAGGCAAGGCTGCGTGAAACGACCTCTGAAACGGCACCCTCCTGCCCAATCATCAGCACCGCGATGGTCTAGCAGTCAGACCACGAGAAGCGAGTAATCTCCATCTTCTTGGCCTACCAGATCATGAGCCTTGAGGGCCAGTGGCTGCTATACGCCCGACTCTTCCCAAACCCCAACATCGGTACTCTTTGGGTACTCAGAGCTTGGCCAGCCTAGGAGAACCACGGCGCATCACGGGTCAAGTATTTTGTCCTCGATGGCCCTCGCTCAGGGTGACGGCCGTACCGTCTCAACTATCGGATCGGGGCTCCCCGTGCAACCCTTGGCTTGTCATGCCTTGCTCAACCTCTCCTCAAAAAACCTTTGCACAGCTTAATTAGCTCAGTGGTCAGCCTCAAGCATTTGCATATAGACCTTCCGATTTAAAATTAAAAAATAAAGGTTAGGGCGGTGCATCCTGGGGAGCTTCCATGTGCACAACTATGAAGATATTCCCCGCTTGAATCCCCGCTAGCTTTCTGCAAACATCCGCAATTCAATCTAAGCCACGAGCGTCCTTGACGGAGATCATACACTATAATCATAATCATACAGCAAGGCGGAGCATGTCATATTCCTTACCAGCAAATCGGGCAATTTTCTCCCATGGATCATACATGCAGAGCCTCCCTTCTTTTATGCGTTGGATATATCGTTGTTTTGCCGGGCTTGGTCGATTTCGTAAACAGCGTTTATTTATGCGAGACGTTTAGCTGGCCTTGGTGTTGTTTGGAATGCTAGAACAACACATATAAACGTCCGTCCCAGCAGCAAGAAGCCCAGGCTGATGGGTGTCAAGTGAACGCCCCTCCTTCCCTTGCCCATGCGTGGTAGAAAGTTAAAGGCAGATGCTGCGGCTGTAGATTCATGCGCCACGGCTACCTATAAGTTCTGTGGGCGATTTCCTACTCCTAACTTTCTCTGGTGGGTTAGACTTTTTTTATTCTAGACATGTCGGTAAAATGAATCTAGTTACGATATATTTCCTACTTCATTGTTGCTTGTTTAAGGTTCTCAGCACCCAAGAAGCATTTGGATTATCTCGCTCCTATAATAAATACCCTGAGGCATTATAACTTATGGGACCCTATAAATATTATGGGAGTATTCTCCAAGGAGTCCCAAAGTCCCAAGATATTCACCACCCTAAAATAATCATCTCAGGAGGAGTATTATTCCAGGATAATTATCTTGGGGGCTGAATTCTTATACTGCTCAAGTCTTCCTGGGCAAAATTGAACAAGCCAAAAGATGAGAATATTTAAAATCCATGGAAGTTCGTTCAATGAATCCAAATTATGGCCTTTCCCACAACCCCTTGTTTCCCAGGACCTACAGTCAGCCTCGCTTACAATATCTCCAACTCCACACCTCGTTCTGAATAACCTCCAGTATCACAAAGCTCTTTCACGATGATATCAAGTCATGCAGCTGCCAGAGATATCAGCAGAGCTCATCGATCACATTTTTGCCGCTCTCTTGGACTTGATAGGTCCGAAGAAGACCTTGCGCCTACGTGTAGTAAATCGTAAGTTCAGACGCCCGCTGCCTGTGCAACAGATCGCTGACGGCTCCAGAATTTTTCAACGATACGATCGTACGCGCTGTGACAGACAGCTATGTCAGATATCGAAATGGGCCTTTCCATTATTGGCTCGATAAATGGATCAAGCCCCCCAAAGAGAGGAGTTGGAGCCAGTATCGCAGAGTGTCGCCGCCAATGATGTGTCGTTTTATCGAGGCCCAGATGAAATCTGACTTCGTTCAACTTCCGCTTTTAGCCCTGAGGGACGTACTGCAAACATTGGATGAGTTGTCTCCTGTCTCAGAGCCGGAACGGAAGAAGCGGGCTCGCCAGATTTACCAAGCTGCGGCTGACTACCTGGATTGGGATCGGGACCACAAGTTCGCACTGAGCTGGCCCGGTAATAACCCGCGGATAGAGTCTTCAGACGTGGATGAGAAGAGACAGATCTTGTTTGGAGCTGCTGTTGTTTCTGGCAATATATCGACTGTTCGAAATCTGCTCGAAGACGCCCCCGTTGATGTCAACTACGAGAGCCCATATCTCGGAAGACCGCTACAATTAGCAGCTCGCTGGGGTCATATTGTGATACTGGAGCTTCTTCTTGTTCACGGGGCGGATCCCGTAGCAATGCAAGTGCAAACGAATCAGCTCCACCCCGCGGACCACTATCAGAGTCGATCCTGGGGGATGTACTACAGTTCCCACGGTAGCGCGCTTCAAGTAGCCTGTCTTGCTAGGCATGTTAGTATTGTGCGTACTCTACTCCGACCCCAAAACGCGCTACCATCGGAGCACTGCCGTTCCGCACTCTGTTCAGCGAGTCGGGGTGGACATGTTCAGGTCATTCAAGCTTTACTAGAGGCACTTCCCGACCTTGACGCGGCATGGAAACACCACACTCTTTTAACAGCCTGTAGACAGGGCAGTTTGGAAGTAGCGAAGATGATGATTAGGTTGGGGGTACCGCCGCATTTCATATCGACGAGGTACGGGTGTCGTCCACACACTGCCCTTCGGGTCGCAGCCATGCGGGGGCACGCGAACATTGTGCGCCTTCTTATCGAAAACCTGCCGGATATATGTAACGATCGCCAGGCATTGTTAGAAATGATAAAAATCCCCATGGATCTTGCCGTGCGATATGGACATCTTGAATGTGTCGATGCACTCTTCAATCTGGGCGGCTTCAATACAAATTACTATTGGGCCCACCGTTTGATAACGGGCGCTATACCGCACCTTGCCTTGGTCCGGTTACTTGTACGTCTTGGAATCGACTTGGATCAGATCGGCCCTGGGAAGGACATCACCCTTGGCCAAGATGCACTGCTGGATGCGGTTGAGAGGGACCGCGAACCAGTAGTCAGGGTACTGCTAGAGCTGGGAGTGCCGCCAAATAGTCCCAACCAGCTAACCCATCCGGTGCTACGTGCTAAAGTCTATGACAATGGTGACGTCCTGAAGACACTCTTAGAATTCGGCGGAGATGATATCGATGTGTTAGGCAGTGTCTACACGGCCGACTTCAAGTTTGAGGCTGGTAGAGAACCGTATCCGCGAAGGATTGGAGACCGTAGTCGTGGAGATGATTACCCCAAGGGATGGCGTGGAAGGGATTTCTAAACCTTCCGAATCATAGGGGAATGCATTGAAATGAACCCGAACTGAATTAGGTTTCTAGAGTCCGCATTCATGTATCGTTTCTAGGAGCTGGAGGTAATAGAGTCATCTAGTGGATCTATAGACCGCTCCTATTCGTAGATGAACTTCTCAGCTTACCGTCGTGGAGGTATGTATTTTCGTTTTGTTGGAATATTCCGAGCATAAGAGCTACGAGATAGACTTATAAGCTGTCTCTGATCACTGGGCAAAGCGGGGATGGTCTCCTTATCTACCGCTTCCAGTAGAAGGGAGATAGGAGCATTTTGACAGCACGGCCTACCTTTTGCTCACCTGAATCACCCAATATAGCCTCTCGCGAACCCCCTTCCCCACCTACCACAAGCGAAACTAAAAAAAGGGGGTGGGATAGCTCAACTTCTATTACAAAAGTAGGGCTTGGGGGGGGGAAGGCAAAAAATATTTTTATACACCCCGGAAGCAAAAGAGTTCGGCTTGGGCGATTACTTATATCTCTTGTCGCTTTTTCGAGTTTTGTTATTTTGGTCACTTTTTTGGTCCTATCGATCCTCTCCAGAAGACAATTTGACCTGAACTACCTAGCCAAGTGGCCGCCTTTTGTCTTCCTTAAAACACAAATTATTTGGATTTATATAGGTCAGGACAAAGCGGTAAATGGATAGTCAGGTGACTATCCTTACATGGCCCATACATGTACAGGTACTAGAGATAATACCCCTCTCATCTCGACTCTCTATAGCGATAGTCGATCGCCCTATAGTAGATAATCTCCCGTCTAGCCGACAAGAGCGCATTAGCTAAGAATACAGCGACGATGGGAGTAGCTAAGGATCGATAGAGCAGCCCTGCTCATCTTTCTGAATAGAAATGGATTGCCTTCATATTAGGATTGACGTGTAGTACTACCTATGCTGTTATATGTTTGTCGTGCTTATCTTTTTATCACGATACTTCCGTTGCCGAGTTTATATATTGGTTTAAGCAAATACCTGTCACATACGACCATAGACTGAGGAGCAATGGGCATCTCGTTCGCTCTGCTATGCACAAGCCTCAGAATCATTAGGTTAATAAGACCTCGCCTCCTCTCTTACCTATACCTAGAGATCTAATAGTATAGATAGTACCCTAAGTATAGCTTGTAGGTGGTAAGTCCTCTAATAACTAGCTCTATGCTTCCACTTAGATCGGATTTAATATATTCCTGTACGTCTTCATTCTAATATTTGTACCTAAAATAATAGATCGGAGTCTCGAAGAAATCCACGAGATATTAGAGGCCAAAATATTAATTCGGAAATTCAAAACCTATATATACCTGGGTATCGAGCACTTATTTTGCTACCGAGGTTTTGGGCGAGAAGGAGTCTCCACTTTATGAGATAGTAGAGAAGAAAGCGTGGCCTCTTAAACAGATAATTACTTAAATAAATTATTTAATACTATATAAGTAGAAGTTTGGCATGTTGGTTTCCCAGCGTGAAACATCCACCAGGGCTCGTCAGCAACGGAAACGCAAGGAGTCTTCTCAGGTTATATCTAACGTGACCCTTTGGGTTCTAGCCAAGGAATTGCACCTCGGGATATGCTGGGTTCGGTCCACTAAGAAGACCCTCTTCAGGCTTTTCATCCAGCACAAAGTGGAAGAAGTCATGCAAATAATCCGCTACGATTTTGATCGCTCTTGCGCCAGGAAACAGTCCTAACAGCGCCTCTTCCATGTCATCTGGCATTTTATCCCGCACCTCAGCAACATCTGCAATGAACGGCAAATCCCAAAACGCCGCATGAGCTCCACCTGTCAAACTCAGTTCTTTTTTCCATACCCGTTGCTTGGTCAACATAGACCAGAACTTCCCCCAATCGTCAGCAGAGGTGGTATTGTGGCCCTCGGCACCCCAGAGAATGAACGACTGCTTAGTTCCAGGGTTGTCAAATCCAACATTAACCACAGGGCCCCACAGTGCACCGTCGAGATTTACACCACCTCTGATCCGTGTATCGTTCATCATCGCAGCAGCAGCTGCAGCCCCGCCAAATGAACCCCCAAACATGACCGCTTTGGAGTTACGGCCTGAGCCTTTGATTCCAAGTTCATTAAGCAAGAACGAGGTATCGTCCACGCGGGTACTTAGCGAGAATTCGATTGATGCCACGTCTGACTTGTTGGTATTCCCTCCCAAGGCTATTGTTCCATCTGGGAATTCCACAATGTCGGTCTCAAAAGGATGATCAATAGAGATGACCGTGAAACCGCGAGAAGCCACTTCCTGAGCGAACGCGGCATAGTAAAATCGAGTTGTATTTAAGCCAGTTGAGAGTACCACCACTGGCGTTTCCCTTGTGTTGATCGGCGGCGATGTTTTTGGGGAGCAGAAGACCACTTCTATGCTTCCTAGAACTCCGGCGGGCCAGCCGTATGGGGCCAAAATGTTGTCTTCGGCTGCTGCAACAACGGGAGGCATGTACGGGACTTTTTCATTCCGGTAACATGAATTTGGGGGCACCGGGTCGAATCGCGAGATCATGATACGGCGGTGGTCAATCGTGTCAAGGCCCCAGGGGTCTTTTCTTGTTTTGTCTACCAATTCAGAGTTGCTCATGGACACTTGAAATTGGCCGCTTGGTCTTGGAAGTAGAACGCCATTGCAAACGGTAGAGAGCAGAGCAAAAAGCACAACGGAAATCATCTTGCTTAAACCCGGGCCCACCACTACTGTTAATTGTAGAATGGCTGTAAGTGCTGGCAAGGGATTGAGGTCGACTTTGTTAGGGAGAAATGCGGCACAGGCAAGATTAAATATTATCAAGTTCTCGGGACAACTTCGCGCCACGCTTACGTAGATAGAAGACATGCCTCTAGAGATCTACGAAGGTTGCTACTTCGTAAGTATTCGTGATTTAGCTAGTAGGGTATATTATTATTGGGGGTACTGCAACCAGGGCCTGACAGCAATCTACAACTATCTATTGCCCCTGGTAGCTTTAAGCGCATCGAGTTAATACCCCTGATAATAGTAAGCCCTACTAGCTAAATCGTAAATACTTACCTTATCCCAACAACCTTCCTTTATTAGAAGTTCCCCGCCATTGCCAAGACTTTTGACCGCTTTATCTGATTTACCCCTTTTCTTTTCTCCCTAACCTATTTCGAAAGGTATAATTATAGCCCTAATAGTATTTAGAGGTATATAGTCGTTAGGAGGACTTAATTTTAATAGTTACCATTTAATAGTTAATAATATAGGCAAAAAGGTTTTCCTATTATAGCTCCTTAAGCTAGAGCTCTAAGGCTATTCTAGGGTTGTCTATTACCTACTTCTTATTATATAAGCTATGAGCTTTAAAGCTTTCTTGCGGCTAAATTGAAATCCAAAAGTTGTAACGTATACTTGCTTCCAATGAAAAAGACACCTCTAGCATATCTAATGCCGTTTTTAATCTTTTCTTGTCGTATCAAAAAGGGTGTGTCTATGAGCCCCTCTATACGAAGTACTTCATCTAGGATATTAAAAATACACGAACAGCATAATTCATTTCCATCAAAGTTTTCTTCTGCCCCATGTCTAGCTGTCCCCAGCACTACTCTAGAGTTTACTCACCCTGAAGCGTACTCCCCACGTCTCTCAACTCTAACCCGCTGCCATCCGCAGATGCAAAGCTCGACAAGCTCGACAAGCTGGTCTCCCTGTTCCTTGCATCCGCGGCTCTCACGCCCCGAACACGACTCCTCAACTGCATCGCAAACCTCATAACCGTCATATCATGTATACTATGTGTGCGGAACGCCTCACCAATAGCCTCCAGACTGTAACCCTTAGTCTCCAGCATAAGTAGCGTGCACACGGCCACCGTCAGAATGCTCGTCCCGCCAAACAAGAAGTAGATCGCCGAGTTTGACTTCGCCAGCAGAACCGGCGTGATGAACGCTACGAAGAAATTCGTCACCCTATTAGACGCCTGGGCGAGACTTGTTGCTGTCGCGCGAAATCGGCTGGATCTCACATGCGAAGAGCTTTATTCCATCCGCCCAGGTCATGCAGTAGCCAAGGGCAAAGATATAAATGGTGACGATGACGACCCAGCGGCCGGCGGCCAGCGGCCAGGGCCGTAGGAGGCGTAGGAGGCGTGCACACTATCGGAGGCGAAGAGACTTCCAATAAGCGCTATACATGCGGAGATGAGGATACCGCCGTAGATGGTAGAGGCGCGGCCGCCCCATTTGTCAGAGAACAAGAAATGCAGGAATCGTGGAGACGAATATTAGGATCGCAGAGACTCCCTCTTCGACCCCAGGAGCGCATTAATGCTTGAAGGTGAGAACAACTTCGGTGTGTCTTTGTAGAATTGATAGTACTGATCACAGTTGTTGTCCTATGAACGTTAGTCTAACATATTTCAAGACGAAAATGACTTACTTACAAAACTGAGTTCTCTTTTGGAGTTTTTTATCCCCCTCTTCCTGGATCCTGGTTTCCTGTGCGAATAGGTTCCATTTCAGCGCTCCTCGCTGCTAATTTCATTATTTTTCGTCAGAATGTTGCCAGCAAACCATCCTCTTAGAGGCTTGGATCCGGGATGAATAGACTCACGAGCTAATGACTCCATATGACCATCATACAATTCAGTTTGAGACTCCGCAACTGTTTCCTTGAGACAACAACAAGGACAACAACACCCCATTACTTTGAAGAAGCGCAGCGCGAAAAATCCAGAACGGAATCCTTTTTGTGTCACTAGGACACAAATCAAGATACTAATAAGAGCCACCACAATCCCTCCTGCGATGCCGAAGAATACAGGGACTTTGTAATTTTTCCATGCCAGTTCGAATGCGCTGCAGTCTTTGGTGCAATCCCCTTCGTCTCGACCAGCCACAGTGCTCAGGTTGGACAACATTCGGGGCTTGATGAGGAACCTGACTGGCATTGGACTCTTAGATGTCTCGATGTCATGTCGTTGAACTATGGATAGCTTGACCCTAGAGCCAGGAATCTATGTTGTGGCTGTGCTGACGGGAGTTGTCTCGAGTGTCTCGGAAATCGCAGGGGTAAAAAGGCACAGCAAGCGCGTCTCCAAAGTCTTGAACCTCTATATGCAAACAAATCATTTAGAGGACGAAAAAAACACTCGTTCGCCAGCTTCTAATTCAGTATGTCTTCGGGGGTCAAGGCACCACCAGCTCGTCCGCCTTGGCCGGAGACTCCCTGCACGCTCTGTCAGGATGCACTGCGACATGCGAAGAAAACCACAATCTCATTTCCACTCCACAAGCTTCTTGCTGGACTCAATGGGTACGGTCGAGAAGGTAACGAAAGAAATTGCGCTTCTTGTCGCATTATCCTTGAAATAGCACAAAGGTTCAACCCGGAAGAAATAACCGACCAGACTAAAGAATGCCTGAAGGGATTTCAAGCCAACCTCTGCCCTCAAGATGATGCCCTGTTCCGCTTGGATATCGAGGTGGCACAACTTGCACCCAGGAAGCCCCTGCGGTCATACTTTCAACGGTCTATTAATCTTAATGAGGAAGCAAAGTACCTTCCGTCTATTGAAGTTTTTCAAAATCTCACACGTAATGTCGCCCCCTGAAGCCATGCGTGGCGCTGATTGAAAGACTAGCTGTGGTCTCGACGACAGATTCCGACTTCTCACTTGCCCAGAGTATTGACTCAACTTGCGACTTCATCCGGGACCGTCTCAATGACTGTGAGCGGCATCATGGTGAGCCGTGTCGAGCATCTTATCGCGATTCGCAGCGATTACCTACCCGCCTTATTGACGTAGATTCCATACATCCGGATGTTCGAGTGTGCAAGTCAACTCCAAGCATGAGCGAGCGGTATATTATACTAAGTTACTGTTGGGGAAAGGGTGAAAATTTCAGGCTCCTTCAAGGCAAGCTGAAGCAAATGATGCAAAGGATTGCTATCTCGGAATTGCCCCCTTTACTTCAGGACTCAATCACGGTTGCTCGACGCCTTGGAGCTACCCACATCTGGATCGATGCATTGTGCATTCTACAGGATAATGAATGGGATGACCCAAAGCCGGACCCAGAAACCCTACTAAATGCGCAAAAAGATCAGGCGAAGGAGCTTCCTAGAATGGGAGAGTACTATCATAATGCCAATCTTACCATCGCTGCCTCCTCGGCAAGCGGCGTTGAGGAACCCTTCCTAGAACTGAGAGATCAAACTTGGGAGGCACAAGAGTTCTCGATGGTGAAATCGGACAGAGGGTTTGGCAACAAGAAGATATTTCCATGTAAGACTTTTACAGCACATCATCGACGAATCCAACCAGACTATAAGTATCTTGTTCTTGATGCCCCCCTATCGAAACGTGCGTGGACTTACCAAGAAAACATTATGTCAAGGCGGATAGTTCATTTCGACAAGTCGGGTGTCATATGGGAATGTGGGGAAAAGGTCGTTGCTGAGCCACGCAAAACCAAGAATACCTATGTGAGATCTCAGGGGACACTCATTGAAACAAAGGCCTTGTGTCGGCTCATTAAAGGAGGGCAATGGAACGAGATTGTGGAAACGTATACCAAACGGAGTCTCACATATGCTATCGACAAGCTACCTGCAATATCTGCGGTTGCGGAACTTAAAGCTGTAGACTTGGGTTCCAAGTACCTCGCTGGGATGATGGGAATCGAGCTTCAAAACTCTTTGTTCTGGCTCCGCAGCATCGATGTTTCAGCCGCCGAGATTGGAAATAGCATTGGGTTGATGCTACCAACTACCAAGAGTAATCAAGATACGGGACTTGTTCACCAATACACCGCACCATCCTGGTCGTGGGCATCCATCGTCGGACCAGTGAGATGTACAGTTGTTCCAGCAAAAATGATCAGGATACTGTCCGCCGAGTGCGAGGTAATAGACGAAAATTTATACGGAAAAGTCACCAGTGGCCATATTCGTCTCGAAGCACCAATCTTCAAGGCTGATCTGCATTTCACGCCTAACAAGAGTTTTCATTCTGCATACTCTCTCTTGCGGAATAAGATAATGAGCTCCTTCTTCCCAGATTCACATATACAGACACGATCCATTCGGGGACCAAAAGGCGGGGATCAACAAGAGACTGCCGAGCGATGTTTGGAGCCACCGGAGGCAAGCTTTCGTGTTCCGGTATACTGTGTCGCTGGCAGTCTCACTAAAGGACACGACGATGTTGACGGGGCAGTGTTGTGGCTTCTTGTTCTCGGTGTAGCCCAAACTGATACACGGGATACTTTCGTTCGGCTAGGAGTTGGACAGGTAAAGGGACATCTTCAACAGCTTTTTGCGATGGGATCAAAACGCACGACCATTTCGATTATTTAATAATCCGGAGGATACAATGGTATCGGAAATCGGCCCAAAAGAATTTAGGCTCCCAAAGCTACTTCGGGGGAAAAATAAATCGACGCGAATTCTAAATCGATATCAAAACAGTAGCTATAATTATTAACGTATTTAGATATATTTCTATGATCTAACTTTGATAGAAGGGAGAAAGTCTCTAAAATACTGTTTATTAGCCTTTTTAGAGCGATTTTAGATTTTAGGTAATTCGTAATTTTCCCCGAAGTAGCTTTGGGAGCCTAAATTCTTTTGGGCTGATTTCCGATACCATTGTACCCGAGCCTGCAAACTCAGCCTCAGCTACACCGATCGTCGTTAGTTCAAGCTTCGCAACCAGTAGCTATTCATCAATCCTCAGTATGTCATTATCAAAGAGAAAGCGCACTCGTGAGTCTACCGTTCCAACAGAGAATGAAGGACCCTCAAATTCTTCGAACCATGGCTCTGCCTCATCTGAATCCGAATCCATACAACTGAACCCGCAACATCAGGATAAACATTCCTCTATCGGAGACTCTCCAAACACTTTTCAAGCTCTAGGAATACTGCAATCATTATGCGACGCCTGTGAATCCCTTGGCTACACAAAGCCCACACCCATTCAGGCGCAATCCATCCCGATTGCATTGCAAGGACGAGATTTAATCGGCCTCGCAGAGACTGGTAGTGGCAAGACTGCAGCCTTTGCGCTGCCCATTTTACAGGCATTGATAAATCAGCCACAGCCTCTACACTCTCTTATCCTTGCGCCTACCCGAGAACTTGCCCAGCAAACGTCGAAAGTCATCGAAGCCTTAGGTTCCTTAGTATCAGTCCGGTGTGCATTATTGATCGGGGGCCTCGACATGGTCTCACAATCGATAGCACTGGGAAAGAAGCCGCATGTTGTGGTTGCGACGCCAGGACGTCTGCTTGACCATTTGGAAAATACAAAAGGTTTCTCACTGCGGCAGTTGAAATATCTGGTCCTAGATGAAGCGGATAGACTGTTGGATCTCGATTTCGGTCCGATATTGGACAAGGTTCTGAAGATATTGCCGAAGAGGACGACATACCTATTCTCTGCAACCATGTCTAGCAAGGTCGAGTCCCTACAGCGGGCGTCTTTATCAAATCCTGTACGAGTCTCGGCAACCACAGAGCATCAAACGGTCTCGACACTCTTACAGTCATATATTTTCATACCATTCAAGCACAAAGATGTATATTTGATTCATACATTGGACGAGCGAGCAGGGCAGATGGCGATCATATTCACCCGTACAGTTAACGAGAGCCATAGGATTTCGATTATGCTGCGGCATCTTGGATTTTCTGCGATACCTCTCCACGGCCAACTCTCACAGAGTGCACGACTAGCAGCATTGAACAAGTTTCGACTAGGATCTCGAAGCCTACTTATTGCCACCGACGTAGCAGCTCGTGGGCTGGATATACCTTCGGTCGACCTTATCATCAACTACGATCTACCTCAGGACAGCAAGACTTATATCCACCGCGTTGGCAGAACCGCCCGAGCTGGTAAAAGTGGCAGTGCGGTTTCCTTTGTTACGCAATATGATGTCGAATTATGGTTAAGGATAGAAACGGCGATAGGCCAGAAGTTGGAAGAGCAAAAGCTAATAAAAGACGAGGTTATGATCTTTGCTGCGCGAGTAGGGGATGCCCAAAGAATGGCTATGCGAGAAATGAAGGATCTACAGGACAAAAAGGGAAATTCAGGAACTACATTGAAGCATAAGAGAAATGGCAAGAGAAGCAGAGGTGATATGGATCAGGATGAAGGCTAAAAATTGGTGTCGTTGATTCGTCAGTCAGGGCAGAAGGGATATGCACGAGCCTTGCTGAATGATAGGTCCCAATTCGAATGCTTAAGTCTCCACTGCTATCATCGGCTTGGTTTAGCTTTACTTAGTGGGTTAAGCTAGCTCGATGCAAGTCCTCTTATCATATAGTGTGAAACTGTACCAACCTATCTCGCCTAACCCATCTCATCCAATGACAACTTCAGCACCCCCAACCCCCCTATCACTCAACCTCGGGGGAGCGCTCGACTTGGCGGGCGAAGAGCATTCATATGTATATTTAAGCTGTTGATAAAAATGTAAAAATTTCATTACAAGGGTGATTAAACGCTAAAAATATTCTGGTTTTATGTTAAGAGGTACCGTATTTTGAACTTTGCAGTTGCGATGTGTTGACTTCTTCAAAAGTAATCCAACTTAGGAGTCAGGTTGTGTGGATATTGTGCTTGCAGTGTGTCAAAGGAGGTAGAAAGAAAGGGGGTTTAGGAACGGGATATTTCTATCCAGATACATACCCCACTGCCGATTTTCTGTCGAATTGCCAACTGCTTACCTGCCTCGTCCATCACATCGTATCACACAAAGATTGGGAGTAACAATCATAATTTCGTAAACTCAATGCATTCATCTCCATATGTACCGTGGCATCTATCCAGCCGAAGAACGTACATACAAATCCCCATACGCCGATGCAAAAATCCAGGTCTTGAACCAATTAATCCTGGTTTCCAACAAGTTTCTAATGAACCAATGGTTGGAATGTGAAAATGCTCCCGCAAGTCGTAACGCAACGTAATGTCTAGATCCAATAACTCCTGCTGTTCTTTATATGCAAAACCAACCAAGAAGTCCTCGGGATGACAGGTAGAGGTTCACTTAGTTGAGAGGATAGGAATATAGCATCAACGGGGGGGTATAAGGCGCAGTTTAAATACCAAGGGAGCTGTCATCCATCTTTGCCAACTTCCGCCAGTCCGAAGTGTCGTGGCAGCAGTTATCTCCCAGCAGCCAGCGACGTCCTGGGACTGGAATACTTCAACACGACCTGCTCCTCATCGCTACTCGACCCATCCATCTCCTCCAACATGCGATCAATGGCCTCTTCTCTACGTCTCATGTTTCCACCACTCATGTGAGCCCTCCTATACTCGGCGCCACCGCCGCCAGCTTCACTGCTTTCAGTACTTCCGCTGGTTGCCGCTACATCGAACCCGACTTTCTTGCCTTGTGCTGCTCTGGGTTGCATATTGAACTCAGCTCGAAGGGGGCTCTCTTGCGGCGACGCTTGGCTTCGCGGGGGAAAGGCATGTGCCATATTTCCTGAGTTGCCGGGACTACTCATGAATAATAGTGTTTCGATGGCGTCCTGTTCTTGAATTGTTTTTTGCGTTGGGGTGCGCATTGCTGGGTTATCTCTGTATTCCCCTCGGTTAGGCGTCCGCGGGGTAGAGGAGCGCAGCGAGGAATTCGACGCCTGGTTGGGCATGGAAGGGGGCTTGGAGAACTTGGAATTGCCAGATCGTCGCGACGACGAGTTTGGTCGGATGTCCGCGGGAGGTGCAAGGGATCTTGGTGGTGGGGGAGAGTTGGCTAACTGATGTGATGGGTATCGATTTGGTGGAGGGTTTGTTGTCGGATGTTCGCGCCAGAAGGATTCGTACGTCCGGGACGGCTGTCCAGATGCGGTGTACAGGTCAAAGTCCGCTATTGGCGTCTGGGACGATGAACTCGTGGACAAGCTGCTGGATTGTGTTTGGAGGCTCGCAATGGCGGTCCGCGGTGATGTGATTAGGTTGCGCCGACCGTGTAACGTCGACGTCGATGATGTTGGAGATCCTGCTTGAGATGCCAACGATTCCACCTCGTCAATTGAATTTGATTGCCATCCATTATTGACTTTGACCATAGCATAGGAAAGACGCGTCCGCAGCTCGGCAGATATCTAGATAATGTTAGAGGGCAGCCATTGTGCTTGTGAACCGACCTATCTCACCTCGCCAATTCTACCGCTGGTTGTAGACAGGTTACTAATTGCGCTGGCATTTCTAGAATGGCCGCGGATAAGAGGGCTATTTGGCGATTCAGGGATAACAGGCTTTACTTGGCCATCGGCCGTTCTCTTATGGCCAGCAGCCGGAGCAATCGTAGGATTCGATTGGGTTGCGGACGGATTCGTCAATGGTTGCTGCGCTGCAGCGAGCTGTGAGAGCTGCGATAACTGGGACAGAGGTCCATCCTGGTTTGTGCCTTGCGAAGAGAGTCCCTCCGAAGCAGTGGTGGGCGGTGTGGCCACGTCGTGAGCATCAATTGTAGATTGCGAGTTGTCGTTGTCGCTTGACGTTGATTGCATCCCGAGCGTCGCGTTGTTTTGATATTCCCGTCTTTCTCCTTCTGCGCCTGCAGACTGCATCCCATCGTTTCCTATTAGCGGTCGTCGTTGTGGCGGCTTAGATGCGGTGGAGTTGCTGTTGACAATGGCATTGCCAGCCACCGAAGCCTCCATGTCGATACCCGTCGTCGTCGTCGTCGTCGCGTTTATACTGAATGCGGATGTCGCGATTTTACCCGCAGGATCGCGACGATGACTCGCGGACTGCGTGTCTTTGACTTCGTTGAGAGCAGCAATTGCCAGCTCGGAAGGTTCCATCAAGTATCCAATGTCTCTCGGACTACCCTGTGGTTCTTCTATATGAAACTGCTCCACATAGACATGAAAGGGCGTTGTCTAGGTGTCGAGACAGGGTGTACGGGGACGGATTGTGGTGGTGATGCGCGCTGGAAAAGCTTCGGCAATAGCTGCGCCACGCGTCACTCAGGCAGACGTGTTAAACCGCAGAACCAGAATGGCTCCTTTCCAGATCGCGACCTTCCAAGATGAGAATCATGTATCTGTCTCTCGAGCACGAGCAATACGTTGGTTGTTGTGTTGTTGTCTGGCGGGCGACTCTGGATGAAGTGCGGGATGTGGCTGTGGCTGGCGAGATTTGGTTGACGTGCAGCACACCCCACTTCACGCGCCGTCACGAGGGAGATCGGTCAGCCACCGCGAGTCTGGGCGAAAGTTGAGGTTGAGGGTTAACGCGGTATATTTCCTCTCCAGTCTCTCTCGCTACGCCATTATAATTGCCATTGCCATCGCCTTCACTTGCACAAGTCAGCTCACCCTTCCATTCTTCAGAACTGTCTGGTCTATTCCGAAGAGACATAATCGCAAATCCATAGAGGAATTTGTGTATAGGTACCTTACTCGAGTAAGGGCGCTCTAAGAACGGCCAAGTCAATGCCCAGTCCTAGTAACAAAGAGCAACCGGGACCGTTTGGAATTTCCCAACCAGACCGCCTGATACTCCCCACCCAACAGCGCTCAGTTATTACGAGTATGCAGGTATGGAAAATTCACACCCAAAAACTACAAGTTGGACTTTGTTGTCGCAGTCAAAACCTCCTCGACCAGCTCCGTCGCCCCTTCAGAGCACCCGTAAGAGCCCTGGAAGCCCCAACCACCGTGACCATAGTTGTGCACAACCCAAGTAGCGCCAATCTTCTCCTTCTCAATTCTAACTCCACTGGTTCTGAACGGACGCAGCCCAACACCATGCCGGATCACATCTAAAGCCTCGATGCCCTTGCCCCCAGTCAAAGCAGGACACAGCTCCACAGCTCTCTTCATAATCCGCGTCGCTTGATTCGGATCAGGCTGTGAGTCCGACTGCCACTTCTTATACGTCCCACCCAGGATCGTCCCACCGCCAGCAGCTCGCTGCATGACATAACAGAGCTCATCATCGCCGTCATCCGTTCCCGAAATGGTCAGCATGACACCTGGATCATTACGCACGAGCACGATCTGACCACGTATCGGAATCATATCTGGATCCATGACCCCGCCCAGCTTGGAAGCTAGTAAACCCGTACAGTTCACGATAACGTCGGCTTTCTTGCCGGTGTGGTGGAGGTCCGCGGCGTCAGAGATGTGGGTTAGTATTCCGCGCTTCAGCACGGTTCCATTGGATAGACATTGGCTAACAAGCCAAGGGAGATACACGGCAGTGTTAATGCAGACAGATGTAAATGCTGTTGCAGAGTCGGCGCCAGGAGGGACTTGATCCCTCGGGATGACGCGGAAATCGTGGACATCGTCCTTGAACCATGGATTTTCAGAGGTGAGGGCGCTGAGCCATGTCCCCGTAGGTGAATCGGCGTCCTTTTCGCGATTTAGGACTAGGGTATCTACAATAGGGTTTAGATATGCCCAGGTATAAAAATATATCGAGATAAAGGTTTACTAATATGGGAAATGGGTAGGTTTGAGGGGTTGCTTAAGAACTAAAGAGAATAGTGACTGTTTCCAAGGAAGGCGAGGGTATTGAGATTCTAGGAAACTATTGAGATGCTTAAATCGAAAGCAAGACATAAATAGAAACATATTTGCTATAGAGGATGCACTAACACCATAGATGAAAAGTGAACAACTTTGATAATGATCGAAAGACACCGTTGCACGGTTTGACGAATACAGTACTTCGTAATCAGGGCGAACAACTCGAGAGCACCACAACATCTAATAGGACTGGGGAATATTTACCTTGATAATGTATGCCAGCTTCTGGGACATTTTTGGCAAGATGGTCTAGCACTGGCCATGTATTCTTCTCCCACTTGCAGCCAGCTTCATCTGCCATTCTAAACATGGTGTCAGAAGGTCACTTGATGGGTGGGAGGACGGAGGGTTGACTCACGGCAGGTAATTAGCGCCCGCCCAAGGTGATGTATATTCGATGTCATAATCCCCAGGCATATGCTTTGCAATGATGGTCACTTTATAGCCTGGCTTCCTGGACAGCAGCAAGGCCGTCGTCAGACCAGACACGCCGGCGCTGTGAGAGCCATCAGCTCAGCTCAACTTAGGTTCTGCCTTGCTCGGAGACTAAGGTACACTTACCCGACCACGACAACGTTAGGCATGACTCGAAGGGGGGCGGGTAGAATGGGAAAAGAACTTCCACGAAATCGACGAATATAACAACTGTAAAGAGTATTCGCCGTGGATGCTGTAGCTGATCACTGGCAGGCTTGTGCTGGCTAATGCGGGAAACAAAGCTTCTTTGCAAACGGACTGTGCGAGTTGTTTAAATAATGAAGGCAAGAGTCAGTCTTGCCCACTCTTAGATAAGGCACCTAGGTAGTCTTTGGCCACGAGATCCCTCAGCCGCAAGATGCATGTATCGCCCGAGTCCCTAGCCAGGTTCTTGCTCGCACTTCCCACTTAGGCGGCAGCTAGGTACATGTACCTAGGTATTGAACGAAAAGTTTTGCTCCTAGGTTTTAATAGGACACGCTTATCTTTCGATTAGCTCAAACACATTACCCCGTATTTAATCTTACTCTAATTCTTCAGGGTGCGTCTCGTCTCGATTCCTTATACTTCATAAGTAATATTGCTCGTGACCTGGGAGATTACCGGTATCGGTTACTCTACAAGTACTCGTACCTAGGTAAACCGCAAGCTCGGCTGTGAAACGCAAAGCCGGAAGTCCCAGGAGCGATAACGATCACGTGCCCCTTATCGCTGCCTATCGCCAAAAACGCGACACCGCTTGGGCCGCGCCACCTTAGCTCGTGACAGCATAATGCTGTTATATTGTCCTCATCGTCAATACCGAGCACAATAGGGCTGGCTCGTCTCAGTCCCCTATTGTCCTCCCACCACCATAAATACTGGCACTTCTGCTTTGGCTTCTGGATGCAGCTGTTTCTCCTTCTTCGCACGTCCTCGCACATGCACACCACATCTTTGTTCGTTCTCTAACTCCATCATGGGTCGTTGTGAAGAATTCCCCTTGCTCAAGCTGTATGGCCTGAAGGCAGTCAATATACTAGGAGATGGTAAGTCCACAAGACCACCCAAACCTCGTGCATTCCCACAACGCTGCATACTTTGAGATCCGTAGACTAATTGCTTCTCATTCAACAGGTAATTGCCTCTTCAATGCACTGTCAGACCAAATATATGGCCACCAAGGCAGGCATTCCGAAATTCGCCAACGAGTCATTAAAGAGATGCGGGAAAACCCCGAACCATATAAACCATTTATCGACGTGAACCAAGGTGGCGGCCAACGCCGGAACCCAAAGAGAAAGAATGTTGGCGCGTCCTCGTCGTCTTTTATGTATGCTCCGCCTACTCCGCAGCAAATTGACGCGGCTTGGGAGGCACGTCTGCAGCAAATGGCAGGAAGTGGGACATACGGAGACAACATCGAGATCCAGGCGTTTACCAAAGCATACAACACCGATGTCCGGATCTTCAACCACAACAATACCAATTACTGGGTCCGGGCCGAACAAGACGGCGTCGCCAGACCAATGGCATATATTGCATACCATGTAAGTGTCCATTCCTGTGAATCTTGAACTTTTACTTACTCCTTGTAGAACTGGGAACATTATTCGTCGGTTCGGAATATCCAGGGTCCGTTCAGTGGGCTTCCCAACATTGACATTAAGGATATCTCGGACGAGGAGGCAGCCTCGGCAAAAGAAAAACTTCCCAAGGGTCCAGCCATCCAAGAATGGATGATCGACGTGGTCAAGAATTCTCTTCCCTCTTACGCCGATGAGGAAACCATCCGGAAGGCCCTCGTGGATAATAACGGCAGCGTCGATAACGCTGTTAACCAACTCCTGGATGTTCAAGAGTATAGTTCTGCTCCCCCGACTCCGGGCAGTCTCTCTCAATCGGTCAGCTCGAGCGTCGAACGAGACGCCGACAGTGATGATGACGAGATACACGGGCCGAATAAACGGCAGAACCGTCGTGCCAGCCGCGCAACCAAAGCGTTGCGGAAAGAGCAGAGGGAGCGTGAAGCAGAATTGCAAGCCATCCCAGCTCTAGAACTTCCCCTGCCTGACAGCGGGGCTTCGACTGAACTATCAGTCGAACCAAACGAGGATAATATTGACAAATCCGCAATTCAAAAGAAGAATTCGGAAGATGAGGAGTTTGGCCCTTCGGATGACAATGATCAATCCGAAGCAGATGACAGTGGCTCAGATTATACTGGCTCAAGTCAATCCCCATCAGGCGCTAATATCACCCCTTCGACCCGCCCCAAAATAATCCTCAACACCAAAAATAATACGAAGGGCAAAGACGCCAGCGCGGCAAAGATTCCGCACCGACCGAATCCAAAAAAGAAAACCCTCATCACCGCTCGCCAACGCAAGGAGATGAAGAAGCAGGCGCAGAAACAAGCCGCCAAAGAGCGGAAGCGCGCCAAAGGTCAGGGAAACGGACAACTCGCCCGACCAACGGACCACAGCAAGCGGGACTCTCCACCCATGGAGAAAGTCCTCAGCCTCGGAAAGCTGTCCATGATCCAAGTGTGATCGAGGGCTTTATTTACCCTTTTCTTAATTTCCGCCCACCTCATACCTCTCACCGAAAAATAACTTTGTATAATAACACCCGAAAAGGGCTGTATTACGATATTTCTGACGGCAAGAACTGGCAAGGCATAGCATACAGCATACAGCATAGGCGTACGGAGAGGACGGGTCTTCGTCGACGGTCTTTGATCATTTGAAGCGCTCAGTGATCAGAATAATTCCCGCGACGTGCTGACCCCGGCGTTTTGTTTGTGCAGATTTGATTTCTTTTTCTTTTCTTCGTGGCTTCTAGAAATGGGCGGCTGCATTGCATTGCATGGATGGGATCTGTAGCATTACCATGGGGAAAGACGTTTGCATCGGGGCATAGAAAGATGGCTTTCCGAACGCGTGAGGAACACTCCGCGGTTCTGTAGACGAGCGCTTTAGCTTTGCTTTTGTTCTCACCTTTGAAGGGAGAACCTTAATTACAGGGAATTTTCTCGATTCATCGGCTTTTTGTGATGCTTTACTAACAATTGCCTCGCTAGATTGTTCACTCAAGGTCAAACAGCTTGGAGGGATAGGTCATGAAAAGAAAGCAGTAACTTCTCACCTCCAACCCCTATAAGTATCCGGTACCAAGCTCCCCTACTTATCTATCTCTCGCTAACCCTTTATCCTCTTCCATCAACCATCTCCACAAGTGGCGAACCCCCTCTATCCAAAACCTCCCCCATTCCGCTCATATCATTAAAACTCAAGCCCTACACCCCCCTACCCCCCCAGCACTCCATAATCATCCTATCCCCGGGGCTGCTATTCATGCATTTAGAATATTACTTGCCTTTACGAATAACAAGGAAAAAGAAGGCCAAATCAGCGATCATCGCCACTAGATGCTCAATCATCGACTTATCAACAATTGCAGCTAAATCATCAGCTAGCTCAGGTCATATCAGAAAGGACTCACTTTCTGCGTGGAAACCATAATCACCGCTAGATCATTGTTCCTTTTCTTCCAACATTCAAGGTGGATCGTGTGGGAATTGTGCAGTTCTCGGTGCTTGTTCAGTAAGTCCAATCATTGTAGTCGTACACTTATTTCTACTACATTGTGCCAATCAGAATCCAGATCCTGCACATCAGGAGGGATCTGCTTTTGCTGCTCCGGCTGCTCCGGCGGCACCTCCAGCTCCTCCCCGCCCTGGCCATAACAGATGTACACGCGCTTGGGCTACTGCAGAGCGCTGCTGTTCAGTATATTAAATCTGGATCTGAAGATGAGTATTATAATCGAGGATATATAGTACTTTAGTCAATAGCAGCGTGGTACTTCAGTGACAATGTAGCACTCTAGTGGTAGTGTAGCCCTTCAATGACAGTGTAGCACTCCAGTGACAGTATCATTCTCAACGACAGCGCAGCATATCCCAGTTTGATATAGTAGATGCTAGCAGCCGTAGCTCTGGCTCGATGTAGCGGCGGCTAGATGTAGCGGCGGCTCGACGCCATGGCTCTCTCCAATAGTAGCCTTGAATTCTACAGCAGTTCAAGACCCAGGCAGAATTTGAAGGGTCTAGCCCTAGGGCTTCCCATTTCGGGGGACAGCAGTAGTATGTCCTAGGTGAGAATTGAGCGGTAATGGCGTTGTTACTATGAGGATCAATCGTTGGAGGCATTCCATGCCATGATGTCTCAGGGATGGATTGGATAGTCGTCCAGGGGTGGCTTATCCGGGACTTTCCACACCAGTATTGGACGGTTCAGGATAGCTGTATCAATACCTTGAGGTGGGTAGCAACCCGCTGAAGAGAGCTTTGAGAGCTGGAGGGACGGGGGTTATGGGAAGTATAATAAATACGATGGGTGGGAATCACCGGTAGCATAGTAATTGACTATCGAATAGCGGCACCATTGATAAATTTAACCCGAATGGACGATTTCAATTCCGGCCGATGGTATTCTAGGCATGGAGGACCGCTATAGGTTCCTCAGCCGTGTCATTCCCCAGCGCACAACAAGGACCATTTTCCTCCCAATGCATCGCAATTCCACCACCCATGCTCTATTTGCCCTCAACTTCGGCCGCAGCGGCCTCAATGGCAGCCCTCAAAGCTACGGGGTTGGCACCAACGATCTCCTTGTCCTTTTCGCCGTTCTTGAAGACAATGAATGTGGGCATGGCGCGGATGCCGAGCTCCTGGGCGACGTCGGGGACCTCATCAACGTCGACCTTGACGAAGCGGATGTTAGGGAACTCCTCAGAGAACCTGCGAGTGTGCGGTTTGGTTAGTATGCTGTGAATTTGGGACATGGGAGGGAAGGGGGGGCGAAGAGGGAGACTGACTTTTCGACTTGAGGCGCAATGACCTTGCAAGGGCCGCACCATGTTGCGAAACAGTCGAGGACAACGATCTTATTGTCGTTGATGGTGGCTGTGAAGGAAGGACGACTACAAAGGGTTTGTTAGCAATTGCTGCTTCGTTTTCATGCAGCCACCCGCGCCGTCCGTGAAGTTCCAATAGCCAGCAAGTGCCCACGACACGATGCGCTCAGGGAAGATAAAAGACATACTCTTGAACATTATGGACAACCATTTTGGCGGCTGTGCTATTAAATCCTCTTACAAGATTGGAGTTATAGTTGCTGTATCGCGAGGTGGTGGTGGGCTTGTATGATCTGAAGGTAGACGCGGTAAGCTTTGCGGATCTGTTTAAGAATGATGACATTCAGCCCGTTTCTGCAGAGGGCTGGCTGGTTTAAATAGGAAAAATAGCTGGCAAGGCTTAGCAACGGCAGTGGCAGGTAGATGGTTGTAGAAGAGGGTGCGTGTGGAATTCGAAACTGGCAGATTTGACATTGGCAGGTTGATTTCTAACGCGCCGGAGCCGGACGAAGTGGCGGAGGGCGGCAGTGGCTGGCGGGGGGGTTACGGTCGCACCGATGATGCCATAACCTTACAAGGCGAAGTTGGGCAAGATGCCGATCAACGTCCGTAACGCATTGCGGTGCTGTAGCATGTTCACATACCCGTCCGAGGCTGTTCAGGAGCCCGAATTCCAAATCGGAAAATGCTGATTCCAGTGCTTATGTTTGCCCGCCGGGATCTAGCATAGAAACCATGGCCGTGGAAATGTTCTTCGTTCGTTCCATGCAGTGCGGTGCGACGACGACGACGCGGGGTCTTTCCCGTAGCTGAGCGCCAGTAATCTCTTGTCCGTAATTCGCAGCCTCGGAGGTGGAAACGGAAGAGGGATATGAAAAGCAACGCAACGCAACGAAATGCAGGATGGCTTACCTATTGCCGGCGCGAGTGTAGATCTGATCGAATAGCGGACGTAGTGGGATTGTTCTTGGAAGTTCTCCAGGTGGTGATGTTGTGCTAAGATGGGGTTGATTAGTAACCGGAGAAGGGCGTGCGGATATTGTAAAAAGGAATCACGGAAACGCGATCTAGAACGTGGACGCTTAGCAATTCACCAGTTTGGGATGCTGCACGTGATCATTCAGATAAAGCAAGGCCTGCTCTTGCTACAGCAGCAAAGGCATAGTTGAATAGGATATTTTTCATCCCTAGAAATGTTTTATTGCCATTATTCTATTTCCATACACGCAGAACAGGCTAGTGGTTATTGCACGGCTCTCCTCCCAGAGCTAACAACTATGCTCAGAGCCCGCTCTGTACATCGTTGTACAAAGGATACCCTCCCATTTCAAACTCCTTACATAACCCATCCCAAGGCAAGCACAGTGAGGGAGGAATGACATTGAACTCCGGCATCTATCCCCAAGTTTGCCACCTATAACCCCAAGGTGCATCTTTTAGAATCCGCTTCCCGAAAACAAAACAGCCCCCCTGAAATAATCAAAAAGCAAAAAGTCTATGTGCTAAGTGGGGAATCAAAACGTCACGCTGGACATGTAGGAAATCGTGCAATGCGTGAAATGGCGAATCTGCGGAGAGATGTAGAGGCGGATGCGGAGTAGCTGGGTTGAATTTGAGGTGGTGGCAGTTGGCAGTGGCGTAAAGGGGCGTTCGGATGAGCGTATAGCGAAGACATAGCGATTGTAAAGAAATTTGTCGAAGCCAGTGGTTTTACTGGTAGATGGGACCAAGGAAATATTCAAAGGAGTGTGGGTTGTCGATGTCGACTGTAGTGTACCGGACCAAGGAAATAATAAAAGGAGTGTGGTGCTTGTCTTCGCTATGCTGTGCTCGGAACCGTCCCTGTACGCGGGCCCCCCTCATGTAACAATATCCTAGCTCGCGCTCCTTCTCTTTGACTCTCCCGAGACCCTAGGCTTCAAATCCAGCAGTCTGGCGCTTCCAGCGCTGACACGCCGGGCGTGATTTGGTCCATATTCAACGCTGGTGGCTCTATGAATACCAGGCTCGTTTTCATTAATTACGTCGTTGTTGAGGTCAAAGGTCTTGGGCTGAGGAGAATCGCCGGCCAGATCAGAAAAGGAGTCGCGCTCATATTGGTTCAGCAACCCCTCAGTTGACTTTGCTCTGGGTTCACGATGTATAACAGTTGGATGTCTGCCCACGGCACCCCATTTTGCCTGCTCCGAGGGAACGGGACTTGCAATGCTGCCACCGTCCTCTTCATCGCTCGATGGCATAGGGTTTCCCGTTGATTGGCGGTGTGATCTTCTGAAGTCCTCGTCAGGCCCTGGTGTCAGGCGGCTGAAGTATTCGTCTTCTGCAATACCAAGTTCCTCAGCAGACTCGGAATATTCTTTATACCGCTTTTGAAGAGAACTTGCACTGTCGCGAAGCCGGGGCGGTGGTAATTGGGCGGATGTTCTTTTTGAACCACCCCTTGAGCCTGCCTTCCCACCCGAGAGCCATGAACCTTCAGAGTCAATCGACGCAAGCGATTGTGACAGAGCCGCTGTAGGCTCTGGTGAAGGAGCCTCTATTGAACGATGGCCGCTGGTTGGAGTTTCATCGTGTATACGAGCAGTCTCTAGAGATCGATAGCCACTATTAGGCGTGTCATACCGTACTCGGGGATCTTCTGCCGACGCTCGGTTGCCCATTTTCTTATCTGGATAGTCTGTTCGAATGGGCGGTACAACATCAGCTTCTGGAGACTGTACCCTTGAATCTGGGGGTGATATGGGAAGTTCTGGAAGGTCTTCCCGGAACTTCGACATTGTCCGCTTGGGAACATTCGATGATGCCCAGACCGAGGTGTACCCGGATGGTGTGAATGAAGTAGCTTGATGATTTGGCATCGAGTCTCGCGATGTATTAGAGAACGATGATGGGGCAGAATCTCGTTTATTCTTTGACCTTTTGAAAAATGACGTCCAGGATTGAGGTCCTCGAAAACTGCCTTCTGAGCTCTTTCGGGGGGGTTCGAGCTTGAACGATGGTGGTTCGGGCTTTGATGGCGCTGGAGCCTCAGGCTTATCGAGGTCCATCAGTTGGGAAATATTCGACGGTCCCTGAGCATGGTGTTTCGATGAGGCAGTTGGCTCTGTGCTGGCTTTGGCCAAGGTGCCTACTGTAGCTGTTTCAATAGCAGGATCGGAACGCTCAGAACCCGAAGTCAGATTCTCTGTACGCGGAGACGCAGTGGGACGAGTATTGCCCACGGTATCTTGTGCTTTTATAGTTGAATCCTGTCGGAATGTCTCAGCAGGACGCTTTCCTCGCCGGCTATCAGAACCTCTCGAGCCCTTTCTCTTAGTTGAGGTCATAACCGCGGATGTTCCTATTCCCAAACCAACCACCTCCCTTCCCACAACTCCTCGTTCCATGACGTCCGGAGGCGGCGTGCCATCCCGAGCAGCAGCAACCTCTTCTTGCCTTTGCTTTTCTTGGCGCCTAGCAAGCTTCCTCTCGACCTTCATCCTTTCGGCCACTACCTTTTTATCTCTCCGTTTCTGATCGCGTTCCATAAGCTCTCGCAATTCACCTGCGCTAAGGTCATCCGCAAGCTCGTCAATTCTTCGGTTCGCCCTCAGGACCTCGTCAGGAAGCGTTTTGCGATCCGACACTCTCCTCCTTCTTGATTCGGGACTGTCGGTGCCCAAACTTGCCCCTGGAGCATATTTGGGGTTTTCAGAATACCTGATCGTCGGCCGCGGTGCCAGCACGTCGAAGGCTGACAAGTTATAGGATGCATGATTCAGGGACCCCGATGATAACGAGGAGCGTAGCGACTCTGCTAGAGGGAGGGAAATATCAGAGGAAGGGTTCTCGAGATTATGGTTCAAGCCAGTACGCATCCTTTGGCTCTCCCTTTTCATCAGCCTACCAGATGAATGGGGCTCTGCTGCTGACCGAGTCGGCACGAAAGCAGCCATAGCCCTGATCTCGGCTTCTCTGCCATGGTCCCCTTTCCGCTTCTTGCTCGATTTCCGCCGTGCCAATTCTTGAGCGCTCCTCTTGTGCAATGTCGGCACCCTCTGCCAACCTTGTCTTGGCTCCACGGTTTGCGTACTCGACCGGACGGGATTCTGGTGGGCCGCAGATGTGATTGGCGTTTCGGCGGTCGCCCTGACAGCACCTCTCTTCAGTCCCGATGGGAGTTGTGGAACGGGAGGTCGATCTTCATCCCGATTCCCCCCTATACTCTCCCTCCGACCTGGGGAGAAGCTATAGGTACGGCGCCTCTCGGGGTTCCGTTTTAATTTATTCGACTCTCTGGAGGATCTCCGCCTCTCATCCTTCCGACTCATCCTTCGCTCAGGGCCCGCGGAAGCTATTTCGGGTCTGCTATGCCTCCCAGACTCCAGCTGGGTCCCCGCACTGTGCATGGTGTCGCCGTCGGATCGCGGGATCTTGGTCCCACCACGAGGCGGCTGACGGTTGCTTCTCCTTCGAAAGGGCCACATGCCCATGTTTCCATTCGCCTTCTCTCCAGCGCAAGAATTATGCCACTGTAGGACAGCACCTGTGGATCAACAGTGTCAATCGTACCCAACTGTCGTGTCGTTCTAGCGCGTAAACGCGTCGGTGGTCGCCATTCAATCGCAAGGTCTCGGTGGGGAGGATGTGTTGTAAGGCACGCTGTAGATATATCGCGGGCGGTGTTATGTGGATTTCCTGGTGGTAGTTACACTCTGTAAAGGCGGTTGTAGAGGCGTGGGTTTCGTTTGCGCTCGCATGACTTTGTTGAGTTGTTGCGCGTGTGGTTGCAATTCGCGGATTCTTGGAGGGCGGATGGCAGATGGGCGGATTCCAGTGAATGTCGCGAGGAATGTGTGAGACGCCTGAACGGGGGTGGATGTGTCTTGTGTTGTGGGTGGAGTGTTGTGCTGTGGGGGACGATGATGAGATAGGCTTGAAGGCGTCGATAGGTTATGTGTTTGGGAGTGTGGAGGGCGGTGGTTGGCGGTTGACGGGGTTTGAAGGAGGCAAAGCAGCAGGATGACGGTGTGGTTAAAGTGCGGAGGGCTGTGTGTGGTCGCTGGTGATGGGTATTATTGGTATTGGTGTTGGTACGAATGAGGTAGTACTTGGACCGTATAGTACCAAGAACTCAGCAGAGTGTTGGTGGAGGGGGGATGATATTATTCGGGGGCGATCATCGCCTTGTAGAGTCTCGGACGCCAAGTCGCTGCACGTCGGACGGTAGAAAAAGCTCCTTGCTTAAGTACGAAAGTCCCCCAAGTGCCACCCCCTCTAGGCTTCGTATAGGTACAGTAGTAGGTACCGCCAGTACCTTACATTATTATTATGGCCCCATTTCTGTATCTTTCATTCCACGGCTTGTACATTCTACTTGTGCATTATTATCCATTATTCTTATTACCTCTTCGGGGCTCTCTCCACAACACAACAGCGATGCTAGCTAATAAACTATGCGCCGTTGCACTTGTACCGCTCCCGTCCTCCCGTCCGGAGAAGATCCTCATATCACCACGAAGTTACAACGTTTCTCTGCACGCCGGCTCCTGGCCAGCCAGCAAATACTGCACCGCAGCTGCGTGCCACCGGTTCGTCAAGAGTTTGGCGTCTCGGTGGCAGTGGCAGTGGCAGTGGCTTCGCCGGTTGGTGGGCGCCGCCGTGAAGAATCCCTTCGTATGGCCCTGGAATCACCAAATGCAGGGCGGGGGGGCCAGTGTTCGGGCCCCATCCACTACGAGATAGAGTACTACGAGTACAAGTACGTGAGCGCAGGACGAAGCACCGCCAGTTTTGCCACACCGGTTTATTGGCATTGAAAGCAGCCCAGCCAGACGGCTCTCACCCGGGAGCAGGAGCCCTCGGTATCCATGACAGAGCCATGCTTTTCATTATTGCTGGCTGTGAGAGCCACGGACTCACGGACTCGAGCCAAAACCAAAACCCGCCATGGCCCATGATGGCATGAGGCGATACGCTGGAGCAAAAGCAACGAAAGGATCGCGGGACTGCCAAACGCCACGGCCAAGGGGACCCCGCTACTCTGGGCCCTACGGCTCCTTCGTGCTAATAACAGCACGGAAACGACGCCAGCGCCGGCGCCTGAACCAGAATACGATCCCCAGAACGGGTCTTCCCTCACTAGTGCTGCTTCCACGGGATCGACGGCCCCGTATCAGCCAACTGTGTGAAGAATCGATGTTGCACGCGCTCGAGTATGGGACGCCCAGGAAACCGTGCGGGTACCTACGTATAGGGGCGGTATATTTACCTGCTGGATTGATGGTATTGCAGAGCAAGAGTGGATTTCCGAATTGCAGGCTGACACGTAAGGGACGAGCTGCTGCCAGACACGAGCATGAAGGGAGGTACTGTACTCCGTCGTACGAAGTACCGGACGAAGTGCTAAGTATAGGAATAGACTCCAGAGCAGCGAATCGTCCGCAGTCCGTCTCCGCAGAAAAGCCGCCGGGAACGATTCTACAGTGGTCCCTTTTTTCGTCCACGCGGGGGGCCAGTCACCACTCACCAGTAGCAGTGTTACTGTCCTTTTGGTCCGGAATATGCAGTGAATGCGATAATCCCCCCCGTCAACCTGGGGTCGACCTGTTCCGCAGGTACTGTACGGTTTTGTACACTCTGTACTCGCGAAATCCATCTCATGCATCCTAATATGCTGTGAGATCGCCCTTAATCCCTTCAATGCCCGTGTGGCACTGTCTCGGCAGTCGTTTCCAGTCAGCCCTGGGGAAGTAACAATTGCATTGTTTTCGGTTGATCATTACTACAGGTATTATTATTCACAAAGGCGTTTACAGGATCGATTGGAGCGACGAGAGATAATTGGACCGCCGAGCTATCCCCCCTCACCTCTTCAGCGGCGAGCGCCGCACGCACAAACGTTCAACCATCATACTAGCATCTCGGCAGGCTAGAGACCTAAAATGTCTCAGATGAAGCCTCATATCTCCAAGGCGACGACCCAGTCTACCAGCTGGTGGTCCAAACAGAGAACATGACGTCGACTTGCTATCTCCATAGTGACGAATCGCTGACGAGGACTCACGAAGTAATCTTGTCCATGGCGCAAAGGTGCAAATCAGATGACGATGATGATTGCCATGCAAGACCTCGATACTCACGAGATCCATATACTGCTGTAGTAGCGTCGAAGGCAGGAAAATCTCTGTGCGAAGCAGGTTTCTACGCGGGGTGTTTGCTGATCGCTACTCGTTATCATGGACTGTATGTCACAGTGCCAGGGCCGTTTTTGCCACTCGATTGAAAGCTGACGATCCTTGGGGCTGAAAACCACTTATTCGAGACCACTTCAGCAGTACCTCCGCATCCTCCGTATTTTTCTAATATTATCCGGATCGTACCTTTTGACTGTAGGTATCAGCTCTGTTTATCTCTCCCTTCCTCGGCCCCTACCCGGTATGCCCTCCGGCGGATGTTTCAAGCTTTTGATCCATCTTGCACATGTTCCCTTCCAAAAGTTTACCGGTTCCAGGGGTTGTGATTCGGCGAAAAATGTTGCTTTTTTGTGATTTTCTGAAACCTGCAGCCCCTGTGATACTGCCCGACCTGCTTCATATCCCCGGTTTACTGCCTTCTAGAGTCCATGGCTTGTTGTGTACCGAATTCCGATATGCTAACCGTGGCGAGATGGAACATGGTACAGTACGAAGTACCGATATGCCTTTCCACGCCCATGCGGGGGGCTTTGCTCCGGTACTCAAGTCCCATTATCCAAAATCTCCGATGAGAGTGGAATGACTGTCAGCTGTCCAAAAGCGCCCCAACGTGGCCCTACCTCGGCGCCCCCCCTAAACCCCCTAACGGATGCGGTACTACGTCCCACTCACCCCATTCAATCCCATCCCAATTTGCTCGACAAACCAATCCGGCACTCGCATTACACAAACTCCTCCATTACCAACATTTAAACCATCTCTAATTCATCTCCTGCCCGCTTTGAGCCTCTATAATTTCCACCTAAATCCACGTCATCTACAAACTCCCCAGTAGGCATTTCCCTTTCAACAGATATCTCTACCACAAAAACCGCCACCAACCTCATAATCTCTCTTCCCACAACTCTAACTAACCCTAGTTCCCGCCCTACATGCCCCATACTTGTAATCTCAAGCCTCACCTAATCTAAAGCCTTTCAAATAAGCAAGCAGTCTCCGGAGCCAGTAAATCACGTAATGCATAAGCGCGAGAATACGCCTATCATATTCTCAATCATCCCAAGCTCAAGCCAGAGATTTAATTTCCCCCTTATAGCAGCCGTTAGATAAGCTATCTACTAACGATATTATTGGTTTAGCAGTTACTACTAGGAGTGAAATTTGCTAATATTTTTGCGAGCCGCGAGCGGGGAGCCGCGGAAGTGAATGAGAAAGGGGGTTGGATGATTGATTGGGGTTATTAGCTACCTAGCTTGGTATGATAATGAATGTTAGAGAGTGGTAGGGAAGAGAGGAGAAGAGTTTTAATTTAAAGAGAGGAGATGGTTATTTTGAAAAGGGCGGTAGGTGTATAGAGCTGCCGCTAAGCCTTAGGTCTAGATACAACAAGCGGAAGTTTCAAGGCGATAGCTATTCCGCTAAGTAAACTCCCCTGATAACTGAGATAAAATATTTCATGGGGGTTTCGGGTTTACGGGAATTGTGAGAGAGGGGTGGTAGTGTTATTAAGTAGCTTAGCTAAGGGCTTTAATAGAAAAGGGGGGGGGATTAAGTGAACGGAAAAGTGTGCAATAGACAGCTAGTAGAGGTGGCTATCAAGATAGCAAGCAGTGTATAACAAACCGCTCTAGTGAGTATAACATCATTTGCTACTCCTACTAGTACCATAATATATCCTAATCCTTCCCTCTAACCAAAACCCCACAAAACGAAGCTAAACGGGGTATATCCATCCCACCATGCACTCAAAGCAGCAGCAAACCAAACCAAACAATCAAACAATCATCACATCATAACCCATCATCATCATCATCCTCCCCCTCCTCACTCCCCACCTTCGCACCCCCATCAAACCACCCCCCAAAATCCAACTTCATAAGCAACCTATCCACCCTCCCCACTTTCTTCGGAACAAACACCCCCTCCTCCCCCAACACCAACTCCTGAAATCCAGAATCCCAGCCCTCCTTCTCCTGATCCACATCCCTCAACCCCTTGACCAGCTCGCCAATTGCGGATTTCACCCTTCCAGCAATGACGATGAGTTGTGCCCGTACGTCCGCTTCCTCCTTGTGGAAGTCCGAGAAGGCGTCTACGACGCCCTCGTCCGCTTCGAGATCTAGGGATTGCCAGATCGCGTGGATGCGGTGTACGAGTGCGACGAGGTGGTCGATTTGTTGGAGGAGGTGGAAGAGGGGGTCTGTGAATGCTGGCGTGGTTAGGAGGAGGCTGCTTGTGAGTGCGGCGAGATATCTCCTGTGTGCTTCTGAGAGGCTTTGAGGATCATGCGTATGGCCCGTGTTTGTATTTGGCGTGGATTCCCGTCCAGCTCTCATCCATATATCATCGTCCTCGTCATTTTCGGCTGCGGGTTTTGACGGTTCGGCCGTTTCTTCAGCGGTAAGCCAGCTTTTGAAGCCGTTCCACGTGCCTTCCACTACCTCGCCTTGGAGATAGGCTTCTGTCTCCCCGAGGAAGAATACAGCTGCGCTGCTTGTGGCCCACACACTCCGCATAGCCATAGAGCGTTCTTTAGCCCGCTGTCGTAATGTAAGGACTTTATTCCGCCCAGATTTAGAGCTGCCATATGGAGGTCCCGGCGGTGAGGGATGATCACGGCGTAGGGAGCTTATTTTCCACAAATCCGTCAAACGTAAATGTGCTCTGCGTATTGAGAAGAGGTAGGCATTGATGCTTGAGTAAATCTGAACATCGGATGGAGTGAGAAATAAATCCAATGGCGATGGGATATGCATCGTCAACACAACCGGCACAGATAGTAACAGGTTCCTGAACGGCGTCGCGGCAATCTTGGCCACCTGGGAAGAACTAGGAGTGCCTTTCGATGGCGTCGTTGAGCTCGACTTCGTGATAACCAACTGGACTAAATCCCTGGCAAGCTCCAGTATCTCATCCTCATCCTGATCCTCATCCCGGCCTTGCAGCAATCTCATAGCAGCCCACGTCCGCGCTAGGACGGCCGAAACCTCGCCTTCCTTCAGGGCGATGTTGCCCAAACCATCGCGCTTCTCGTAAGCTAGATTATCAGATCGCTGCCATCGCGATCGGATTTTCTCGTCCGCTTCAGCAATCAAGGCAATAGCAAACTCGCCACGGCCGAGCAGGAAGAATTGACGCAGTAGAGATAACACCTCGATCACCTTGCTCGTCGGTAATAGCTTTTTAAGCGTAGTTTGGGACAATGAGAGCCGGATCGAGGTTATTACCCGTGAGAAGTTAGCTGCGCCAAGAGGAAACTTCAACGTTGAGAGCAGCTTCAAATTCGAGGACACCAGATCCAGTTCCGGCGCCGTAGAACTCGATAAGGCCCTGGCGCGGATATGATTCAAAGACCTGCCAATAAAGAGCAACGAGCCCGCCGTCGTGGACGAAACAAATGCCGGGAGCAACTCTTTCTGCAACTCATACTCCTACAAAGCCATATCAGTATCACAATTCCATCTCCAGATAATATTCATAGAAAACTCTCACCTCAACATCCCCATCCAGCATCTGCACGCAAAAATCCTCCCTCCCAACCCCAGGTAACCTCCCATACAAAACCCACCCGGAAACCTGCTTCAACCACGCCGTCTCAGCAACTCTAACCAGCCCCAGGGCCGCCTCCTCGATATCCACGTAGCCAGTATGTAGGGCATCACACAGCCAATCGATAATCATCGCACCGCTACACTTCTTCCCTCGTTCCTTGCCGCCGCGCATCATAACCTTCACTACTTCCACGAACCACTCCATTCGCCTCATCCACCCGGAGAACTGCCCTACAATAGCTGTCAATGGCACGATATTATAGGCCCCGACGCTCCCGGCGTCTTTCCGTAATATTCCATCTTCGACCTCTAGCACCTTCCGCTGAAACGCAGCGAGGTGCGTGGACCGGATGGCTGTGGCAACCGCTTGGCATATGCTCGATGGATGCGAGGAGGCGATTGTAGCAGTGTGTGTGAGTAGGGTGCGGTGGAGATCACTTAGACGAGCGATTGATTCTAGGAGGGCTTTCTCTGGTGGTGAGAGGATCGAGGTGGGGGAGGAGTGGTCGGCGGTGAGGAGGGGAGAGGGGTGGCCCGAGAGGGAGAGAAGGATCTCGTGGAGCATCTTGGAGAGTTATCGGTGCTAGATCATGCTATGTTTAGTTTACGGTTTTGTAGAAGTAGGTGTGGGGAGTGATTGGACTTACCGCGGGGTATTATTCCTGTGGTCTTCTCGTCGTCGTCGGCTTCGCTCGCATAGGTTTTGCGCCGCGAGGATTACACAGCCGAGTAGTTCGAATCGGCACATTGAATTACAGCATGATTGCTCATGTAGGCTGGGTCTGGCGGATGTTTGGGTATGGCATTGGGAAAAAGGTAAGTGGCTGCTTTAGATGGGGAGTGTCTGTATTGGTGGGGAGAGTGGTGACGCGATATGGGAGACGCGCTTTTTATATTTATCACATGATCAAGGACATATAATTTCTATATACAATCCCTGAACTCCCATTTATGTGTCTGGAAACATGAATACTCCTAATATTAGGTAGTTATTACTAGGTCTGAAAACTCCACCTCCTAAGTTTTCCTCCAACAGCGTATAAGCCATCGTAGCTTTAGATTAACAGAACTACGACAACCAAGACAGAGCAAATAAATATAACAGGATCAAGGTTCCGCACAAATAGTATTCGTTTCATTGCATGTAAAGCTATTTCAATAACTATGCGTTCAAGTGAGCTGCTATGTATAAAGCTTTCACTTCAACCCTCTTCAGCATACCTGCTTAGGGTCCGTCAATCTGCCCATCATTTCAGACGCAAATAGCAAACAAAATGTACTAGAAACCAGAGAGCCCCTCCCGCCACCCCCAAAGCAATCCGGCCGCCGTGAAATACATCGTCAAACTCCTTTTTCATCCCCGGTACAACAATAGAACGCGATTAATAAAATGAATGCACACAATCAGGGTCTCGGGATCTCCAGAATGGAGCCCGTCCAGCTCAGAAACCACCTGTGCCTGTAACAGGTGCTGGAGGCACCCATTGGTAGGATGCGGCCTGCATGTAATTTAGGACCCGGTTTGGAGGGAAAGCATCTCCTTCTGCTAGTTGTAAACTTTCCATGGTATAGTCTTGCCCCAGATTGTCAAGCTGGGCGCCCCAGCCTATCGATTCAAAATAGGTCATCCGGCGCTCCTTCTCCTCCTGGGACCATGCGTGTGTAGCTTGCGTATTGGGTGGTGCCATTATAGGCAGCCCATGCGGGGCGATTGGGTAGGCGCTGACTGGCTGAATCGCGGTTGAGGCATGGTACTGTTGGTTTTGAGCGGGCACATAAGGGGAGTTAAGGCTAGAGGTGGAATCCGCATTGCTGGGACTGATGAGGCTTGGTGGGTTTGACTGATTAGGAGATTGCTGGTATGGCATTCCATACGGGTATTGGACATTGTACTTAGTCCGTTCTTCCCCTTCTTGTGAGCTTTGGGCGTTGATAGGTGCCCAGGAGCCGTTGGGTCTCGACCCCGCTGCCGACTCGACCCCTTGCATCGGCTCCCCATTCACACTCGATGCTGGTCCGATGTCATTGGTACTCGCCCGGGATCGTGTCTGGTCAGCGGCATCGGAGCCGTCAGACTGGATATTTCTGTCCGTGTCTGAGAGACTACCAAACTCTTTCAATTCTTTCTCCTTCATCCTATACTGCTCCCCACCGCCACCCGTCCATCCAAGGTTGCCGTTGTTGGTAGTATGGAAATCAGCCTTCACGCGGTCGAAATAGTCATGCATCATCCCGATGGTCTTCTGATAGGCTTTGACCATCTTCAGCCTCGGGACCATATCTTTAAGCAACTTGGAAGTGATCCCAGTCCAGCCCCGGGTTCGGAAATCAGCACCCGGTTCTTGCTTCGGGTTGTGCAAGTGGTTGCCGGTGTCCATATGGCCAAAGTGAACAGCGTAGATGCAGAAAAACGCAGCTTGCCAAACCGCAAATCCTATCTGGGGGGATTCCGGGAGGGCATTATCCTCCTGGCAGGTGGTCACGATATTGATAATGTCTCTGGCCGCTTTGAATACTGTCTCGGCGCTCTCCTCCCAGAAGCCATCGGGCACCTCGTACTTAGATGAAGGAAATGTCGGCTCGTCGAGGGGGCCCGTGGGTTTCTCACAACGAAGAGGTATGAATGGTAGATACTCTCTATGGAGCATAATCAAACATGCAGAGTACAACGTATGCATCGAGGCGCAGCCAGTAGCGTTGCGTTTCTCGATATGGGCCGAAAGATTTTCCTCATTGAAGACAAGGTTGGACGGTAAGCTACGGCGGAATTCCTCTAATTCATGGCGCAATTTGAAAAATCCCGTAGAACTGTCCCATGGGGGCAGAGTTTCGGTCCTCCTACCACCAGCATAACTCCACTCCGCAAATCTTCCGAATATCTCGACTAGTCGGATGTACCAACCCAAAATACCATCATCGTGGACCACCACTCCAGGTTCGATATTCCTATTCCAAGATGGATTTAGAATCCCTGTTGTGGACTTGCGGGCGAACAGAAAATCGTCATCCGAACAGGGAAGTTGAACCCGTAGTCTGTCCACATCTATCATCGTGGGCCTGCACTTCCCGGCCGAGAGCATTCGATCCATGATGAAGCAGCTCCACCACGTACGCCGTCGGGCCTCCTTTTCTGTCAGCTCCTCGCGTGCGGTCGAAGGGGGTTTGGCTGAGCGGCTTTTACTTGGATCAGCTGCGGGATATTTGATCGCCAGAGGACCGGTATCATCTTCGTATGAAAGACCCATTGACTGTGCTAGCCTCGTGGCGATGCCCACATAGACCCATGCACTCAGGCCCCGTGTCTGACCCCATTCATACAGACCAAGCATGAGAAACGCCTGGATGCCCTCGAGGGATGGGTTGGTGAGATTTCTGCTTGTTGGGCCAAATGCAGTTGCCAGAGCGGCGGCGTAGTACTCGCTCGCAACAAGAGGGTCAGATGACGACGAATGGTGAGCAACGAGTTCCGGGTGGAAACGAGCAGTAAGCGTTAAGACTCCAAGGAGGAGGAGCCTCCCTTCCTGGAGATCCGCTGGCGGGGCAGAGGGGTCCCGTGGGTAGGAAGCCTGCCGCATACGGTTCCTGAAAGTAGGGGGGTGGAGGAACGGCATCTCCGTTGAGAAGTGAAGCTTAAAAATCTCGTAGATTTCATCCCACACCTTCCGCGTGAGAATCGGCGATTCCAAGATATCCTCTCCGACCTTTTGGCTATTTCTCCGTCCCGTGTCCTCGAGTTTCCTAATGCGCTTCTTGCTCTCGCCATCTTCTTGCTTGACCCCCGCGGTCGCCTCATTGCGCTTTGGCGTGGATATTGAGCCGGCCACTGGATATGTACATTCGCGATTGCTCGAGGCGCATGCTTTGCAGATTGAGTTGACTCCATTATTGACGCCTAATGAGAAAAATATTAGCTGAGGTCAACCAACCCCTCGTTCTCGCTATCAGATGGCGCGATTGAGGAGAGCCGTGCCCAGAATTTACAAAAATTTCATGCGTCCACGCAACTTAATTCCCGATGATATATATATATATATATATATATCCGGGAATGGTCCCACCAGAGCCTACTTACATTTTACCTTGCTCCGGCGGCATCTACTGCAGGCGATGCTTGACCTGACCATCTTGGTCGGCTTCTTCTCCTCCAGACTTCCCCTGACGCCGGCGGCACTCCCATCATCCGCCCCTCCAGAGCCGGGGCTCGGATCGCCCGTGGGATCAATACTGGCGAGCTGTTGCCTCGGGGACGCGGGATGGAGATAGGATTGATCGGCCGCGAAAGCTTCGGCGTGGGTGCGCTTGGGTGTGGGCGAGCGCGAGCAGCGAGAGTTACTTGGAGCCGCAGAGTCTTCCGTCGGCGCAGAGGGCGACAGAATCGCAGCGAGAGAGTGCGGAGAGGGAATGGTGGCGGTTGGGGGTCTCTTTTGAGACCCAGGACTGGTAGGAAGCTTTCGCGGACGGGGGGAGAGGTAGAGTAGAGTAGAGAAGCAGAGATTTGGGGGAGCAGCGGGGAGAGGGCAGAAGGTAGGACAGTGGGCAGCGTGGGTTTGCTCAACGGGGAGGCGCGGAGGGCAAGAGTCTCGTTCTCCTACCCGCGGCTACCAAAGGCTACCAGAAGACGAGAGAGGGATGATTCGGATGGGCTGCTGCAGGTTGTTGGGGGGAATGAATGGGGGTTTGATGCTTCTGTTCTTTGCAGAGTGCAGGAGGGCGCGACCACCAGGCGGTGTTGTGTGTAGTAGCTTGAGCGTGAGCGATGTTCTGCACCACAGCCGCTATGCGCTGCGCGTAACCGCTCACCCAATAAGTGTTTTAATGGCTGCAAACGCGGCAAATGGAATTGAATACGGAGGGTAGTGCGCGTGGCCGAGCGGGCGGGCGGGAGCTTGGGGATGGAAGCGCCGTGGGAGGGGAAAGGCTTGGGAATGTATCGTCGTATGAGGAGTCGCCGTGGGAGCGGCGAGGTCCTCGATATCGGAGGGGATGGTGTTGGTGGTGGAGGAAGCGGCGCTGGAGGCGGTGGTGGTTGGAAGTCGGGGAGGAGCAAAGGAGGAGGAGAAGGAGAAGGAGGAGCAGCAGGAAGAATGTGGAGGTGGTAGTGGCACGGTGGTATAGAAGTATAGAGGTGGGAGTGGAAGTGGTGGTGGTGGTGGTGGTGGTGATGATGGTAGATAGATAGATAGGCCCGAAGAATATGAGGTACAAGTCGGTACTCGAGTGGAACGACGGGGAGAGCGAGAGCGCGAGTATTGTATTGTACTTCGTATTGTACGGAGTATATCTTGTCTCTAGGAAGGGTACATGTCGAGTACGGGGTACGGGGGTACTTGGGGGGTACTTGGGGTGCTCGGGGCCATAGAGACAGACCACTGTAGAGGACCGGAGAGGACAGGACAGCGCTGCACACGCGTTTTTATTATTCTAACTGGACATACAGCAGCACACCACACCACAGCACCGCACCGCACCCCAGCGCTGGACCGTATACGGTTACAGCACAGATATGTCCGAAGTACGGAACGGGGACGGCGGCTCAAGTTGCTGGCACAACTGTTCAACTGTTCAGCTGTTGGCACCGGCGGGACAAGCTGGACAGCAGCTGGACAAGTGGACAGTAGCAGTGGACACGCTGGGGGGGACGCTGGGACACTGGGACACTGGGGGGGGGGTAGCCTGTCTCTTATACACATCTAGATGTGTATAAGAGACAGGCTACCCCCCCCCCAGTGTCCCAGTGTCCCAGCGTCCCCCCCAGCGTGTCCACTGCTACTGTCCACTTGTCCAGCTGCTGTCCAGCTTGTCCCGCCGGTGCCANGGGGGGGGGGGCTCGGTGGTGGTGGACGCCGACGGGGTTCGCAGTGGCATGTTCAGTTCAGTTCAATTAGAAGCACAATGCATTCCATTATCTGGAGAGATCCAGAGATCTAGAGATCCAATGCTGGAGGAGTTGTCCGAGAAGACACTGCTTTGCTCCATGGCCTCGAGGTATTGTCTACTTACTACCTTAACCCTTTCTTTATATACTCCGTATATCACCCGAACCTAGACCTCCTGGAACTGCTCTGGTGCTCTCCTTGTTCCTGTGTGTACCCGCCCAGCGCCCACCGCCATACCGAGTAGCGGACGGCTGCGAGGTACATAGAGGTACATGTCCTTGCACCCGGTCATGGACATGTACAGTACCACGGAGGAGGAGCTACAATACCATATATATATATCATGCATAATACTCAGTGCCAGGGTACACGGTGTCCAGGTACCTGTTACTACTCTACCCCAGGCAATGTGTACCTCGCCACCATGTACTCCGTCCGCCAAAACCGTCGGCTGCTGTGTCGCACTAAATCGCCCAATCCACGACCCGGCAAGTCTTCCAGCCGGCCACGGCCACGGTTCCCGAATTGCCCGACTGCCCGAGTATGTATTATTTATGGTTATTTATTGTTGCCCTGACTGCCCCGCAACCCGGCCGTATCTGCGGGGAAAGCACTCGAGACTCGCAGCGCGTACAGTACGTACGTACTGTACCTAGGTAGTATTATAACACATACGACGTCCTGGACGGCACCCGGTACGACTCTGTGCCCTTCCGAACGCACAGAGAGCACACACAGCACAGACAGCAACTGTATGTACAACAGTATAAATGTAAACATCTGTTATTATGTAGTATTTATGTACATACCAAGAGGCGGATCGCTCTCCCCGGGAGCCGAGCACGGCCAGCGAGAATCCCCAGCGCCCATTCTTATATGATTATCATCGATCCTCCGCCCTCCGGGCTTCGTTCCTCGTACGGGTACTGTATCACCACCGCCGTGGCGTTTGGATAACCAGGCCTTCGTATACCGAGCGCTCGTCGAGTCCGAGCTCCTGTAAGGACGTATTATCGTGTCTTACTTACCTTTGCCTAGGTAAATCACGGCTTACTCCTGCTTCTGCCTGTCGTGCTGCCTATCTATGCCGAAAAACAAACGCCAAAAGCCATCGTCGGGACCCGGGCGCCCTCGTTGGTCGCCCATCCATGGACGGAGGTATGCAGCAGGTAAGAATGTGGGATGTGGGATGCCTTTGTGTTCGTCCTCTCTGCATGGCTTGCAGATTGCAGGAGCATGCAGCCTTTTGGTCGATGGCCGATTCAGGGGCATGGCTTGCGGAGAACATACCTGAACAAAGTAGGTACAGGTAGGTACATCGGGTATACATCGACACCAAAGGTAGATATAGACGGTACATGTACAGTACAGAAGGTGGTACTGCACATACATACATACCTACTACTTACTCCGCACATCCATCCCACTCTTCCTGTGCGTACAACAACTGCGACATCGATCAGCCCAGCCCAGCCAGCCGCCTGGCGCCGTGGCCATCCAGCCTGATCCAGGCGTTGAGGTGCTTATTAGGGGGCTTGTGGCGATCATCACCCATGGGATGTTGTTGGTCTGTACTTCGTACACCGTCCGTTCTCCGTTTCCTATGCACATCTCCCAGCGCCGTGGGAATTGGCAGTGGTCACCGCTACGACTGATGCTGCTGCCAATGCCAATGCCAATAATAATAATAACAACGTTAACTTTGCCATCGAGCCAAGCTCAGGCTCCCGAAGATGTCCCAGAGCGTTAAGCTCTCCAGCGTTCCTGGGGGGGGAGGGCGACACGAACGATCCCTGGACACTTGCGCTGGTCGTCCCCTATTGCTACTCGACGATGTCCGATCATCAGATGTTTGGCCGCCATATCATTGGGAGCTCGTCCATACCAAGATCACAAGCCCAACACCGTGGATGCACTTGAGAAAGCCCGCGCTCCCTCCAACCCTCTCGAACCGTCTATCAATACTGCTTGGGTTGGCTTGGTAGCAACCCAAGCGCCTATAATTAGGCCGTTCTTCGAGCTTGTATAACCCCATACTCCCATACTCCCATACTCCCATACTCCCATACATCCCTCCTCCCTCACGAATCTTTTAGCATCTATACCCGCAAGTCGCAAAGTCGCAATTTGCATCCAAGATCCAGCGGCGAGATTTAGCGTTTGCACAGCCACACTCCTATCTTAAATACACGCCGTGGCGGGTAGGGCAAGGCCGTCATCGACGTCATTAATTGGCTGCGCGTTGGGTTTCAAGGGCGTTAAAAGCAAATGTTGGATCGTTTGGATAACCGCTTTGGCCGCGGCCCTCTTCTATTCTTGAAACCAATTACCGTAATCTTGTTGCGCCAAACTTGATTCTCTATCTCTCCATCTTTCATCTCGCTGCTCTATTTCATTCATAAAAGACTCCATTCCCCATTTTACTGCCATTCCCACGTTTGTAGAGTTTTGTTGTGCTTCCCCCTCCCCCCACTATCTAACCCCTCCCCCGCCATCGACACGACTACAAGAGTGCTGCGAAGTACTCATAGACAAACAAGGCGCACATGGCTTCAGGACATAATGTAGGATTTGCCACCAAGTTACTCGATCACTTTTGAACCCAACTAACGCATCGTGTTTTCGCAGGACCCGAAGCTTCTCTATGCTATCAACGGCATCAATGCCTTTCACATCGAAAATGGCAAGGAGGAGTCTTTCACCCCATCCGGGCCACAGACTTTATCCCTCCTAATGGTTCCCACCTCTTCACCTTTCTCCGACCTCTCATCCACCGATCCTCAATCGCAGGCACCCGAAGAAGACTTCTACCTGCATCTTCATCTGCCGCCCGGGTTGGACCTCCCGCTGCCCGCAACAACCCAGATATACCACCAGCCACCCAGCAGCTACTTAATCCCGCGGTGGGACCTGGGCCCAGATAGCGGCGCCTTTACGAGGATACAATTCCCCGGCCTGAACAATGGCGGTTCCCAGGAGGATATCGATACGTTCGAGACGATCCTGGCGCAATGCACCGCATTTTTGGAACGCGCTCCCCCTCCAAAGAGCGCCCGGCCTCGCAAAGCCAAACCCGAGAAGGAGAAGGAGAAGGACATGGCGATTCCGGCGTACGATCCTTCGAGCTTCAAGCCCGGAGAGGCATACGTGCCCGGAAGCGCGAGCTCGCAAGTAGGAGGGCAAATCGTCCTGATCGATGAGGATGACGGAAGCGTGATTGGCGAACTTGGTGAAGGCTTCAAGGTAGTCGAGGATGGTAAGATGAAGCAAGGATCGAAAGGTATATATTCGTCTCTTCTAGGGATTTTCCATACCTACCTAGTTACTAACCCATTCTCCAGATCCAGTCGAAATCACCCTCCCCCAAGATGGCTCGCAAAACATCGGCGTATCCCCAGCCTCTACAGAATACCTAGAAATGGCCATGCACCCCGCCTACAAAGGCTCGACGCTCGTCTCCAAAGCAGCCATGGCCTCCCGCCTCATCGTCACCACCTCGGGCTACGTATCCAAGACCCTGCAAATCCACGCCGACAACTTCACCCAGAAGACGAAGCCCAATTCCAAGCCCATGACATTCACCCCCGCCACGCACAGCAGGATCCGAAAAGTCCACACCTTCACCGAAGGCGCCGCGGGCCTGAGCGCCAAAACCGTCGGCCAGGTAGGCAAATACGCGCAGAACCTCGGCGCGAGCCTCACGAAGCGCGGGAATGAACATGGAAGCAAGGGCATCGGACCTGATGGTAAGCCAGCGGAAGGCTATAAGCCCGGGCTTCTAAATAAGAGCTTAATGGCGTTCTCCACCATCGCGGATGGAATCGACCAAGCGGGCCGTAACCTCCTCGCGTCGAGCTCCACGGCCGCAACAACAGTCGTGGGACACAAGTACGGCCCCGAAGCTGGAAACATCTCCCGCAACATCGGGGGCGGGTTCAAGAACGTAGGGCTGGTGTACATCGACGCTACGGGCGTGTCTCGGAAAGCTATCATAAAATCCGTGGCTAAGGGCATGGTCGTCGGCAAGGTGCGAGGCGGAGGGGATCTCATCGTCGGTGGCGGCGACGGCGGGACCATGATCGGGCCCAATGGCAACTCGTCCTCCTCGTCTTCCATACACAGCCAGCATTGGAAGGAGAAGGAGGCTTCTCAGGGGAGGTACACCGATGATCACAGCATGAGTGGTGGCCGTGATTCTCCCGAGGTCGTCGGGTTTGGAAGAGCGGCGCCGCCGCCGGCGTATAGTGGTGGGCCTGGAGAGGGCATTGAAGGGCAGAGGGTTGGGGATGTGAAGCGCTGAGGACTTTGGGGGGTTTTTCTTTTCGTTCTTAAGGGAGGGGGAAAGGGGCAAAAATATGATGATGTTATGAGTTATGAATTTAGTAGTACCTGCAGTCTATATCAACCTTTCTGCTTCGTGATTTATAAGCAATTCAAAACCTTCACAATAAGTTCTCCATGCATGCTCTTAATAAGCCCAATTAAGGACACTCTTTCACAAAGCAACGGACAGCATGGGATGAAATGAATGCGAAGGAAAAACCTTGATGTGACGGCGATGTTTATGTATGGAACTACTACAGTATATCCTTTGTGCTAGTTTTTGTATACACGCCCCAACAACGAACGAACGAACGAACGATCATCAGCTCATTTCATCTTCTACTCGTCTTCGTCACAAAAATCTCACACACACTCATCCTCGCTAAACCATGAAATGCAAAAGAAGTAGAATAATAATTCCAATCACCCATTCCTCCAGGCATACTAATTCTGCCCCTGCCATCCTACCCAACTCCGCGGCATGACTCTCCAGATCTTAACTTCCCCGCTCCGCATATCGTCAAGTTTGAAGCTCTCCATTTTCACTTTCTTGCTCTCCCTCCCTTGTTCCCATGCCCGGACCTTCTTCTTTGTGCCATCCCACTCCGCGACAATGCCTACATGGTCCGGTTTCCCCACCTCTATGCTGTATTTGGCGTGCATAGGACCATGCTTACCCTGGAATTTGGTGTTGCGTAATGTGATGATGTCACCCGGGCGGATCTCATCGTTTTGTTGCGTGGAGGCGTTGGCTAGGTTAGCGTAGACGACGGAGCCGTAAGCGCGGGTCCCCACGGGGAGGAGGGAGTTAGTGAGGGGTCTAAGGAGTTCTTGAACTAGGGATTGGGGTGAGCCGTCCCCAACGACCGTGCCTTGCTTGGAGGTTACAGCTTCGGCGATGCGGCGCCCAAACAGTTCATGAGCTTGCTCTAGTTGGTCTTGTCGAAGACGTGAGGGTGGCGGCTCGTGACGTTGCTCCAGATTAACGTCTGCTGGATTTTGGCCGTCGAAATGTGCAGTGATAATTGTCTGTGAATAATCCTGGTACAGCACGTACACTTCCCTTGTAAAGGTCGTTTTGCCTCCTCCGTTTGAGCTTGACTCCTCAACTTCGTGCAAGATATCCTTTCGATTATGAAATACCGGAGGTATACCACTTGGCTGAGTCCACCAGTATGTAGTTCTTCCGAGATCAACGTCATTCGCAACATATCCAGTGTCCATCGATATCCTACTAAGTTCCACGGACCTCCTCCCCGCCGTCGAAGAACGGGGCACATCTAGTGACTGTCGAGATTGGCCTCTGTTTAGTGTCCCCGGCCCTGGTCCTGCTTCACGGGGTGGAGGAGGTGGTGCTTGACGATCCTGAGGAGGCGGGGCCTGGTGTCTTGGTGGTGAGCTTGAGTATAAATTTTCTTCGCGTTGCTCGATTCTAGACGACGATGCATTGCTAGTGGCAACACTCTGCTTGGGTGCAGTATACTTGTACGGGTCATATTCATCGTCATCCTGTTCCCATGGGGCTGGCATCTTCGAAGGAGGAGGTGGTGGGGGTGCAGCTCGTGGCATATCGGCGGATTGTCTTGCATTTGGAGGTGGTTGTGAGGGCAACGGGGGAGGTATCGCCCGCGGAGCAGCAGGTGCCGGGAGAGGTGGCGGAGCTGATGGTGGCATTGTGACTGATGGCTGAATGGAACTGGTATCATCTAAACTAGATTCCCTGGCGTGTGCCTTCAGAGCATCTCTATGGGGTACTGCAGATGCCATGTCGGTATCATAATCGCCCTCATATTCCGTGATTTCCTCTTCGCTTTCCACCTTTGCTGGAGGATTCGGGGAGGTAGGTACCTCCTTGTCGCCGGTGGAGGATCGACTTAATGTTGTAGTTGGTGGAGGTGGTGGAGGAGCTCGGCTCTGGGGCGATACAACGGTGAGAGCACCAGGTATTGGAGGCACTCGACTTGAACGTCTGTTGTTTCCTTGATCGACTGGAGACGTGGGAGATACCTCCTCGGATCCAAAGTAGGACGTGCCCTTTGCAGTTGGTGATTTAGGCGACAGTTGCGACTCGGGTCTCCCTAGGGGCCGAGGAGCCTCTGCCTTTGGCGTAGCAAGTGATGACCTTTCAGCACTAGCAGACATCTCATCATCGGATTCGGATCCGGCGCTTGGAGATGGGCCCGGCAAATGAGCAGCGTTTGGCCGCGCTAAAAGGTCTTATATGAGCTTCAGAAACAAAAGACTATTTTAGAAACTTACACTCTTTGGGCACAGGTGGTGGAGCGGGTCTTCCACCGGGGATTGGTGGTGCATTATCAGGAGCATGAGATGGAACTGTAAACTTATTAGTATGTCCCTGCTATGATAGAGTTGTAATTGCATACCTGGCGGTGGGGCCCTTTCATGAGAAGGCACCACATCCTCAACATCGGGCACCTCATCAGCTGGCCGAGAGGTAATAGCAGAACTACTATCATCCTCTTGCTCGATCTGTCTGTTAATTTCCTCTGGGCTGCGTACTCTTGACAATCCTGGTAGCGGTATCATTGGCACGGGAGGAGCGTGTGTGGCTGCAGAGGGCACATCCTCAACCCCATACTCGCCTGACCGTTTCTCGTTGGTGCCACTACTGATTGATTTCTTCTTCTTGGGAGGAGCCGATGGACCAGGCATCGGCATGCCGCCAAAAATGCCGTGCATGCCCATACCACCGCTCATTTTTGCCATACGAGCCCTCAATTCCTCCTTGCGGCGAACTTCAGGATCAATATCTTCCTCTTCCTCTTCTTCTTGGTCATCGTCACCTTCCTCGTCGTCGGGGCTTCCGGCAGGACCCTCCTCGTCCCCAACATCAGGCTGACGGACAGGAGCTGATGGCGCTCGAGCCGGAGGTGGAGGGGCTCTAGTTCTCGGCTTCTCGTCAGAGTCATCCCGCCCCGTTGATATTTCCTCGGGTTCTTCAGTGGTATCACCAGCTCCGGACATGTCTGCCTCATTGCCATCACCGAAAGACTTTCTAGGATGTAAACCAGGTGTCGTAGGACCGGCTCTTGAGGACTTGCGCCTTCTAGGTGCACTAGGTTCCTCTCGCCCCGAATCTACTGAAGGTCTCGCACTACTGTCTTCGGTATCTCTCCTCTCGGGAACAGCACCGGGGGCGTCTTCAGAGGCCTCTGTATAGCCATGAGATTCGGCTCGCTTCTTGGGCGGGCGCTTGGGCTTATCCTTCTTTTGTGCTGCCTCTGCATGCCGCGCTGCTTGCTCCATCTGCTGCTTTTGAAGAAGTGCAATCCGTTCCTTTAAACTTGTGGGTTTTGGTTGTTCTTCAGCGCCGTCTTCATTTGATGGTGCAGCTAAACCAGCCCTTTCCGCCTGCTCCATATTCTCCGATTCTTTAGCAGCTATTTCCGGGTCCTCATCGCGTCTGTAGACCTTCTGCGGTGCCGGCTCACGGGGCGGTGGAACATAGGCGTTCTTGCTAGGAGGCGGAGCAACAAAAGGCTTTTTGATGAAATTACTTGAACCCCCCGAGCTTAATCCACTGGGTTTGAATGGAGCAACTGGAGGGGCTGCTTTATTGAAGGCAGCAATGCGGTCTCGGAATGAACCACCGCTTGGCTTTTCGGATACCGGTGGAGAAGTAGCTGGTTTTGAAGGGGCCGGTGCTGTCTGCGGTACTGCAGGCGGAGCTTCGACAGCTTGAGCTGGTAGAGGAGCTATCACAGCTTCGGATTTTGGAGCTGGAGGGGGTGCTGCTCGCACAGGCAAGGCTTCTGGAACTGGTTCGGGTTCAGGCTCTTGCTCTGGTTCTGGCTCTGGCTCAGGTTCTTCTTCGTAAGCAGGCTCGACGGATTGTGGTTGAGCGGGAGCTGGTTCAACGGCGGGTTCGACCTCTTTCTTTGGACGATTCGTGCGTGTCGGCCTCGGCGGTGCAGTAGGCTCGTATTTCTCAACGAAGTTCTTGGGGAAGATGCCCTCCTGCTTCACATCTGAAGCATCCACGTATTCCCCAGCATACCAGTCATCATCCTCCAGCTCAGTGACCGTAATTATCTGCCCAGCGGGGAAATGAAGATCGTCCTCGTGGGGCGAGGTATATTCGTACACGGCCTTGACCTTGAAAGGCGGACTTGACATGTTGACGTCGGTACGGTGAAGAGGCAAGTATGTTCTCCAGCCTCACTCGGCTTGTTGCCTACGCAGGTATCGACGGAGTTTGGCCCCAGGCGGCCCGGTAGTTGTATTCAGTGATATTGGCCGATGAGATGGATTTCGAATAGAGACAGGCAGTGGCAATTCGCTATATTTGGTATGATATAGGACGAGAAGAGGTTCGACGACGTGGAGTTGGAGCGGGGCGGTGTTGATCGTCCGTAAACGAGCTAGTCTCTTGTCTGTATGCTAGCGCATGAAATACAGCTTGTGAAACCGCAGTGGTAAGGATGGGTAAATCCAATTGTCACATACAATATTACTGTGCCAGACATCAGCTTTTAGACGAGGTCAGAGCAGCGTAAGCCACGAACGATGAGCAGGCAAACGGCTTGGTAGCATAGCAGTAGCATGGAACCGTGGAGCGGAGTTGCACAGGGAGCACGGAGGGTGAATCAGCGACTTGCAGGGATCTCGTTCGCCGCCTATTCCGAAAGACCTTCGAGGTTCGATCTGAATCCCTACGTAACAATGTTTTGAGCTTTTGAGCTTTGCGACCTTGAACAATCCAGTCCAATCTATGATATTGTTCCTTGACTTGATCCCGTGGGATGAGCTGAATTCAAGCTCCAGCAACCATTAACATAGAAACCATGACGACTCCTAAGATGCCCGTATCAATCCTAAAGAAGGCAACCAACCCCGCCACCAACTCCAGCTCCAACTCCAGAGATGATCGCAATCGAGCATTAGCACTGCACCACGCAGGACTCATACAACAGCGCAAGGACATCGAACTTGAAATCCTTCTATCCATGGAGACCCTCATGGACTACCCACTTGCCACCTTTCCATACAACGCCAGCAACCCCTCCCCCGAAGATGCAAAAACCTTCAAAGACCTACTATGGCCTTTCCAACCAAGCGACTATGACGCCCTACTAGTTGAACGCAACATCAACGGTCATTGCGGCTATACGTTATGTCCGAACCCGAGGCTTAAGGAAGAAGGCGGCGGAAAGTACAGGGTCATATACAAGAGTGGCAAGGCGAAGGATTTCAAAGTCGTGGAGAAAGAGGAGCTTGAGAAGTGGTGTTCGGAGGACTGCGCTAGGAGAGCACTATACGTGAGGGTTCAGTTAAGTGAAACTCCGGCTTGGGAGAGAGGAGCTTTCCAATCGCTAGGCAGGATTGATTTACTTGATGAGCCGAAGTCTGACGATGTGGTTGTTATGGATGGTATTGCGCAAATGCAGCTGGGTGGAGAGGAACGGGACCGGCAACAGAAAACGGCAAATTTAGCACTTGAGAGAGGTGACAGGGGAACTGCTGCTCAAAGCGGACTGGTTGACGTCCGGATACAGGAGAATCAGGTCCAAGGAAATGCTCAACCTCCTTCACTGGATATTGACAACGGTGATCTCAGCAGAAGGTTGGACGACATGCACCTGGCCTTGGAAGGGCATATACCAACTTTCGGCACTGGCAGGCAAATAAGTCAAGACGAAGAGGATACCGACTGGAAACTGTGAATGCATTCTCGGTGGTACGTTCTAAAAAGGAGGCATAATAACTAGAGGCTATGGTAGATCAATTGGCGTTGGGTATAGGTTGGGGCATGGGGCGGTGCATAAGCTGGAAGTTATGGATTGATATATTGGCGCTGGAAGCCAAGTCATGAGCCGGATTCAAGACTATTAACTGCAGATGGCGTCAGGGAATTCGCCCTGGGAATAGGGTTGTAATAGCTGTATGATACCCACCACAAACCTACCTGCAAAAGCAAAGCTATTGCAAACCCCAGTGTGCCTATACCCAAATACCACATGCACAAGTGCTTTAGATATCCCCTTCATTAGTTGCATGGCATCGTGCCGTCGCGTGTCACAGCCCTTCACGAGGATAATTCAAAGGTTCACAGTCAAAGGAATATGAACAAGGAAATTGGCAATCAAGCGTCATCCCCAGAGGAGAATCAGCGACACCTTGGTGGGAAATGATCTCACATTGATCTAGTATGCATAACCAGCCAGCAATACGCCCCGTAGCAATCAGATCTCTGCCCAACCATCCATGATATCCATTTTCCTGCCAATTTAACCTCTTGGGGGACGGTCGCCGAAGCGTCTTGGGCGCTCGACGGTTTGTTGTTGTGCAACGGCAACGACGCTGACTGGGATGGCATCGAACTATAAAATTGTGAGAAATTGGTCATCATGTTGGGGTATGCTAGAGGACGTACACCAAGGTTCTTGAGAAGATCCTTTGTCTCGGTATCGACCTCGAGGACACCGGACTCGCTCTGGCTGAAGTCGAGAGCTGAGACTTCTGGGACGTATTGATCCTTGCGCTCACGCTCCTCTTCTTGGAGCTTGAAGGAGATACCACGGACAGGGCCACGTTGAATGCGCTTCATCAAATGGGTCGTGTAACCGGCAATCTATTTCCAGAAGAGCATGTCAGAATGTGCATTCAATCTAGGCTTCATCGCGTTGTGCTGGTCCGTACCTTGTTGCGGAGACGCTTTGAGGCGATAATTGCGATCTCATCGCAAATTCTCTTGTTGGTCTCGAAGTCCAAGCTGAGCTTAGGATAATATCTCTCGATAATGACCTTGGCGGACTTCTTGACGGTCTTAGTACGAACGCGACCCATGATTGCGGTTTGGTGGTTGTCGAGTTGGCTGGATGTTCAAGTCTTGAAGTTGCGAATTTCGATTTCGCTTTCGCTTTTTCGATTGTGGGCGCTCGCTTCCCAATTTAGCTTGAAATTGATCACGTGATAACAGGGATGGTACTTCGAGTTTTAGCGGGCACGACGTGTAACAACATCGAATGCCTCAAGAATGCCTACTCCGTAGTTATCGTTAGCTGAAGAATTTTACTATGCCAATCAATTTTGGTAGGGGAGTTGACTTTAACTCAATACTGCTATTCAGCAATCAAATAATCATATTTTTGTCGCCTCGCTGCGACTCTGCCAAAACACCATTTGATGCTCTTCAGCCTTTCTTCAAAGCCTGCTACAGCATTCTGTGTTCTAATTATCGGAATCAGTCTAGTCAGATTCCTTTTCCAAATCTTCGCACTCAGCAAGTGCTCTATTCAGTGCCAGTGCCACTATCTAGGTACGAGACAACTCGATAGTGGCGAACCTCACCTATCACTAGGACTGATACTGGCGGGGATTCGTATGTTTCTGGCTCTGTTTCTGATACGCACTTGGTGGTGTATCCCATACCTGTAAGCTGTATGAGTTGAATGCTGGGTCTTTGGTCAGAGGTGCCACCCAACTTTGCAGTTTCAGCAGCATAGCCATTTAACATGAGGGGCAATTGCATTTCAGACGTTCCTCTATAAAGTTGAAGGAAATCAAGACATGGAATATCACCTATATATGAGTTGACAAAGATCTCCGCCATAGTTCAAGGGTATACCACCACCGCAGTCCAATGTCCGAGAACAATTCCATTGCTCACCTTGACTGAAACCTGAGATGCTACTGGGTGGACATCAATTACGATTCCCGCCGCCTGACCAGCTTCAAGCCGCAGCAAACCAAGTCGCCTTGTTCAATTGGATAAGTATTAGAACCCGCTTTTGTTGCCCATTTCGTTCGCTTCAAGGGAAACCATTCAAAGCCCACTAAATCCCTTATGCATGCAAAGAGCAAAACTTGATTATTAAAGGGTCGAAACTTCTCCCCTGCTTCCTCTATATTTATACAATTCCTATAGAGAATCTCAAGATTATTAATTTTCTCAGATTCGATATATATAGCTGTGATATTTGTCCATGAACTATAGTGCCTATCAGAGTTCATCGGTCCATGGAACTGATGACCAGAATCTCCGCTTCCAGTTCAAAAATTATAAGGACGTATATAGGCTCCACAAATCTTGGCTTTACCGGAGGCAACCATTTTAGGAGTTAGATTGGTGGAGGAAGCAAGTTCAAGCGATTAATGCTGTGAAATTACAGCTGTTAATAGTTTTCATAGTGCCAAGTTAATCTTTACTGCTAATATTGCTGTTGCTGTCAAAACAACTGTTCCTGTCAGTCCATAGGGCATCACCCTTTCTAACCAGGAATTACTGTTGACTCATGCTCTTCTCAGCGTACGCAATAATGGTGATATTACGGTGAGGATCGCCCAGTATACTATCTTCTATCGCTTGGTTTCTGGTTGTAAATGCGTACTTTCTTCAGCTGTTTGGTTGGAGGGGTAGACTTTTTTGCCTGAAGTTGGCTAGATATGGTGGCTAAGAGCGTTAGATAATAGTCATAAGTGAACTTGTATCTAAATAGTACGATTATAAGTAAAGTTGTAAAAACTTATAATTGATAAGTCTAAGTTAAGAAGCTATACTATCCCTCCCATTTAGGGCGTACTAAGAGAATATAAGCAACACAGAGAGTCGCTTAGCGTGTAAAATGCCAAGTAGACTTTTTCGACTCCAGGCTAGCTTCCTGTCCGTTATATACTTTTTTAGGAGCTGCCCTCCTGGCTCCCCTACCATTACCTTATTCGAGTCTTATAGAACAGAAGTGATAGATGTACTAGTAATCTACCTGGAATCTATAGGTGTAATTGAAAGGATAATTCAGTTGATGGGAGCAGCTCGGGAAGAAAGTCTGAACTGACTAAGCGCTGGGTTGATTCCCTACTGCAGGACTGTGTTTCGTAGGAGATAGGTATAGTCGTATCCTCAGTTCAGGGAAGTTTGGCTAGTATGAGTTAAGGACAAACATGATACCGCGGCAGTTCCCTTGAAGAGGGCGAAGACAACCACATACATACACTAGTATTCAGCTTAACAGGTCGGGGGGCTAGTGTTATAGATAGCCACATACATGAGCTCAGCGGTAGCGCTACCCTTCTTGGCTAAGATACATCTGGTTGAGGTTGAACGCCACGGCGGTGGTATTAGCAGCTCCTTGCCCAGAAGATATAAGTCAGGAGAAGTCACACAGCGTGTATCCCCAATACGGATATTTGAATCGCCTAGCCACTATGAGACATTAAGGAGGCTGATGCATATTACTAGTATATTTCACGCATCTCACCTTTGTTCCTTATTGTGAAAATGGTTCCTATACTAGTAGCCTCTAAAATGTTTTGATTCTCTATCCCAAATCCTGCTCCATTGATCGCTAAAGGCCACTAGAACAACTGCATCGTGCCTGGACGAGACACAATACTTGGCACGAGTTTCCGGATGATAGGTGATAAACTCTTTCTCGCCTTGTATATTCATTTCACAGCTAGAAAAGTTTCATTGTTACTCATATTAACAACGCCTTAGCACGTGGACAAAGCCATGTCAAAACCATCGCATTCCGCAAACTATTCTCATGTTTGAAATAGAAAAATACACTGGATTTACTCTTTATAAGTAGACGATAGCTCTAAATCAGATCCGAGGATCTCTGTAGCCGCTCGATTAACCACCCACAGAAAATGATGTATCTAAGAGGAAACATATAACTGTTCTTGTAATATACTTTTTGCTACATTACTTCATAATTGTTGATCATCATAGGCTCTCTGCTATATGGTCTATAGAGGGTATCTGCGGCAATGGTTAACCCCTGTGTTTCCTCGCCCTCCCTCGATGCTTGTTACCTAACCTTAGAACTTATCTTAAAGATACAGTACCACCCATTTGCCACCATCAGTCATGTCATAATCTACCACCCTTTTCAACTCCAAGATAACGGCTACTGCAAAGCTTCATTCTTGACACATTCCTGGCCGTACGCTTGTTCGTATGGAGCACGCTCCCAATGCATGACATTTTTACCACCTTGCAATGCCTCAGTCCGCCTTGGGGCAGGATCTTCGACAAGTATGGGCTCACCACCTGGATAAATCACATGTTAGTAAGATCCACACAGGGAAGAAAAATAAACCAAGGGTGTAAATCACACACCAGGGGCGATTGAAAATTGTGTGGCCACCAAAACAGTCGTCTATGGAAGAATAACGAAAGAACCACTTACTGTCATCATAACCTGTGCGGAGCGGCGAGGACGGAGGCATATCTGGAACATCAACAGTAGTCTCGGCCGGTTGGTTTTGTGCAGCCCTCGCTCTCCGACTTTGAACCCAGCAATTCAAATGTTTTCGAAAGAGGGAAACGTCGCAGTCTAGCTCTGTCTTCACAGGCCAAACTTCAAGATTGTGAACTGTTTCCACATCACGCTGCTCAAAACACACCTCTCGGTAATGTTCATCTTGGGTAATAATCTCGTATAAGGTAAAGATGACTCCTACGATATCATCTCGCTCTGTACAAACTCCCGGCTTCCCGACTCGAGCGGCACGGTCGAAGTCGAACAGCCTCAGATTATTTGTAGCGGGATCAATAAGGAGATTTCGGGGTGCTATATCTTGATGTATGATTCCTAGTTCTAGGTTGAGGTAGTCCACCACATTGGTGAGTTGCTGTAGCCATTCTAGTCGAAAAACTCGAGTCTTGTTTGAGTCGAGGGTTCCACCGGGGATGAAGGTGGTGGTAAATCCAACCACTCTGGATTCAACGGGATCGATAACGATATGGTCAAAAGGAACAATGTTCGGATGTGCTGGAATGCCTATATGATTTGTAAGTTAGATCTTCCGAGCTTGTGTTCTCCAGGTGACTCAAGGAACGTAAGTACCGCGAGTCGCAAGGAGTCTACTGTCTACTTGCCTTCAGACTTATAGGAGGGCCGATAATAGGAGAACTACATACTTTTAACAACATGCATCTCATCCCAAATCTGATTCCTCCACTGAAACGTTATAGTATACTTAAAAGCAACTTTCCTCTGTACACCATCCTCATCAACATAGCTCATCAAATCCACCCGCGGCGAGAACCGATCGAGCTCAGTCAGTTTCGACAATTCAATAGTCGGACAATCCTGCAAAGACTGGACACTGGAGTAGCGAGGGTAATGAGGTGCTAACGTAGCATCGTCTTCTGGGTCCGATGATACCGTGACAAGCAACCCCTTATCGTCAATGGTGATGGAACGGACATTTGGAGCGAGGTGGTTAATATGGCGCTTCAAGAACCCGATTTCTAGATCTTCGTCGGGTGGCATGAAGGTTGTGGAGCCGCTGATGGTATAGCAGCGGCGCTGGTCCCAGTCCATCACGGTACTTACGTGCTCTGGCCCATAGACCGTTGCGCTGATGACGGAAAATCGGTAGTCCTGGTCGATCATATTGAAGGGGGTGGATAAAGTGGTAAGGAGCGATGGAGCTATAGCGAATCTGATCGCTACAAGAATGAATGTAAGACGGTGTAGAATAAGTCGAAGCAAGGGACTAGTTTATATAGTAAATGGCTTGTTTTATGAAGATACCTATGCTACAGAGAAAGCGACTGCAGTACTGTGGATTCAGCAACGAACCGGGATAGGTTTGCTGTACTCGTACAACCGTAGAAACATTTCCTCACCTCTCGAGTAGCCGCTCACAATCAGCCACCACCGCGAGCTTCTACATATCGCGGATCCTAGCCGCGCGCGTCGACTTGTCATCATGGACTTCATCTCATAGTAGTCGCGCTTCACCAGCACTCAATGATAGGTTGCTTGAATAATACACTTACAGTATGATGGAATTGCAAAGCGCATGCCTGTCTGTTCTCCAATGTATTTTGTGTTTCCTAGGTAGCTAGCAGCTGATGAGCCTAGAGAATGGCAATGAGGAGTTGGGAATGTATTAAAGGGCCGAGGTGGGTTAGGAAATTTGGATAGCGGACTTTTTCATGTGTAACTTATAAAATCCGCCTATGTGGCAGTTAATTAAATTAACATCATACAGAGCAAGAAGTTTTTTAGTTCACTTTCAAAAAAGACACTGCACGAACGAACTTGCTTAAAAAAAAGATTGGTTATTCCAAATTAAAGCGCAACCTTCTCTATATCTTTTTCTCTGCGTATTTTGGTTATATACGTTCTGGGGGGGTATCCTATGCACAAAAAAAGGCGGCCGTTGCAAAACTTAACCAATTCAAGCAGACAGGCCCGTCCATCGTTCGTTCGCATCGGTACATCATATGATCCCATCGATCCATCCCACATCCCATCCCGAAGGATGATGCCGCACCTTAAATCGCTAAAACCCGCAAAATGCCAAAAAGACCCAGCCTCCCCCACACTACATTCCACCCACCCCCACTCTTTCATTTCCCAAGCTCTTTTCCTCCCCGACAACACATGTAGAGTTTGCGGGATCTTTATTAAAAGAAAGCAAAACTCCGCAACGTCAAAAATAACAAATAAATGGTAGGTTTGCGACATTTATACAAAAAGGAAAGATTATTATGCGATATCGCGGGTGCGGAGTTTAGACCACAGCGGCGGGGTTGCCGGAGCCGACCTTCTCGTCGTGCACGGGTGGGAGCTTCTCGTCGACCATGCCCAATTCCGAAGCGTAGGTGGTGTGTGGCACCCACTTGGCGCTGTTTCGTGGGTTGGTCTCCTCCAACATCTTGTCGACCTGCTCGAGGGAGAGGCCCTTGGTCTCGGGGATAAGGAGGTATGAGTAGACGAAGCAGGCGGTGCAGAGGGAGCCCCAGACGAAGAACACCTTGGAGCCCATGTTGGCCTCGCCCTTATCGGTTCCGACCATGTATGGGGTGATGACGGCAATGATGCAGTTCCACAGCCAGTTGGATGCGGTTGAGAGGGCAACACCGCGGGATCGGATGGGAAGAGGGAAGATCTCGCCGATGAGAACCCAGGCACCTGTGAGGGAAATCAAGTTAGTTATTTTTTTTTTTTTTTGGTTCAATTGCTGATATGGAGAAGGAATATACACATACCTGGACCCCATGTGGTGGCAAAGAAGGCGATGTAGATGCAAATGAACGCAATCTGCGAGGAGACGGCGGCATTGTTGTGCAAGCTCTCGCGGCCGGCAGTAACACCCACGATACCAACGATGAACTCGCAGATCAACATGCCCAAGGCGCCGTAGATGAGGATGGTGCGACGACCGAAACGCTCAATGGTGTAGAAAGAGATGGGAGTGGTGCAGACGTTGACGAGGGTGGTGACAAGACCGATGAGGAAGGGGTTCTTGATCGTCCCGAGACCCTGGAAGAAGGTGGTTCCGAAGTAGAAGATGAAGTTGATACCAGTCCACTGTTGCATCATCTGGAGGGAGGTTCCGAGGATGGTCCGGCGGAGATTGGAAGATGGGTTGCGGAGACCGCCGGTGAAGCAGTTCATCCAGGAACCGAAGTAGCCGCTCTGGGGGATGACGGACAGCTCATGCTCGTGGTTGGCGACAATCTCGGCCAATTCCTGCTGGATATATTCCGAGCCCTCGGGCTCTCCACGGAGACGGGTCAGGACCTGGGCGGCCTTCTCGAGGTTGCCCTTCTTGACGAAATAACGAGGGGACTCAGGAAGCAGGAAAAGTCCCGTTGCCAAAATCAAGGCCCAGAGCATCTGGATGGCAATTGGGATACGGTATGAGCCGGTATCCATGCGGTCTTGGGTGCCATAATCGACGCAGGCGGCCAACAGCAGACCGATGGTAATGCAGAATTGGTATCCCGAGACGATGGCTCCACGAACCTTCTTGGGGGCGATCTCAGACATATAGAGGACGATAATGGCGGAGACGAAACCGACACCGAAGCCAGCAATCAAGCGGCCGGCGACGAGCAGGCCGAGACCCGTGGAGGCCGTCTGGAGAATGACACCGACAATGAAGATAGCGCAGCCCATGATGATGGTGGTCCGTCGTCCATACCAATCCGCGAGATCACCCGCAATGAGGGCACCGAAGAAAGTTCCAGCAGAGAGAATCGAGGTGATGAGCGACTTCTTGGAGGCGGGCAGCGAAAAGGCCTTCTTCTCGGCGTCGCTGGCATCGGCGCCGGGATAGGGCAGGCCGGTGTACAGGTGGATGAAATAGGGCATGCCCATGACACCGGAAATGTACCCCGAGTCGAAACCGAAGAAGATACCACCGAACGAGGCGAAGGCGCACATCATGTACGCCTTGGCGGTGACGGGCGCCTCGATACGGGAGACATCAGTCGTCCCGGTAATAGGAGGGGCCATGGTTTTGACTGTTTTGGTGGTGGATGAGGGAGGTTGATAGAGAAAGACAGATATATCAACCTTGAGGGGTTTGGGCGAGGGTTGGACTGGAGCTCAGCGAAGAGGGGAGCTCGGGGTGGGGGGGGGGAGAGATATATGTAAGGAGGATAAAAGAAGAACCAAGAGATTGCGATTGGCAAGGGCAATCTATTTTCGGTGTGGGATCTCGGATCTCTCACCTCGAAGTGTCGAATAGATGTCGAATGTCGAATTGTTTCGTTCAAGGGGAAAGGGATGGGGGGGAAGCAGGGCGTACTTGTACTTTTTTTTCCCTTGGGGTACTGGTTTCTTTTGTCTAGTAGCTTTCCGGGGTGGTGGACTGGTTTCCTGGGAGAGCAACTACTATCCTGTACCCTTACCCTAGGTTCAAGGCTTCACGCTCGATCACGGAGTCCAAGGTCCAAGTCTGAGTTTCCAAGTCTCTTTACCTGTCCCGGGGTTAACTGCCCCACGATGCAGTGGAAGGGGAAGAAAACGCCGGCCGGGGCATCGCGTGTAACTACTGGGAAGCACCGGGCAGGGGGGGAGCATTGCACATTGCACATTGGACATTGGGCCATACTGGCGCCGTTGAGGGACCGACGGACGTCTTCGGCGGCTTCGTGGGATGGGATGTGAGTGGCCTGTTTGCGGGAGTTGATTCATTCAATGCTTGATTCTTTGAGGTCGCGGGCGTGTCGTGAAAACAGCCATATTTGGCCGTAATGGGGACTTGCTCCGTTCTCCAGTCCCCAGTCCCCAGTCCCCA